TATTAATCTATTTTTTACTCATTTACACTATCAGATATTAAAATGATGTATTCTAATGTCAAAACACAAAAGCACAAAAAAATATTAAAATGTCATATTCACTACCATGACAGGCAAGCTATTAAACAACGGGTTCCCGTGTTTTAAGTTGAAATTATCTTTCAGAGTTTATTGACGCCATCCATCATGATTTATTTGGCCGTCTTGGAACATCTGTGTTACAGATGACATCGAAGATGTAAATTCGACTTCGTCGTTGTAGCCACAAACCTGTCCTCTTTCCTCGACTGTGACTCCTAGTCGGATTATACTTGCTATGAGCCACACAACGGTGCCCAGGGGCGTAGCTACCTTCTTAATGAAGTGGAGTCACAAACTAAAGGGCGAGGGTCTGGGGCCACCTAAGGCCCCCAGTAGGTCCAGAGCAAAGCCCTGGTAGGGGGGCCAGAGGGGCGAAGCCCCCCGGAAGTTCCGCATATATAGCGTTTCTAAACGATCACAACCGTAATAAAACTTGTACATTATTGTTGTGGATTTTTGGTCATCTATTTGTTTAACTTCGAGTCGAATGAAGACTAAACATTGTCGTTTGCGTTTTTTATACGCCGTGAGAGCTTTTAAAATCACGGAGATTTGTTCCATATGCTAGTATTTGTATTGAGCAAAGTAGATGTATAAAAAATAAACAATAAACATAAACACAATACTATATGTGGAGTTTCTGTTAGCATAAACATCATGGATACCAAATACTTGGTGGACACATTCTCCAATATTTTGCTTAACATATGTATTTAGATGTTTAAAACATTTGTGGGTAAACTCTACAAGAGAAAGACAGGAATTTCTAATTTTACGCAGTTAGGAATTCTCGAAGTTGAAATTAATGAACTTTTTCAGAGGGAAAGGTACTTTAAATTGATCACGATCTTTTTCATGATCTGCGTTTGTTAATTAGTAAATACTTATGCATTCGACCAGTTCTAAGGCAATATCTAGACGATAACAGTGAAGATACGTGTATTAAAAGTTTGGTGTATCTTTCGAACAAAAATCAGCAGTTTAGTGACCGACTCGGAAAGAGAATTCATTATAAAGTCGAATGACCAAATAGTCCAGTAAAACGGGTTAGAATTAACAATTTATTTAAATGCTTTTACAATCAACCATTCGTATTATCGGCCCATATAGAAACGACTTTTTAATTTTTATAAATGATCTTCCTTTGTCTAATCCTAATCATAACACCGATTTATTTGCTGATGATAGCACCATATCAGTCATTGGACAAAACAAAAGTTGTATCAGTCATAAACTTAATACGGTTTTACAAGATATTTTTAGCTGGTGTGATGACAATAAAATGGCTGTAAATGTATCTAAAACGAAGGCTATATGTATTGGCTCTAAACAGAAGCTTTCAGCTACTTCAAATGAAAACATTAATATTGCTATGAATGGACAACAAATTAAAGAAAGTACATGTGAAAAGGTTCTAGGTATTTTTGTTGATGCATCTCTATCTTGGTCTTCTCATATTGATTATATCGTAAAAAGGGTTAACTCTTCTTTAGCTTTACTAAAAAGGATAAAGAAATATTTAAATCACAAAGCTAGACAAATGTTCTATAACGCTTACGTTTTACCTCACTTAGATTATTGTTGTTCAATATGGGGAAACTGTAATAACTTTCTATTAGATAGTTTACTAAAACTGCAAAAGAGGGCAGCAAGAATAATTTTAGACGAACATGATTACACCAAACCTTCAAGCGAATTATTTCACGAATGTAACATTGTGCCGATTACACAAAGAATACATTATCATAAATCATTACTAATGTATAAGGCAAAACATGGCTTAGCTCCAGAATATATGTCCAGTCTTATTGTATCAGCTTCTGCAAACCAAAAATACAATACGAGATTTTCGTCCTCAGATAATTTTATAATTCCAAAACCAAATACAGAGTTGTATAAGTCTAGTTTCTCGTACAATGGAACAAAAGTATGGAATGCTCTTCCTGATTCAATTAAAAAATCATACACAGTATTAGAATTTAAACATAACTACAAATCTATGTACTTTTAACATTACCATGATATTTGTACTGTAATGCCATATATAATAAATGTTTATTGTATTTAAATTGTATTACATCTTTATTTATCATTATTATTGAATATGTATTGTTTATTTTTAATGTAATTATTATTGTATTAAGAGAGCCTTATTGAAAATTGGTGTAATCCAAATGAGTTACTCTCTCTAAATAAAGATATTATTATTATTATTATTATTATTATCGAATCTATATACAAGATGATTTTTGTGTAAAATAAATAAGTACGTAATACATCTACTTGAAAATGTGTACTTTTTTTTAACTATTCGTGTTGTCAAGACCTACATACTTAGTAAATTTTGAATTAGTTCACAAGGTAACAGTCATTATTCCCGGATTGATACGAGTTGAAGAGTCTTCGTTCTAGTAAGATGTGTGCTTTGGGGCGAAGCGGAAAATAATCATAGTAATGTTCAAGTTTTTTTGTTAACCCTAAAGGGATTCTGCTTTGTTTTGCCCTCAAGGCGAGTATACGTTATGGTGGTGCTACCGACAACTATGTATAGCTGGTATTTTCTAAACAATGCCCGTAATATAAAAAGTTCCGCTAAATTTACACCAGTTGCAGTATACATGTCTTATAGGATTAAAAATTTCCTTTTGCTTTCATTCTTTGGGTAGTTTTTAAAATACATACATAGAAAGACCAATTCCTATATGGTAACTTTGTTCCTCTCTTTCTCGATCTCTCTGGGGTTTTTTTTTTGTTTTTTTTTGTGAAAACGACGTGGATGCACGTGCTGTCGTGCCTCCGGGTAGCCACGCCCCTGGTGCCCCTCCTGGAGCATTTACTGCCTAAACCCTTCAGGAACATATGAATTCCTATTCGATTTTGGTAGGGTTCATGTTGATCAATTTAAAGTTTTCTATATATTTTAATTCTGGACTTATTTATCTTTTCCCTTTTTTGGCCATGGTGTTGCCGGTTTTTCTTCGTCTTATGATTGTTTATTGCTCCTTTTATATCTTCTCTCCTTGTTTTTAAGTATGGATGATCGTAAAATAAGGAATATTTTCAGAGTGGATAAATTCATCCAAAACAAGGTAAGGCATGCTTGTGTAGTGTTCAGTATGTGGTATAAAAATAGAAAATTGAATATTCAGTGCAAATAAGGTAATAAATATATTTTTCAACACGTACGAGTTTTGTCTCATATTGAAATAAAACTGGAGGTGTGTGATAGTTCTAGTTTTCTTTTCCCTACAGAAAATGGTACATTGCATATATGACTATACATCCAATGTGAAGCTATGGTAAACGTGCTGCTCGACTAAAACAGACATACACAGTTTAACAATATAATATTTCTGTCTAAAACGATGTCTTTTTTAATCCTGCTAAAATCTATGCCTTTCTTACGAGACTTTGTACTGGAATCATGGGCACAAGATCTGTGTTTAAATCAGATTATTTCATTTTCGAATTATTATGCTTTGGCAACAATTTAGTATATATTATTCTCACGCAAACCCGAATTCCTAAACTCGAAGCTGCCATCTCATTTATTTACCACTGGATTTTTAATTTAAAATCTACTACAATGTGAATATAATCCACTGAAATGGTATTTAATAAGACCATTCTTGGACAATTGATAACGAGAAATTCAATATTAAAGAACTGTCTTTTGAAGCATTGAAATTTTCTCAAGAAAATATCGACATATGGATGACGGATGTCAAAATCAAATAAATTTCCTATGTCATAATTAAACAATAATCCTTGAAATCCTAAATATAGACAGCATAGTTCAAAGAATTGATAAACGATTCTTATTATCACGCGTAGGGTATTATGCGATGCACGAAAACGTCTTCAGAAATACAGCTTAAGCATTGTGACGTAACACATCGTTTGTCAGTGGTTACAATAATGATTGACAAGAATAGAAGAACTTTTGATTAATTTTCTGTGATGTGCCGAGTGTCGTACTATACCATGTAGAAAATGTCTACCAGATAGGATGCTAGAACGCGACCATCAAGTGAAGTTAAAGCGACCAAATGTATTTCCTTATGCAAGACATAAATGGTAAGTATTTTACTTTATTTTATGGGACTGTCATACAAGTGAGAGGTTTAGCTAGCTATAAAATCAGGTTTAATCCACCATTTTCTACCTAAGAAAATGCCTGTACCAAGCCAGGAATATGACAGTTGTTTTCCATTCGTTTGATGTGTTTGTGCTTTTGATTTTGCCATTTGGTAAGGGACTTTCCGCTTTGAATTTTCCTTGGAGCTCGGTATTTTTGTTAATTTACTTTTTACACAAGAACTCAAAAGACAAGAAGAAAAAAACCGGAAAAAATTAAAAAAAATGTAAAAGTTCAATTAAGAATCGGAAAATATATTTACTAAAGATGCTAAAAGAATCAAGTGAGAACTTTTGCTTATATTTTGGCTTAATACGTTTTAATCAAATTTACTTATCAAACAGGGTATCTGATTTAATTGCGAAAGTACAAGCTAAAAGGAACGAAGCAGTATGCAAGGAAGGACGAAAAGACGGAAAAAACAAACTGCCATTCATCTTTGGAGAACACACAGTCAAGTGAGTGTTTTTTTTTAATCTTTTATGACAGTTCATATTAGATCATATTATAAAGTCTTTGCTGAAATTTACAAGATGCGTTTTTACATTATATAACATTGTTGACCAATAACGATTTGTAATAAGCTTTAGACGTATAACAAACCTATCGAGATAACAGCAAAGTCAAATCGGTTTGTAATTCTTTCCCTAATACAATGCAATTTACCTTAACTTAAAAATCAATAATATCTAACAATAGAGTTATGTTCGGGTCACAATTTCACAGAAGTCTTTAAATTGATAGTTTCTTTAAATTAAACTTCCTTTCTCCATGTAGTGAATATCAAAAATAAAGTGCCAAAAGGTGGCCTTTGTCAAAGGCGGGCATTGAAATTTGAGTTGCAACAATATTTATACAAACCCCATTGTGGTTTTACTTACAAAACTACACAATATCATGTATTATTTCGACAGCATTTTATTACAAGCAGCGGTTCAATAAGTTAAATCAATAAATTAGTTGATAAAATTTTATTTTAATTCCACACGTAACAACCAGACTCGCTCCATATCAATAAACGATATCACGTATCAAGGAACGCAGTGAAAATATTGTGATCACTCGGGACGAAAAATGTTGGGATATAAATATTAAAGAATGGCGTGTGTTCACCCTCCCCTGAGGAGGAATAAGATCCATGCCATTCCAGTGTTTAGAAGGAGTAGTACAACAATTGGTCAAGACTGGTAAGGAACATATTAAAAAATACTTAATTTTGCTTTTGTACACTGAAATGTGTGTAGATTTTTTTTAATTAATAACTCGGTTATCTTTTTCATTTTAGTTTTATACTTGTTTGTTTTGCTTGTCTTAAATGTTTTCTCTTTCCTTTCAACATTTTTTTAAATTATTTTATTGTGTTCTGTTGTTGTAATTTCGGTTTGAACTGAGCTTTCAAACATAAAAGTAATGCATTAACACAATATGATAAGTAATTGATACCCTTTTCTAGTTCATCGGGTGAGCAATTGCCATCATTTGGCGTCCGTTGTCTGTCGTCGTCGGTATAAATTAAAAAAAAAAGTCTTCTCCTCTGAAACCACTAAACGAATTTGAACCTAATTTTGGTTCCTAAGATTGTTCCTTATGGTTTTAGTTTATAAGTAATATCTGAGATTTTTATTCGCCAACAAACATGACCAGCGTTGCTCAAATTTAACATACAAATACGGGATTGTAAACTCCTAATAGGAAGTGTAAACAGGATTATAAAACTAAAGCAAACGTACATCGGTCGTCCTGAACATGCATGAAATATTGGCCACTGGACGTCAAGCAACCAACAATCAAACGTACATCGGTAAAAATTATTAACGGGTCAGCAGTTCAATTTCTATATACCATTCATATTCTTACACATTAACATATATAGAGAGGATATCTAACTTTATATATGTTCACATCATTTGTGTTTTGTATCTTGTTTTTTGTCTAAAAAGTGTTTGATTTTGTACTATTATCCTTGCGAACCCATTTTGGAGTTAGTGTCCTTGATAAGTCATATTTACGCCATTTTGGCTATTAGCGTTAAAAATAGACATACCGGGCGAGTGATTCATGGTTCTGAAAGCCTTTAGTTATACCATAAACTACAAAGTTTGGGGTATATAGTTTTTGACCTGTCTGTCAGTCAGTCAGTCCTTTGGTCATTTTTGTTTTTGGACGCTAACTCAACTAATTAATATCTGATAGTAACCTTACTTGGATATATGCTCACATACGATGCGAGGAAGATTCCTGTTGATTTTAAGGTCAGCATGTCAAAGATCATGCAGTTACTAAAAATGTACTTAAATTTCATGCGTTTCTTAGACTGTTTATGCATGACGTCTTTACACCGCAGTAAATCCGTTGGATGTGTACTGATCGATATTTTAGTCTGGGAGAACATGATTTATTCATCAGTTGTTATTGGCTTTGAACTATCTTTCCAGTAACTGCGAGTACTCTTATTTCGGTGCTTTATGTCTATTGTTTTTATATTATTTGTTTTTGCGTCTCGTACCAATCTTTTGAGTAAAGCCAATTGCAACTGATTTTTAGTTTGTTCTTATGTTGAGCTGTTACACTACTGCATGTCCAAGGTTAGAGGAGGATTGAACGCTCACAAACATGATTAACCCCGTCACATTCTCTATGTGCCTATCCCAAGTCAGAATTTTGTAGAACAGCGGTCGTCGTTTGTTCATGTCTGTACGTCATATTTGTTTTTCGCACATTGTTTCGTTATAAATTAGGTGGTTAGTTTTCTTGTTTAAATTGTTTTAACATTTTTCATGTCAGGGCGTTTTATATCCGACTGTACGGTATGGATTTTTCCTCATTATTGAAGGTCGTAAAATGGCCTATTTTTGCTTACTACCACTTCATTTTAACTCTAGTTCATTGGCAATCATACCACATCTCCCATTTTATATGTATAATAAAACGATGACCCCTATTGACGTTGAGGTTGATATTTCAAAGGTCTAGGTCAAAGTTACTAAATAAACCATAATTTGCGCAGAAATATTTGTACTACATATACATAGGACTGTACATAATTCCGTATGGGATTTTATTCTCGTGTGACATCAAAATTCGAAATCTTTGAGGCACAAAAATAACTATAGTTCAAAGACAACTGAAAGAAATACCAAACGATTTTCGTTTTGTATTGATTTGTACTTTCCTACAAATTCAAACAAAAACTATAAGGAAAATGCTGTTTTCATCGAATAGATTTGGACAAAATCAGAGCATTGAAACAAGAATTTGAAAATGCATTTTTAATTGATTTCTAATTTCACCACAAGTAGTTTCTAGGGTCGTAACCTAAATGTTATTAAGAAATTTGAAAGGTTTCTAAATTAACTTGTAATATAGATATATGTTAATTAATATTGTATGGTTTCAGGAACAGATATCCAAGTTCGAAGTGGCAAACCGAAAACCAGATTCGATACAAAGTAATCGACTTCTCCCGTACCCCTCGTGACAGTCCGCCGTTCCTTGTCACCACTTTAGATGACAGATATCATAATCCACATTCAAAACAGATATTCCACATCAAAAGAATTAACAATAAGGTGAGAGATCCGTCCGTGTTCGAAACGACACCATGCATAACGTATAGTAGTGCCGTTTCAAAACACGAATCAAAGGCATTTATGCATGTGCATACGTCAATAAATTTACGTACAGTGTAGTCTTGCATGTGTGCTTTGAAAAAAACCAACTTTGATAAAGCTTTAAGCTTGTTTGTCTTATTGTAAACCCGTTGTAAGAGATTCTCCTAAATACCAGTGACAAATATGTTTAAGCCTTTAAAAAAATGTAATAAAGCTATACAAAAGTATGCCCGCAAAGTCTCCGGGCACTGAATACTAAATCGATAGACATGTGTTTGTTGTTATCCTGCAAGTATTCATTCTATAAGTAAGACGGTGTGTCATAGTATACATTGTACACGGAAGAGGTTGATTCTGAACTAAGTTCGAGTGTAGAAGTTGAGTAGTATTTTGTATGCACCATGTATATAAAAATTCAGATCAAATATTACTTTTCCATCTGTAAAATTTTTCATTAAAAATCTAACTTATGACAATTTATTATTATACATCATAAGTATGTGTACCTAAGTGGGAGGAGTTGACCATACAAACCGTGCACGAAAATGTAGTTTAAAAACATATAAAATTTCATTTACCCGATTTCAAAATTCTGAAAACATGCACACACATAGAAAACGTAAATTTTTTAGATTAGATAATAAACTTCTGGCTGAAATCTGCAGGAGGAATAGATACACCGCAGATTCAAAATTCAATAAAATTTAACCATATATAAGCCGTATGGACGTATTGTGGTTATTTTTGTCGTTAGTCTGCAATTTTAAAGACGTATACCCCACATCTCCTTTTACTATTTCAAACATTATATATTTAAAATTGAAAAAAGCACGATTTACTAACTAAAATCAAAATCCTGATAAACCAGCACACCTTCAGTTTGTTGAAAACATAAAGGTAATTATAGGTAGGTAGGTCATTTGTTATGTATTGTATACATATATATGTCAATTTTATGAATGTACTTAAATTAATACTGACTATACTGTATCCAATAATTATTTGAGTTTGAAAATTAGAATTTTCTACCTTGAAAACTGTACGTGAAGTTGGGTGTGAATCCCTTACTATCAGGGATAAATTGATATATTAGTACCCAACGACTCTTTGTTATCGAGTTGGACACTAAATAGTTCTACACGATACCAAACACGATTTTATTGTCACAATCTATATAAATGAGAAAACATAATCATCACATCGCCTCTCACTCCGATATTGTCAGCAATGGACTAGAAAACAAACAATGAAATTATGGGCAGTTGCTAAGTGATACTGAGTTCTGCGGAGTAAAATTCGAAGTTCAACCAAATAATTTGTTATAAACTTTGAATATAAAAATAAGAAGATGTGGTATGATTGCCAAATAGACAAATATCCACCAGAAACCAAATTGACATAGAAGTTAACAAATATAGGTCACCGTACGGCCTTCAACAATGAACAAAGCCCTTATTTCAATACAATATTGATGTTGAATGGTTTTTAAAAACACTTTTACCTAAACGTTTGTGTCAGAAAGACTTGTCTATTGACAATAAGTTAGAATATTATACCATTCGAAACTTTATGAATACATCGTCAATGCTGAATTGTTCCACAATTGCAAACATTATGGCGGCATCAATACAAAAACTATACAATTAAGATAATGATTTAGACAGGAACTTTGCATATCCGTTTTTCCTTATACATTGTATATACTTAAGAACAATTGTCAGCACATTGTTGCTGATTTGAAAGGAAACCCACTTTAATAACACATTAATAACTTTTAATATAAGTGTGTAAAGATTTTGATTTCTCAAATACCTTATTAAAGTGAAAATCGCCCTTTGAAGTGGTTTAATCCAGAAAATAATGTTTGTTTTACTCAAGTACGTGGCCTTTTAATGGAATTGTACAATTGAATTTTGAACAATCTCTAAAAGATCATTCAGTTCAACTAAGATAAACACAAAATCAGAGTGCCGATGTAGTTTATTGTGGTTATCAAATGTTAGATAAACACAAAAATCACAGTTCAAATAAAGTTTATTGTCCTTATCAAATTTTAGGAAATCAAATTTAACAAAGTAAATAGTGCAGAATGCTCATATTAAGATTTTATAAATACTATGATTCCTTCTTAAACAATTCATATCATTCAACATATACATAGCTCGATACCCTAACTTGTGGAGGTTATCATCTACACAGCAGTTAATGTACTTAACGTTAACAAAATCAAAATCCAATCAATGAAATACCTGGAGCTGTCCACGCTCTTTGTGAAGATCTACAACACATGAAGTCCAACAATAGGACTTTAAATGTGCAGTAGTAAATCGTTGCCCTTTTTCCGAGCTGGATTGAACCTATGCGCATGAGACATCGTGACAACCCCTCTATAATGAGTACAATGCTTAAGACCACTCGAACAACTCAGCTTTATAACAAAAAATCGTTAGTGTGGCGATGCCTTTTCTCATCGGCTTCATTTAGGGTTGAAACACAGAACAAGAAGTATGTTCTTCTTTCAGGTCTAACACATTTCTTTGAAATTGGTATTGTACACTTCTTTGTAAAGCACACGTCATTTAGGAGTTTGAAAAAGAATACGTGTGTGTTGACATTTCTTCCTACAATCTATTACTACAGTCTACGCTATCATTCCGACTTGGCGTGTATGTCTAGTACATATGAAAATAAGAAGATGTGGTATAATTGCCAATGAGACAATTCTCCATCATAGACCGAATGACATAGAAGCTAACGACAATAGGTTAGCAGGTTTCATATCACAGAAACACGATCTTTTCTTAAAAATGGTTGTAAATAATAACTGCTGGGTCCATCCATTTCCTACAAAAATCCTTCAATATACTGTGTATTCAGATAATGTGTCAATATTCAGATCTTCGGTTGCCCTTGGTATCAGTCTGTTTTAATACTTCCATTACTGCACCGTCGTGGACTCACGTTTGAAGAATATCAATATAGATATGCATAATGACCTTTTTGCTATATTGGTGCTGCATATTTTGTTCATGGACGTTTAATCCATATCTTTTTTGTTCTTCTTCAGATTACTGTAAATTCAGAAATATTTGTCATGGTTTTATTGTTACAAGAACTGAGACGGAATATGTTTCACAAAAATAAAAACTCGAATTTTGAATTTTGATAGCATTATTTGTATGCCATGCATTATCACTGAACTAGTACACATTTTTGTTTAGGGCCAGCTGAAGCACGTTTCCGGGTGCGGGATTTTATCGCTGTGTTGAAGACCCATTAGTGGCCTTGGCTGTTTTCTGCTCTTTGGTCGGGTTGTTGTCTCTTTGACACATTCCCCATTTCCATTCTCAATTTTATCATTATCTGAAATTGCAATTATTAATTTTTGTCCGTTCTTCAACAATCTCAATAATAAATCCACCCAAAAATTTCCGAATTTGATGTAATCTTTGTCCATTCTTTGGTATTATTTGAAAATTCTTTCAAATAGCGAAGTGGATGATCTCTGTTATTGTCATATCTTTATATATACAATACAGAAATATACATTTTTATGCTAGTTTCTTACTGTTATCTCACAATCGCATGAATTTCTGAAGGACCTCCTTTTACAAGACATAATACTAATTGACAGAACGAAGATTAAATATAAATTACGTCAGAAGAAATTTGATATGAAAATTAAAATATGTCAAGAGCGAGTTATTCTTTACATGGAGTTCTTAGTATTGAAAAGTTATATGATTGAACACCTTCAGATAAAAGTGGTAGTTTAATCGTATATCAGTCCATTTCTTTTGGGGGAACAAATACAGGGTAACTGGGTAAGCTAGTTGAATTTATTGATTAACTGCATTTTTCTTGCAGGGTTCCCTTTTCGAATGAATTGTTATTTTGGTGTCTTCATTTAGAAGATAGTGATTCTGTAAAGCTTTCAAATTAAGATAGAATGGTGTCAGAATGTATAGACGATTGTACAATTGAACCCCATACCAATTGCAAGTATGAGTAACGGGGTTAAATATAAGTGCGACGGGACGGCATAACTATGAAGTGACCTTTTTGTAAAATTGTTATTTGTATGTGAAATCGTTTATTGTATGTGAAAAAGCACAGAAAAACGATTCCTACTTTAAGTAAGTTTTTCTTTTTTTCTTGATATTTAATTGATAAAAAAAATAAAAGTCGATTACCAGGAACTTATTGATGTACGTAATCGGTTGTTCTCAGCACTTCCGGTCTTGTAAGAAAATTACCGTGTAGTCCATGTTCAACTATGGTAAGAATCACGTAGTCGTTATAAATAATCATGCTTTATCTTTTTCAGCCCGTCTGCAGCGTTAATACATGGAAGAACTATCCAAATGAAATGGAAAAGAAGACACAGAATAAAACTATTTATTCATCATCTTTTGAACATCGAACTCCGGATGTCAGAGTTTTGATCAAAAACCAAGATAAACATGTTTTAGCACAAGGAATCGGTAAGCTAGCAGACACACTGTACTTTTAAAACATTTTACATTGCAGGTAATCCGCGATCCACAAATTTGAAGCATTTTGAGTCTAAATGATATGAAACATGTACAAAGTTTAATTCTCTGAAGTTAGCTCTGATCTTCCTCGATTCTAGAATTTCTTGGATATTTTTTCTTTTTCTGTTGATTGCTTAAAGTACATTTGAAAATATTCCAAAAAAGGAAAATAATCAAAGAAAATCAAAATATTGGATGAGAAGTTGGTGGACAGGACAAAAAAAAAGGAGTTGATAGTTAAGATTCCCATTGAAAATTTTGCTAGGTCAGAAAATTTGCTCTCTGTACAAGTCGGCAATCTCCAATACGTGTGATGGCTTTAACATCCTCTTATTTGGATAGTAATTGATACATGTTTATCATAACTGTGGGTTAAATGTTCTGTAGTACCGTATTTACCGGTATTTGGACATTCCATCTATCCAAGCGAAAGTATATGAGAAAGTTGAGTCACGTATACATGTCAGTTAATCTGGTTTTTATCATTTTATTAATTTTATGACACATCCTTACTAGTTATCAGTTTTATGGATAGTGATATCTACCATATTTTAAAAGTATAGCATGTGTTAAGTGATTTTAGATGTTAATATATTTTTTCTATTGATTGAAACAACAATGTCTTGTGTCATTTTGTATCAATATCTTAAATTAATTTTTTGTGTCATGCAAACCGTGAGCTATGTTGCTATGATCAAATTAATTTGTGCAAATATTATATTGCTGTTCACATATTGTATGGTTATGTTGTTCAAATAACATTCAAAGTAAATTGATTTTGTTAAATTAATTGGTTTTTTTTCAAAACGCTTCACGAAGGTTTTCGTCTGTGCGTTTGTCCTTTTCAAGCTATACCAACTTAACGAATTGATTTCCAGGAACTCTTCTAATTAATGAAACTTTTCGAACTTAATTCCTGTTTATACTGCAGGAATATTCGTTCATCCCTTTCTCTCGATCAATTATTTTAAATAATAATTTTTGTTCACTCTGTTTTTAAGTTTAATGTCGCTTTCTATTGTAGTTCCCTTTGACCAACCTGAAAACACGTGCGACGTGAAGGAGGAAATGTTTCTACCTATCTGTGATACCGTATGTATTACAAAATAAGAACTGTTTCAATCTCTTCAAGGGGGCCTCGGTGGTCTAAGTAGTTCAATTTCCGTATCACAAGTTTGACAATACTGAGGGTGTGATCATGTTTGAGCCCCGCACGTGGCAGGTACGTTCGACTATCCGGGCAGTCCAACTTCCGCAACCATAAGAACAGACCACCACGAAATAGCCAATAGTGCTGAAAGTGGCGTCACTGAAACACCAATCAATCGAATCAATCAACGTCTTACTTCGGGGCCGTTTATATCTCATTATTATTATAATTGTAAATTGCATTTTTAATATTATTGTTAATTCTATTTTTTTTTATCATTTTGTAATTGCCAATTGATTTATTACTCCCGAGTAAGTTTCAGTAAAACCAATTAGAAACCATGCACTAAACACAGGTAGGTCGAGATTTAATTGTGTGCATTTGACGTATATTTTTCAGAGTTACGTCTTTAAAAAAAGCAGAAACTTAATATAAGGTTTCAGACCAATATTTTGAATTTACTAAATAATTCATCACAATGCCTAAAGGGCACTTAACATTGGTAAACTTTGCATATTATACATTTATCACATATAATGGCCCTTAATTAAAGGATCGGTTCCGACTTCAGCATGCTTCGACCAAATTCTTTGAAAATTTTAATTAATATTTGGAACCACAAACACAATAGGAATTTAAATATGTGTCATAATAATGCACGAAAAGGATAATTATTGGAATGAAAACAGTCAAAATAACGTGAACTCCAAACAGACTGAGAGTGATAAATGTCGACAGGGGCTATGCATGGTGTATATTATGCGAGTCTAAATTCATATCACATAGAACAAATGTCACGGTCAAGACCCAGAGGCGGATTTAGGGCCCCCCTTATGGAGCAATATATATGATAAATGCATAAACTTTTTACAAGTATCACTCCAAACGTTGGCTTGCCAGTCCCCCTTTTCAAAATCATGGATCCGAACCTAATAACATAGTTAAACAAATAATAATGTCAATTAGATTTGAGGTGACATGTTGGAACCATGACAGAGTTAAGTTTGTCTTGGTAAGTTGAGGCTCTGAAACGATAAAACGATTCGTGATTGCTACCGTAGAACTTGTGAAGTGATGATTTCAGTCCTTCTTCCGAGAGAACCTGTTAAAGAATTTGTTTGGTTTATTGTGAAGCTGACAAAATGGATACATGTTCTGGTTTGTTGTATTCTCTGAGATACGTCAACGCAATATGCCAATGCAGGAGATATGTTATATCTCTAAAAATGGGAAAGTCACTATGCGAAAACTGAAATCATCAATTATGGCATATATTTTACTCCTAAAGAACTAGTTTAGCAGTTGCGTATGTGTCCATGGACGCATTCTTATATCAGCTGGATATTAATTAAAATGTATATAATCAATTATGAAAATTACAAGAAACTCGGAAGCTTGTTTTCATTGATCCCGAATTCCAGTAAATATTGAAAGTTCGAAGAATTTTCTTTTACATCTTGTATAGTTTCATTATCACAAAATGAAAACGACTAATTTGATATAAATTTGACCTTTTTACTTGGAATAGGTTATCTCTAGAAACATTATAAAAATTACAAATAAATAATCCCGAAAATTAAAAGAAGCGCTCAATGCTCAACATTACAAAAAGTTTGCAGACATTAAAAGTCGCAAAGGTACGTACTGCTCAATACAAAAAATATTGCCAATGAATGAGATATGTTATATCTCTAAAAAGGTCTTTCAGATGAAAAACCTTGAACAACTGACAAAAAGTTGAACAAAACATGTAACTCTCTTAGAATTTTATAGATATAGGCCATAGACGTTCATGAATAAAATAAACTTAATCTGACACATATCATATGTTGTTGAATGTTTTGATTGATAATGTTAAGAACTGTTGTTATTGAACTTTATATTTTATTCGTAGACAAGAATACCATCAGCGCCGAATCCTCACAGATATTTGTTAAGGAAGAAAAGGATACCAGCTCCACATCAGCGTAAGTGAAATAGTTAATATATGATAGCATGTGACCTGGAACATGCTTGTGTTAGTAATTTCTCCCTCCGATGGCAAGGGACATGATAGCATGTGACCTGGAACATGCTTGTGTCAGTAATTTCTCCCTCCGATGGCAAGGGACATGATAGCATGTGACCTAGAACATGCTTGAGTCAGTAATTTCTCCCTCCGATGGCAAGGGACATGATAGCATGTGACCTGGAACATGCTTGTGTCAGTAATTTCTCCCTCCGATGGCAAGGGACATGATAGCATGTGACCTGGAGCATGCTTGTGTCAGTAATTTCTCCCTCCGATGGCAAGTGACATGATAGCATGTGACCTGGAACATGCTTGTGTCAGTAATTTCTCCCTCCGATGGCAAGGGACATGATAGCATATGACCTGGAACATGACTGTCAATGTTTCTCCCTCTGTACCAATGGCAAGGGATATGTTCCACTTGTCGTAGACTTAATCCCCTCTTTTCCTCATTTATGACATCACCGAATGCGACTTGTCACTGGATTCTTACTTATAATGAGGAACACGATGGGTGGCCCTATAGTGGAGCATGAACTGTTGGGCGTTTATTTTCAGTTTTCTGTTTAGTATTTTATGTTATAAACAGTTTTGTCCATTGTGTTGTTTGTCTTTCTTCGATTTTTGGTTTTTGATTGCCTCCTTGGTATCTTTTCTAATTTTTCTGAAACACCTGACTTCATCGGAGGGACTTCCTATCCCCACCACGGGTTTTTGTTGGGTTCCTGTTGCATAATCTTTCTTTTTCTGTTTAGTGTTCTGTTGTCGTCTATTTATTCTTCTCGACATGGTATTATTCGTCCTGTTTTGATGTTTATAGTTTTGACTACCCTTGGTATATTCTTTCATTTTCACAGAAAGAAAGCAAAAGTAATACGAGTTGAAGTGGGCTTATAAAGTTCTCAACCGTACACAAATGCCATTCGTGGCACAAATATCTTGGTTCAACAGTCATCCAATTACACGATTTCAACGTTACCAAATAAAATAAAAACACGTTTTCCTCTATTTTAATTCACCAATCTTTCTGGAGCGTCTAAATAAACTCCAAGTTATTACTGGGTACTGACTGTTTTCGTCTGTTTAGGGGACGTATTATGGTATACCGTTGTTCGTCCGTCTGTCCGTCTGACTTCAACTTGTCGGACAATAACCCAAAAACGCTTTAACCAGTTTGCTTGAATTGTTTATATCTATTGACGTAAGCTCCCTTTCGATTTTTATAAATTTTAGAATTTAATTTTCAGAGTTATGGGTTTTTTTTCATTAAAAAAAGAGAAATTTTCCAGTTTTCGGACAATAACTCAAAAAGGCTTTGAGCAGTTTTCATGAAACTTTGGTGAATTGTTTATATCTTTTGACTCAAGCTCCCTTTGGATTTTTATAAATTTTAGATTTTATGTTTCCGAGTTATGGGGTTTTATTCATTAAAAAAGGGGGATCTTCCAGTTTTCGGACAATAACTCAAACGTGCTTTGAGCAGTTTTCATGAAACTTTGATGACTGGTTTATATCTATGAAAATACCCTCCCTTTAGTTTTTTTTTTATAAATTTCTGACATGACATTGATGAGTTATGGTACTATATTCGTTGAAAAATGTCATCCGAGGCCTATTTTCAAAATAAATGCATGATACGTTATTTTGCAAATATAAGTTAACTTGTTACTGCTAATGCTACAAAACTGCTCACTAAGTAACGGTTTGATAACCTGTTTTTATTTTAAAACATTTCATTAATACTGCATACTTTGCAGCCATGGGAATATTTTATCCCGAGAGTCCACAGCCAGATCTACCACCCGAAAGACCAAAAACACAATGTGACAAAGTCAGCATCTCCACGCTATGTGGTCAGGAATTTACTAGAAAGAAATATATTCCACAGCCAAGGGGAAATTTTGAGCCAGGAGGTAAGTGGTATAACACAGTATTAGTACTTGAAGTGATAGGAACAATAGTGACAAACAGTTTATCATAACAGGATAACAGAAAATACCAAAAATAGTGACCTTACAACATTCCACACCAGACACCAGCACGCAACTCCTTAAAAATAGACGCACAACAATGAAAACCACATGGTCCAGATAGCCTGACTTAGAACAGGCAGAAAATGTGGTGGAGTTACTAGTAAAACAGAGTCAGTTTTACATGCGCACCCAACGGTAAAAGTGACGCTACCCAAATTTGAACTTGATCTGAGTTTTGTGGTAATAAGCATTGTGTGTAAGTCTCATAACATTTGGTTGGGGCTAACTTAAGTAGAGAACAGAAACTAAAAATTCAGCAATTTTTCTATTTGTAAACACGCATAACTCTAGAACGGTTGTGTATAAATTTTATAACATTAGGTTGAGACAAACTAAAGTTAGAGAACGGAAACGAAAAATTCAGCAATTTTTATGTTTATAAAGGGACATAAATCAAGAATGGTAAAAGTGACGCCACCAAATTTCGTACTCAATCTGTATTATGTAGTAATAAGCATTGTGTATAAGTTTCATAACATTTGGTTGAGGCAAACTTAAGTTAGAAAACGGAAACAAAAAAATTGTACTTGATCTTAATTTTGTGGTAATGAATATTGTTTATAGGTTTCATAATGTTTGGTTGGGGCAAACTTAAGTTACAGATTGAAAACTGAAAATTTTGCAATCTTTCGATTTATAAAGGGGCATAACTCAATAATGGTTAAATTGACACTACTCAAATTCAACTTGATCTGTGTTTTATCAGTGGAAGTCAAAATTAAACATTGCATTGTATAAAGCATTGATTGTAGTTGATTCAACTATAATCATGGACAAAGGAAGATAACTCCAATTTTAAAAATTACTTGATATTTAGAAGAAAATATTTTTTTTCTTCAATTTTTCCATTTATTAAGGGGCATAACTCTAGAACGGTTAAAGTGACGCCACCAAAATTCAAACTTGATCTGTGTTTTGTGGTAATAAGCATTGTGTATAAGTTTCATAACATTTGGTTGAGGCAAACTCAAGTTAGAGAACGGAAACGACGTACGTACGTACAGACGGACAAGGGTAAAACTTAATGCCCCCACCGCTACGGCGGGGGCATAAAAAAACCTGTACAGTGCAGCTATCAACAGGATGACCATTAACTTGATTAAGAAAATAATAGACGACACATTATCTTAAAAGCAGGGTTAAAATGAGCTCGCTACTACATGAAACAAGCTAATGTAACGACAGCTATTGGTATCTTGTTCTGTTCATCAACGATGCAACACATGACTTATAAAGTACAAATTGATAAATGATTTTAATGTTTAAAATACGTATGCTACTGGTTTGTGTGCTGGTTGTAGCTCCTCAAGTGTTTGCACATCCTTAGCTTTTAAGTACTCCTGATGGAGGTAAGTCCAGAAAAGCGCTTGGACACAACTTATTTATAAAATGTCCAAATTGCAACCATTTTAATATATTTATCAATAACCAGACCATTTGAAATATCTAAGAGGGAAGGAATGCCCTTTATCGTCAAGCGTCATATGTCCGTTTTTCGCTATCGTTAGGGTCAAATGAGCCTTAATTTTTGATCGTCATTCGTCAAATCTCATTTTGTAGCTACCGTTTGCGTCAAATTTACCATCATTCGTCATGTGGAGTACCCCATTCCTACCCTCATCTAAATGAGATTCGCAAGTTAAACAGATACATGTCATGCGCACAAAGTTCAGTATCGTACGTTTATTAAACTTAAAAATCAGTTTATATTACAAGTTATTTATGTTATAACATCACCATCGATGTCGAGGCCTAAATATTTGAATATTCAAAACCTAGTATAAACGTTGAACAGCTGATGAAACTAAAAAGGACCAAAAGTAGTTACTAAAAAGTGTACACAAACTCTGTCAAGGTATTAGAGCTTTGCTTTGCATGAGGGAGATACATTGTTCAATTAAACATGATTTCAAACTTTTTATAACAGAAAATTTCAATAAAACCTACAGATTAGATTACATAATATCTACCACTGGTGAGAGTTACGACACCGACCATTCATCTTTTGTGTGGAGGGGTATGGGTTTTCTTTTAAATAAAATGATATAGAGTTTCTTGAGAAAAGAAAAATTTTGTTTCACAAGGGAGGTCAAAACAGTTGTTTGTTTCCATTCAAGATAAGGAAAAAATGTATGCTTCATCGCTTTATAATTTACGGTTTCTAACTTTGGCCTGAGGAATCGACAACACGTAAATAAAATTGAGAATGGAAATGGGGAATATGTGAAAGAGACAACAACCCGACCAAAGAGCACACAACAGCCGAAGGCCACCAATGGGTCTTTAACGCAGCGAGAAAATCCCGCACCCGGAGGTGGTCCTCAGCTGGCCTCACAATATTTATTCAGATCGTCTTTATTCAGACTTGATCAATGGCGAACACTGCTTTCGTCAATACATAATTTGTATTAGGTGCATTCGAAGCGCTTTTTTGAATACTACTAAACCTTAAATTAGACCACTCAGCCATATTTTTTTTAATTAAAGGTGTACCGCGGTATATATGATTTGGGAGCTACAAAAGCAAACAAAGCATGAACAGTCCTGAATAGATTTTCTCAACCGTCTTGTTTTTAGAGAATAGAAGGTTTATCTAGTATCAGGATTTCCATCAGCTCAAAATTTCAGAATAATAAAACTCCGTATGGATTTCATTTGTCACAAGAACAGGAAAACAATTGAAAGCCTAAATTGTTTAAAAATGGAGTTTTTCATAAATGCTGATATAACCCTGATTTTTATTCAAAACAGATATTTTTTTATTTGACATTCCATAAATTATGCATGTATTTTTAGCCTTTGATGGTGGTGCACCACAGATACAGACACACAGATTCAATGACAAATTTCTACCACTGGTGCGAGTTAAGCCTATAATTTAATTTTATGTGCAAAGGTGTTTTTAGACTTCTTTTGAATAATCATAGGAACATATTTTTTGATTTGTATATCATTGTTATATTTGTTAAATAAATAATTAACAACATGAAACTCTTTTTTCTGATTCCGGTCGGTTTGGGTTAGATAAAATCAGTACAATCACTTACCATCTTCATTTTCAAATCCAACAAAAAATTGTCCAAAGACATAAATGGTGGCGTTACAATACCCATGGTTTTTAATTTGAAAGGCTATATAAATGGTAATGACGCTAGAATTGCATCTGTTTGAAATCTATTAATGACAAGTTCTATAAATTAAAAAAATAAGGAAAAATCCATCCTCTCAAAATTTACCGACTTCAACAGACAAATGCGTAAAAAACGAGAACACTCCATCGAACAATTCTTACCATCAACTAAATTTCACTATTTGTGAAAATCTACAAAAAATATCAATATGAGTAGCACATCTTCAATGTACATACGCACAACATGCAACGTCTGAAGGCTCTTAAAAAGCGAAGGCTGTTTACATAAATTGGATGATGATGATGATGATGGTGATGGACGTCTGTTTAACGTCCAGTGGCAATTTAAAGGCATACTCAGGTCGAGAACTTGTTAATCAATCTAATTAAAGTATATATCTCTGATTTCGTTATACTCATACGAGGGAGTTACGATTGATCGATATTTTAATTAGATTGCTTGTTAATATGATATGTATAAAATCCTTGATTTGCACTAATTCGACACGCTGTAGTATAAGTTAAGTCCTCAGGAAGAAACGTCTTTGCTCTTACTCCTAAATGTTGGGTGCTTAGCGGAAAAGGAGTTTTACCAATTGTAAAGTCTTTGGTTTGATACGGACAATGATAGATACCAAGGAGACAACAACGATCAGAAGTCGAATGAAAACTGAAATACCATGGCCAAAACGTAAAAAAAACAACGATAAGATAAGACATACAAAAACAAAGCACTACACAAAAAACTAAAGACTGAGCAACATGAACTAGAACAAAAACCGAGGTAATCCCAGGTGCTCCGGAAAGATCGTCAGATCCTGCTCAAATCGTGACACCCCTATGTTACTCTTGTTAAAATACGTTTATGAATGCGATTAGGTGATTATGCATCATATAATAGCAGATTGGTGAATGTCCGTTGTTTAAACCTAAGACCTAACCCGTTCATAAACAATCGGCACAAGAAAATTCTATAACTTAACCGAATTTAAAGTTGTGAAATGAAAACAACGTTTCCAGGACAAAGGATAAAGACGGCCAGACTGACACCGAAGAAAACAACGCAGACATTTAAAATAAAATAGGACATAATACAACACTGAAACCTAAAGCAAAAGCAACACTCACTCCTTTAAAACAAAACTATTGGGGATGGCATGTGCTCCGGAAGGGTAAGTAGATTGCATCGTGCAGTGTGGGAAAGCCCCGATTTAAAACTGTTGGTTGCGTTGATTACACAAATCGGCACCTTTCATCATGCTGAAAATATCTAAATGTGTCAACAAAGTGAGGTGTACATCTTAAATGTTTATGCAAACATCTAAAAGTTGGAAAGTTCAACTGTAGAATATATATGATCTGAGGACACAGATACAGACAACATATAACCTAATGTATACATTTATCCTTATGTTCAGAGCATAAGTTCTGATCAAATTATGTCCAACACCATGCACATATATTGATGTCGTCTGATAACGTATCATGAATTCATGCCTGTTCGTTTTTCCCAACCATTCAAGGACATATGATGCTAGTATGACCGGACAATTTGGACTGTGCAATGAAATTAGTTTTTAAACAACATTTTATGAATTCAATTGTTTTAATGTATATTCTTGTTTTGCATTTATTTTATTATTCTGAACTTTGTCGTAAATTTAGGCATAAGTGTTTTACACGGATTATATGTCATAATCTTGGACAAAGGACTTAAATTCATTTACTCTATTCATTTAATTACTTATTCTCTGTAACAGTTTAGACAATAATTTACTTATACGTGTCGGACATCAATTACTCTTCTAGTCTATTGTTATTTCTATTTGGCATATGTTAATCTTCTTAATCCTTTAATTGCTTGTGCTTATATATATTGTTATTGTTTGTATGTTACATTACATTTGGTTTGGAGTTTGTTGTTCGGTCTTGCCGGACTGCAAAAATAAAAGTTTTAAGGAGCGAAATATTCCTTCTTGATTTCCATTTAGCCGGAACGCCATTTAACCCGGCTATATCTGGTGGAGGACCCGGGCAACGCATTTTGTGGATACCTTGTTCTACCTGTGACGCTGATCCCCCAGCAAACAGAAAAATGGATACGCGGAGAACCAGAAATTTAGGCCGAGACTGGAGATACCAGATGTCTGATCATGGAACTACCTTTCAGACAAGAAATGTTCAACATATGGACAACTACCTATGTAAGTTTTGTGGAAAGACTGTGAACAATCAATTTCATTTTAGACAATGTATAGCAAAAACGTCATTTTGTTATAAGTGCAGAAGTTTTGGACATTACGCCAGAATGTGTAATTTTCACAGACAACCGGACGTGAAAGTTGTTAAGGTTAAATCGAAATCCAAGTTACGTCGTGACGCAGAAAGAATGATAAAATTCAAAGAACAGAAAGCTATGTCAATTTTTCCTTGTTCGGAACTCAATACTATAGAACTGATGGACTTCTTTCCAACCTTAGAATATAACAAGGAATGCATAGATAACGTAAGACTCAGGCACGACCGAGTGAATTCCGAGAGAGTTAAATTCAAAATTAAAAGTGTACACTATGAAAAGAAATTTAAAGAATTAAATCAAAAGCATACCAGTGTTGTTAGCAATCTAGAAAAACTTCAAAAACAAGATGCAGATGATAAAAAAGATATGGAAAAATTACGGGAACGCATTACTGATCTTGAAGAAGCTAACTTTCGGATTTACGATCAAAGATGTGAAGCAATTGACCAGCAATACCAATTACAACGCGACAAAGAACATATGCGGGATCGAATCACCAAACTAGAAGACGAATTGGACAATTTTCGGAAAAATACAAGAGAAGATAACTATTCAAACCAAAACTATCGTTACAGAGGACGCCACAACCACAGAAGAAACTTTCGGAACAATTTCAGATGAACAGTAAGACCCGGGTCGTGTCTTCAAGGGCCGCGGGAATATATGACCGGACAATTTGGACTGTGCAATGAAATTAGTTTTTAAACAACATTTTATGAATTCAATTGTTTTAATGTATATTCTTGTTTTGCATTTATTTTATTATTCTGAACTTTGTCGTAAATTTAGGCATAAGTGTTTTACACGGATTATATGTCATAATCTTGGACAAAGGACTTAAATTCATTTACCCTATTCATTTAATTACTTATTCTCTGTAACAGTTTAGACAATAATTTACTTATACGTGTCGGACATCAATTACTCTTCTAGTCTATTGTTATTTCTATTTGGCATATGTTAATCTTCTTAATCCTTTAATTGCTTGTGCTTATATATATTGTTATTGTTTGTATGTTACATTACATTTGGTTTGGAGTTTGTTGCTCGGTCTTGCCGGACTGCAAAAATAAAAGTTTAAGGAGCGAAATAATCCTTCTTGATTTCCATTTAGCCGGAACGCCATTTAACCCGGCTATACTAGAATGACAAGAAAGTGGATGTGGTGTATTAATTCATTACACACTATTCATACAAACACTAGACAAAACACAGAAACAAAGGAACATTACTGTTGTTGCTGTTCTTTACTTAAAAGTTAGTCAGACCCTCAACACAGAGGAAAAGCTCATACCTAACTGCAAACTAAAAAAGCCCAAATTCTAGAAAGGAGACCATCAAAGATCTGCCATCAGCACCTAATTTCTTAAAGGGCAAAAACATTAAGACATTTGAATAAAAAAACACTGACGAGGTTCTGACTTGGGCAGGCACATGCACATGCAATATAAATTATAGGTCTAGATAAGTGGAATTACAAGAGACGCACGATATAATAACATCCAGGAGTCTGTAATTGAGTGGCTGACGTTGGTTGTTGTGTACCAAATTTCTTTTTCGTTTATTCTCTTAACATAAATCGGCCAAGCCGTTGGTTTTCACTTTTGAATTATTTCATATTTTTTCACGCTGAGGCATTTTATTTATACTCTGTATTTTGTTTATTGTGGAAAGCCGCACAGTGACCTATAGATGTTTGCATTCTCGTTCTTTGATCATCATATCACATCTCTTTATTCTAATATACAATAAAAATCAAGTTTAGAAAAAAGCACTTAATTTTATTATACTCACATAATAGACAACAAAACACAGGTCCAAATAAAACGATAATAAATAATACAATGTCAAATAAAGCTCGCAGTTACTGAAAGCAAGCTCACAATACTCAACCAGTTATTATAGAAATCATGTCGTCAGCGGATTTATATTGTTGTTCGACCTGTTAGTCAAATGCGTTTTGTTAAATATACTTTTTCACTTTTTTGGTCTTTTGGAAAATGTTGTTTGTGCTGTATTTAGACCCCTCTAACAAGAACTTTGTTTTGCATGCACGCGTATAAAAATTGAGGTTTTTATCCAACGCAATCATAGGTTTGAACGTTGTTTTCAATTTAGACTTGTTTATATTTTTTCTTATATATACACTTGTAACTTATTACTTCAAGTTCAATAGTCTGTTCTATAACAAACGTACTTCGGGGCGTATATATAATCGCCTAGGTTGTGTCGTGGTTACGCGCTCGTCTCGAGGTCAAGAGTTCGATTCCCGGCCATGTCAACCAAAGACTAAAAAAATGGTATTTGCTACATTAAGGAATAAGAGCAAAAATTGCTTTTTACAAAAGAGGGACGAAAGATGCCAGAGGGACAGTCAAACTCATAGATCGAAAACAAACTGACAACGCCATGGCCAAAAATAAAAGACAAACAGACAAATAATAGTACAGATGACACAACATAGAAAACCAAAGACTAAGCAACACGAACCCCACTAAAAACTGGGGGTGATCTCAGGTGCTCCGGAAGGGTAGGCAGATCCTGTTCCACATGTGTCACCCGTCGTGTTGCTTATGTTATTACAAATCTGGTAAATTGTATAATTCGGTAAGTTATATTCGTGAAAAGGGAGGGTATTGAAGTTACGACATAAGGAACATATCCGATATCATCTGTGAAACGGTTATTCCATAACGGTCAACCAACTCGTGATGGCGTCCGTAAAATTTACGAAGGGATGATTTCAACTTCCCCATTTGGAACTCTTGGTTTAATAGCTTCCTTGTGAGCAGCAATCCTCTATCAAGGAAATCATGATAGGAAACACAAGCCCGGGAATATCGTATCAATTGGGAGATATATACTCCGTATGCAGGCGCTGCTGGAATGTTGCTACATAGAAATGGAAAGTTCACAATTGGGAAGCTGAAATCATCTCTTTTGTCGTAAAGTTTTGTTTTCAACCGACCCTCATTGTCAATTTCTAGATGTAAGTCAAGATATGAGGCAGACTTAACTGTATCTGTAGTATCCTTTATCTCTAGTTCGATGGGATAAATTCGTTCAACATAGTCACCAAATTTTGTATTATTTAGTGAGAGAACATCATCTATATAGCGGAACGTAGAGTTAAAGGATATTGCTAACTTCTTATCTTTCTTCCTAAGAAGTTCCTGTATGAAGTCAGCCTCATAATAATAAAGAAATAAGTCGGCAAGAAGAGGGGCACAATTGGTTCCCATTGGAATTCCGACAGTCTGTTGAAAAACACGTCCTCCAAACGTAACAAATATGTTGTCAATCAAGAAATCAAGCATCTTGATAATGTCAGTTTCAGAGAATTTTTTGTTGGAATCAGAGTGATTCTTTACAAAGTAGGATTTATCCCTCCCCAAGACAAGATACTTGTATCTACGTTCGCCATTCTTTTTAATGAAACAAAGTAATACCAACTCTTTCAATTTGTCTTTTAGTTTGGAATGGGGAATACTTGTGTAAAGTGTAGAAAAGTCAAATGTTTTAATACTATTGCAAGATGAGAGAGTCTTAGATTGTATGTACTCTAAAAGATCTTTGGAATTTTTTAGTATCCACATCTGATTCACGCCACCTCTAGAATAGGCAGTTTCACAATAACTTTGGAGCCCGGCTTTCATTGCTGATAAAATAGATGTTAATAATCTAGAAAGAGATTTCGTGGAGCACTTGGAAGACCCAGCAATATACCGTTGTTTGTAAGGACACTTATGTAGTTTAGGTATCCAATACAGTGATGGAAGATCCAGTTCTTCATCTTTGGTTGAAATTCCAAAGGAACATAGAACAGACCTATGATTATCCAGGATTTCCTCTTTGGTAAGTGTCACACATTAAGGAGTAAAAGTAAAAATTGGTAATTGCTACATTAAGGTGTAAATAAACTCATCATAGATACCAGGATTAAAATTTAGTACGCCAGACGCACGTTTCGTCAACAAAAGACTCATCAGTGACGCTCGAATCAGACAAGGAGTAAGAGCAAAGACTGGTCGACCCAGTCAGAATAATGTGTCAGGGTAGATTGACTCCGCATGTCGGCCTAGTACAAAAGCAGGGTTCATATTCAAATCACATTAAGATGTTCTCGTCCTAGCTGAATATGCATTCAACTTGCCACTTGACGTTATCAGGGAGTATTTATTCAGGCATTTTGATTTTTTCTTCTGTTTAATTCTCCAGTTTGTACTATAACAAATCAACTTTTACCTTTTTATTAGGAATGTTCGTCTTTTCCTTTTATTAACTTTCATATATAGGGAATACAACTGTTTCATTAACAAGAAACAAAAACAAAATGGTCAGCATAGTTTTGGAGGCTTTCTACCATTGTACCATACAGTAACAAAATAACCTCATTCAACTGTCGCAAATCAAGCATTATAATCCTCGCGTTCTCATGTATATGATTTTATGTTATACCAATCTGCTATTCATCATCAGAACTAGATTCACTACTGCTCTCCTGCTCCGGACCTTTTTCAGGTATATCTGTCATTGTTTCAACATCGATCGTCTCTGAATCAATTGTACTCGTTTCAGTCTCAATAGTAGATTTAACTTCAGGCCATGTAGAAACGTCTTTTGGGTTTTTAATTATTTTTGACAACCTCTTTCTGACTTTGAGATAATTGTTTTCTTGATAAAGGTTTCCCTTATTCTCACGTAATATCTGTCTAAGGTAACCCCAGTCTTTCCCACTGACAGGTGATAACAGTATCCCCGTACTGTGGAGGTATCTCAGACCATCTCTATTATCCTCGTACTCTTCCTCCCATTCTTCAATGTTTGTCAAACGAACAATCTTAAGTTGAACTTCTACCGTTTTTTCTGCCTCTTTGAATGATGCAATAAGATCACAAAAGGCATTTGAAAAAGAGAAAGGAGGAGATTCGTTAGCTATTACTTCTAATTCAAGTGTGGAACTCTCTGATACATAAGGATCGTTGGTAATCCACTCCAGAAATTTTTCATCTGCCCTGAGGGCATCTCCTTCCAGAGAGTGGAATATTCTTATAATCGTGGTACTTCCCTCATCAACTGTTGTCGAACATACTATAACACTTTCCACTGGGGGCTCTTCTTTTATTCCAGCACACCATAATACATAAAATTCCCTTCTGTACAGATGATGCTCATCACATTTACTTTCCATTTTATTCGATCTGAAAATAATGATATTTAAAAAGTGACGGTCGTTAATAATTACGTATATATACATTCAAGTGTAACATCGTCTTTTTAAATTTGATACATGTCTAATTACCGCAATGAAGAATTCTAGTATCACTTTAGGGCGGATTTCAAACTACATGCGGTTTATTTATACTCCCATCTTAATTTGTGATGAACGACAATTCAACGTATACACAGTGTGTGCCTGTTCCTGTGACTGGACGGTCTTGATTATGGAATAAAATTCAAGAAGATGCCAAGAGAGTAATAAAAACCAGAGGATATGAAGAGGCAGAGTCTGTGTTGCGCACCTAGGTCTATGTGCATCTTTAATAATGGACACTCTCCAACATTGTTGACTATAGAATAGAATTCATGACAAAAATCTTTTTCTTTTTTTGTTGATCTTGTATTACTGATCCTTTTTTTCTGCTTACAGTTTATCTCAATCTTCTTAAGTTTTTGCTCAAAACACAAAAAAGGGTTTAAAAAATGTCATTTAAGGGCAATCACTCCTATAAAGAATCTTTCTTAGATTTCGGCAAAATTTGACTTATTTGTAGATCGTGTCTTGCTGATCATTTTTGTCATTTAAAGTGTCTATCTTTTAAAGTCTTCAATATAATAAACAAAAACGCAAGATACTGGTAAAAATCGTCATTAAGAGAAATAACTCCGATAAGGAGTGAACTAACGATTTCGACCATTAGTCTTATTCGTAGATCTTGTCTTGCTGATCATTTTTGCTTATTTAAATTTCTATCTATATATTAAAGTTTTTCAGATATTAGGCAAAAAGTAAAACAAATGGTAAAAATCGTTATTAAACGGCAATAATTCATTAAGGGATTCGTCAGACGACTTTAAAAATGTTGTTGTATTTGTAGATCTTGTCTTGTTGCTCATTTTTGAAAATAAAAGCTTCTCTCTATCTATTATAGTGTTTGAGGTATTAGGCAAAAACGCAAAAAATTGATAAAAGTCGTCACTAAAGAGCAGTAACTCCAATAAGGAGTCATCTGACAATTATGACTATATAAAATTGAGAATGGAAACTTGTCAACTTATTGTCGATCTGGTCTTTGCTGATCATGTTTGCTGTTTAAAGTTTCTATCTATCTATTTAAATAGTTTTTAAGATATTAGGCAAAAATGCAAAAAATTGGTAAACATCTTCATTAAAGGGTAACAACTTCAATAGGGTGTCGTTAGACAAATTTCAACCATGTTGACTTATTCTTAGATCCTGTCCTGCTGATCATTTTTGCCAATTTAAGTTTATATCTATCTATTATAGTTTTTCAGATATTATGCAAAAAACGCAAAAAATGGTGAAAATCGTCATTAAAGGGCAATAACTCAAATAAGGGGTCGTCAGACAATTTCAAAAATTGTACACTTATTTTTAGGCCTTGTCCAGCTGAACATTTTTGCTAATTTAAGTTTCTATCTATCTATTTTAGTTTTTCAGATATTAGGCAAACACGCAAAATATTGATTATAAATGTGGATTGTGTCCACATGTGGACACAGATGATGCCCCCACTTGAATATCATATAGTTATAAAGGGACATAACTGAAGAACGATAAAAGTGACGCTACCCAAATTTGAACTTGATCTGAGTTTTGTGGTAATAAGCATAGTGTGTAAGTCTCATAACATTTGGTTGAGGCTAACTTAAGTAGAGAACAGAAACTAAAAATTCAGCAATTTTTCTATTTGTAAACACGCATAACTCTAGAACGGATGTGTATAAGTTTTATAACATTTGGTAGAGACAAACTAAAGTGAACGGAAACGAAAAATTCAGCAATTTTTATGTTTATAAAGGGACATAACTCAATAATGGTAAAAGTGACGCCACCAAATTTCGTACTCAATCTGTAAGCATTGTGTATAAGTTTCATAACATTTGGTTGAGGCAAACTAAAGTTAGAGAACGGAAACCAACTTTGGGACGTACGTACTGACGAACGGACAGACGTACAGACGGACAAGGGTTTAATGCCCCCTCCGCTACGGCGGGGGCATAAAAATCTTCATTAAAGGACAACAATTCCAAAAAAAATGTACATTATCTTAGTTTTGAGGTAATGAATATTGTGTATAGGTTTCATAATGTTTGGTTGCGGCAAACTTAAGTTACAGAATGGAAGCTAAAAAGTTTGCAATCTTTCGATTTATAACGGGGCATAACTCAATAATGGTTAAAGTGACACTACCCAAATTCAACTTGATCTGTGTTTTATCAGTGGAAGGCAAAATTAAACATTGCATTGTATAAAGCATTGATTGTAGTTGATTCAACTACAATCATGGACAAAGGAAGATAACTTCAATTTTAAAAATTACTTGAATAATGACATTGATATTTTTAGAAATTACATTTAGTTAAGACAAACATTTAGTTAGATCTCTTCATTCTGAACATTCTTTCTCTGTCAGATTTTCTCTACTTATAGCGGGTTTCGAGATAATAGACAAAACTTCTGTTTTACCACTATGTTCTATTTTTAGCCAAGTCGGCCATGTTGGTTGGAAGGCGGGTCATCGGACACATTTTTAAACTAATACCCCAATGATGATTTTGGTAAAGTTTGGTTAAATTTGGCACAGTAGTTTCAGAGGAGAAGATTTTTGTAAAAGTTAACGTCGACGACGGACGCCTGGTGAGGAGAAAAACTCACTTGGCCCTTTGAGCCAGCTGATATAAAAATCAAAAGTCGAAAGACAAGCAACACTATGAACATGCTAGCCTACGCCGTTATTTCCACCATGAAAGTCCAATATCTATGTATACAAAGCAATATTACAGAATTGAAATGAATATAATTTAATTATGGATGTAACACGTCTTCGGATTGTCTGAAAGTGTTTTGTCTATCAGCTCATAGACATAATTTTGTCATGTGACCGTGACGTCATCAACGGTTTTTCCTGATTTACTCCTTAAAATGGAATTTAGAATTTAATTATAAGGAATGACTGTAATTTTTTCTGTCTATTCGAAATAACCTAAAAAAAGTGGTGCACACTTTTAAATATTTCTTCATAGACAGAAAAAATATAGTTTTATAATATATACAGTCAGTCCTTAAATAGCTTAAATTATTCGGAAGTTTGTAATAAAATTTCACGAGATAAGTGCAAGAAACTGGACTCTGTAAATATAAACAAAATCGAATAAGACCTGAAAAATAACCTTTATACTACTTACTATGTAATTTTGCGTTTGTATTCAGTTATGTAACGATATGTAACGAACTAATCGGCTAGCATACTCATTTGCACTAATGCGCTCAGCCATTCCGTTATTTTGCCAACAACAGTTACTGAAGATATTAATATAAAATAAAATGCTCCGCAGGGCGCAGCTTGATACGACCGCAGAGGTCGAACCCTGAACAGTTGGGGCAAGTATGGACACAACATTCAAGCTTGATACAGCTCTGAATTTGGATTGTGATTAAATATTTGACACAGCATAGGTTTCTGACACAGAATGAATGTGGTCTAAGAACTTAAAAATTTTAAATTGGACATTCACCTATTATGGTCCAATATCCAAAATCTAAATACATGGTTAGATTCAGCATATCAAAGAACCCCAAGAATTCAATTTTTGATGAAATCAAACAAAGTTTAATTTTGGACCCTTTTGACCTCAATGTGGACAAAGTTGATAACGGGGCCCAAAAATCAAAAATCTAAATACATGGTTAGATTCAGCATATCAAAGAACCCCAAGAATTCAATTTTTGATGAAATCAAACAAAGTTTAATTTTGGACCCTTTTGACCTCAATGTGGACAAAATCGATAACGGGGCCCAAAAATCAAAAATCTAAATACATGGTTAGATTCAGCATATCAAAGAACCCCATATATTCAATTTTTGTTGAAATCAAACAAAGTTTAATTTTGGACCCCGATTTGGACCAACTTGAAAACTGGGCCCATAATCAAAAATCTAAATACATGTTTAGATTCAGCATATCAAAGAACCCTAAAAATTCAATTTTTGTTAAAATCAAACTAAGTTTAATTTTGGACCCTTTTGACCTCAATGTGGACAAAGTCGATAACGGGGCCCAAAAATTAAAAATCTAAATACATGGTTAGATTCAGCATATCAAAGAACCCCATATATTCAATTTTTGTTGAAATCAAACAAAGTTTAATTTTGTACCCCGATTTGGACCAACTTAAAAACTGGGCCCATAATAAAAAATCTAAATACATGTTTAGATTCAGCATATCAAAGAACCCTAAAAATTCAATTTTTGTTAAAATCAAACTAAGTTTAATTTTGGACCCTTTGGACCTTAATGTAGACCAATTTGAAAACGGAACCAAAAATTAAGAATCTAAATACACGGTTAGATTCGGCATATCAAAGAACCCCAATAATTCAATTTTTGATGAAATCAAACAAAGTTAAATTTTGGACCCTTTGGACCTCAATGTGGACCAATTTAAAAACGGGGCCCAAAATCCAAAAACTTAATACACTGTTAGATTCAGCATATTAAAGAACCCCAAGAATTCAAGAATAAAACCCCATTGAAATTGATCAAGAAATAAGCAATTTATACGAAGTATCTTCTTTTGCACAATACTGTGCAATTGAATATTTCTTGCTATTGCGCAATGCTGTACAATTGACAATTTCTTGCTATTGCGCAATATTGTGCTATTGGATATTTCTTGCTATTGCGCAATACTGTGCAATTGAAGATTTCTTGCTATTGCGCAATACTGTGCAATTGAAGATTTCTTGCTATTGTGCAATACTGTGCAATTGAAAATTTCTTGCTATTGCACAATACTTATTATATAATAATTTACACATCCTGTTTGGTGTGTATCTCCTACCATATACTTATTATTTGCTTTTAAATATTAATCAGAAATAACCAACTCAAAATGGAAAATTTTAAAAGAAAAAAAAAAGGAAAAAAAGAAAAAAAAAAAATCCCCCCCCCAAATTTTTTGAACCCCCTTATGATTCATCACCCCCCAAACTCAATCCCAGCCTTCCCTTTGTGGTATGGTACCTTGCAGTACAATTTCAGAAAGATCCATACACTTGAACACAAGTTATTGTCTGGAAACTAGAAAAATGCTTATTTTTGGCCCCTTTTTGGCCCCCAATTCCTAAACGTTTCGGGCAATTACCCCCAAACTCAATTCCAGCTTTCCCTTTGTGATATGGAACCTTGTAGTACATTTTCAGAAATATCCAAACACTTACACACAAGTTATTGTCATTAAACTAGAAAAATGCTTGTTTTTTGCCCCTTTTTTGGCCCCTAATTCCTAAAATTTTGAGGCAATTACCCCCAAAATCAATTACAGCCTTCCCTTTGTGATATGGAACCTTGTGGTACAATGTCAGAGAGATCCATACACTTACACACAAGTTATTGTCTGGAAGTTACAAAAATGCTTATTTTTGACCCCTTTTTGGCCCCTAATTCCTTAACTGTTGTTACCATTACCCCCAAAATCAATCCCAACCTTCCTTTCGTGGTATTTAACCTTATGGTAAAATTTCATGGAGATCCATTCACTTAAACTAAAGTTAGAGTGCGAAAACCAATGTGTCTTCGGACGACGCCGGACGACGCCAGACGACGACGACGACGTCATACCAATATACGACCAAAAAATTTTTAATTTTTGCGGTCGTATAAAAACAAACCCACAAAATTTAATATCAAACATTATTTCGGTTGGTAACATGATATATTTAATGTAAGTGAATTAAATGTTTAGGGTCTTTTAACCCCTCCCTTTTGTTGTGACAAAACTCTTAACACAATCTCTGGTGCATATGAATTGCTGTGTAGAATTTGCTTACAATTTCAAGCAAAGAAACATCATTCACAGGATAACATTGTACTCTTACCTTTGTATGACTTCACAAGGTCACGTTATGGAATGTTCCAAGTGTTATAAAACTGTCTTCTGGCCTTGCTGCATTCTTACTTCAGGGTACCTTGAATTAAATTGGATAGACGATAAGTAAATGCTAATTATATAAGTATAATGTTCTAATATATCATGTAATTGAACATTATTTCCAACTAACAAAAAACGTAAACATGAAAATAAAATATCGATAGCGAGACTATTTTCCATGATTACGTCCTCTGTTTCCTCACTAAAAAGTGGACATCTACTATATTAGAGTAGCTTAAAAAACAGCACATGCCAAATGACGTTTCCTTTCAATTAGTTTGCCTGTAAATATGTTAACTGACTACCTCGAGATCTATACGTACTTAAGTATCATATATCACAACTGATTCAGTTATGTTTTTATTCTTCCACATTATTTTTATATAACACACAGGTTTCCTAATCGCTTCCGTTAACGAATGACCAAATCATGATAATCCTATTTACGAGGTCAACCAATAATCTTTACAGTGACATTTCACTTGTTGTCGGTAGTCAAACGGCCTTACAGTTTGTAACTTAAATGTATACTTCCTCTGTGATATATTTTATTTACCGTAAGAAACAAATGTGCAAATGAAGTTTTGTTTTCAGAAGTACTTTACTAAATAGCTCACCTTCTTTCACGTAACTATCTCTTCTCATTCGTGTGTGCAACAGACGAAAAAGTGAATCAGTATTATCCCCTGTAACACGTGTAAAGTAATTAACCTCTGTTTGACACCCTTCTTTCTCAACTTTTGAAATAAGTATTACAGAGCGTGGATATGTAAACGTTATAAAATCTCAGATCAAATGTCAAGTCAATACTTCTGACAATCAATAACTTCTACAAGTAAATATCAAAAGTAAATAAATGTGTTTGTCGGTCGATAACAAAGGAAACTTGTAAAAGTAATCAAACATCTGTATGCATGGAAGTAAATTAATTGTTTGCCACTCTTTCGGCTAAAAATTAAAGTTAAAAAAACTTCCATGACCCTATCCTGAAAATTGAAAAATTAAATAAATGTTCTTGTTCGACCCCAGCAGATCATCTTAGGGGATCCGCAATAAGAACGTTAAATAAAATTGATTTTCATTGATTAAGTTCAATCTGAAACAAAAGGTAAATAATTTAAAATGATCCGAAAAAAAAATGAATATAGATAAGCTGTTCTTTTCAAGACGAAGAAATGTTATCCACAAACTAGTTCATCTAGACATAATAAAAAACACAAAGAACAAGTTCCCGACATCAAACTTAAGACGGCCTCTGAGGATGACCTTGCACAACATATTTCACGAAACCATATCATTAATTGAGAACAACAGAGTACTAAAGGGAGTTTCATGTGCAAAGACATGTTTGCACGGAGCATATAGTAAGCTGCTGAGGAACAAATACCACGTGTCAAATATATTTACTAATATGTGTTTACCTTTAATTCATCTTTTGGGGGAGAGATTGATTTTTTGCGGTGCCGGCCGTTTTATGTGTTCTCTCAATTTTAAACATTTTAACAACGAAAAGTACATTTTAAAAGTATTATGTTTTACAAGCACAGTAAACTTTTATCTATGACATTTACTTTAATTTACTTCCTCATGTTCCTCTTACACCATTTACTTAATGAATTTGACCTTATAACTAAAAATAAATTTCCCATGAAAATGCAGGAATAAGATGTGTACACAAGCCCACATTAGCTACAGATTCCAGATGAAAATGAATATTTCATATACCCCCCCCCCCCCCCCCCCCCCACCCCCCGCGAAAAACAAATGATCGTGCCCTAGCTGATACTTGGATATGTAAAGTAGAAACATGTAGTCTTACCTTCATCACCTTCTGTTATCATATATCATCTGAATCTTTACCTGTAATAGATGTAAATCAATGGGGCAATGAACTATTTGTTCTTTAAAAAGTCAGTCAGTTATGCAACAAAAATTAGGCGATCATTTATAACTTACTTGCACATGTTACACCGGTTAAGTACACAAGCAAGTGTCTAATAATAAATGTATTGTAAATCAGGTATCAAGACTTACTAAACTGACCTTGTTCAGCACACGAACCATTAACATCTTTTGATAAGTCCTAGGTCATTATTTTCACGTTTAACTTTTAACATTAAGGTTGCTATAATACCTTCCAGATAATAGAACCACTGTACCAAGATGACAGAAGCTTCATACAATTCAGTACAGTAATTTTGATTTGCCGAAGCAACCAAAAACTTATATTTTTATTTCCGTATAATGTAATATCTATGACTGCAGGTGCCTGTGAAAACGTTAGAACAACACACAAAAAAACAATGTTGAGCTCGTGTTAAAATTTGTTGTCAGAAGTACTGACACAATTTCTGATAGGTCAGCGACAATACTTCGTCAAAGAATTAAAAAGGAACCTGGAATTTTTTTTCGGCCGTTTGACGAATAAAGGATTCCGTTAAAATATCCTTCGTGAAAATGTTTTCAATACGATTGATTAATTGATTTCATTTTTTAAAGTTTGATGACAAATATTCCATGCTCTGCAAATCAATGGACTTACACTGGAAAGGAGCAGATATTTTGCCTTATCGAAATAAGTGCTCCTAAGAGTTATTGCCAATATGATTAAATCTATTAAGCAAATCCAACGCAGAAAATAAGTTATTGCCAAACTACTTTTGAATGTGCAAAGAGCGCGACATTCTCCCAACAAAGGTCAAGCGTTAAAAAGTTATACAGATTTGTAATTTGATGCCCCAACCTTAAAGAAAATCATTTTGGTATCAAATGCATAAAGATTAGCTGAAGTTTGTGGAGCTGTGCTTTACAACAAACGTAATATAATAAAGCATATAGGGTAAAAAGAAAAGAATAGCTAATTGGTGATTTCATAATTGTGCTGAGATTATGAAGTTTTTGTCGATATTAAACTTTAGGTAATATTACAGTAATACCAGTAAAACCTCTAGGTGAATTTTTAGTGGTAAAATATCATTTGTTGTAAAATCGGTTTATAAAAAATGATAAGATGTACAAACCTTTTTTTGTTATTACTCATAAGATCTCATTAGAAGAAATCCGATTTGTTCCTAAAGAGAAATATGTTACAGGATATTTGTCAAATCTTTGAGTGTGCCAAAATTAGAATCAAGCTATTCGAAACACTTCTAGACTGCCGGTAATTTAAGAGTTTTATGATATTGTTTAGATACTTGTCTATATTGTTGAAAAAGAACACTGCTCTATAATTATATATATATAGTAGATGTCTTATTTCTATTTGGGTCGTTTTCTCAATAATGTATACCCACACATATTGTTCATATTTAAACTAGCACACATGGTACATCATAGTTAAATCTAACAAATAATTTATTTTACTTCAACAGTGGGTAATGGTCTCTAATGGTAGTTCCAGATGATTCTGACATGGCTGACATAAGTTCTTGAACATAGCTGAGTCGTGGAACAATTGTTCAAAGTATGACTTGGGTTCAAACCCTGAGAGAGTTCAAAAAATATGTCCAGCTCCAGTTCTATTATAGCCTTGAATGATCAATCTGAGTAGCAGTAACAACCCTTTCAAGCAAATTATTGATATATCAAACAAAATATTGAAAATGTCTGTCTTCAAAACATGGCATGGTTCAACTAATTTTACCTTAAGGGTTACCTGGATTCCACTTCAGCTATTTTGGTTTCAACACTTCAGGAAATATCAGGTGCTGACCCTAAAGTTACTCAGGTTGACCTCAAGAAAACCTGTTTCACTTGAACATTGTTTTTAAAATTACTCAATTCTGATTGACATGACTAGTAATTGCAATAAAATAAATCAACACCAGATATAAGTTTGGATGTAACCAAGCAATGTTTAAGCACTATCGGGGAGAATGTAGTTACAAATTCAGGGATTGTTTTTTATCTTTCTTTTTTCACTGAATAAACTTATTGATATATGTAAAGCTTATAATCATACTGTTGTTGCCCATTCAATGTGTCCGGTATTTTTTTGGGGATTCATATGGATTCATATAGTTTAAAAAAGTGGCCCCAAAGAGCCTGAATCACTCACATGGTAAAAATCTGCCATTTTTGATAATTATTTTACTTTTATTGCAATAAATTATTCTTACTTATTTCCATTTACTTTTCTGCATTGAAAATGTGAAGAGGTTTATTCTGGGCATTGATTGGACAAGATCATGTCATCCTGTGCTGTTTATGACATAGCTATATGAAATCTCCTTTGGACATGTTGGAGTATCGATATTAGAATGTAGGATAGTATGAGTTCATTTCAACATTGTCAAATAAAATACTTTGAGCTTGCTTACAATATTAAACTGTGAGGTTTCAACAAAAAACAGAGAAAACGGAGCACTGGAAACATCTGCTTCTGCTTGCTGTAAATATATTATGGTTCAGTTCCTTCTGTGCAATACATTAATTGGTGCTACAATTCTCAAAAAAGAAATTTTTATACTTTTACTTTCCTTGATGGCTTTAAAACAGCCACCCCTTGTCAAACATAGCCAACACCCTGCATGTGGTGTTCTACACGGTCTTGTAACAATCTCCAATATAGCACCATGATTTATTTCTTAAATAGTAATGAGATGTTATCTTCTCCAACAAACCATAGGTAAGAAGAGAACATTATGGAAATAATCTCCATTTTGTACATAAGCCTAATATTTCCTTTAAAGAAGCACTAGATCATTATCATGAAACAACACCATACAATTTCATAAGCCTCAATTCGTCAGAAGAGGGGTGGAGTACTTTGACCTTTTTGTGGTAGGGGTGAGCAGCTGAAACATTGGGTACCAAACCCTTTTCAATTTTGAATAACAAAATTACATACCCTATCATATATTTTTTGACTAAATATATACCTAAAGCTATCATGCTTACATTATTTCATGGTTAGATAAATAGATTTGACAAATATCTGATGCAATTAAGAATGTAGTTTTAAACTCATCTGTGAAATCAAAGTGCTTGTAAGCACTGAATGATAAAGATTGCTTTACTTTTTCAGTGGGAAGTAAAATTAAACATTTTTTTTTGGCATTGTATAAAGCAATTGATTCAACTACAATTATGGACAAAGGAAGATAACTCCAATTTTAAAGATTACTTCATTGGTATTTTTAGAACAGATATTAGATTCCTGCACCTTGTACAAGTTATGTAATTTTATTGACAAGTATACCATCATTTTGTAACTTGAATATCTGAGCATATATTTCATTGATAAATTTCAGGAAATGTTCATGGATAGGATGTATAGAATGTTATGATCAATGCACTATATTTTGTGTATCTCAAAAGCAGTGATAAAGTTTGGAAAATTGATAACTATCAAGCCAGCCACATAAGGGTTGCATGAATGCAATCTTTACTCCAAAAATCGACATACGATCAGATTCAGTAATCATGATTCAATGAGCAACTTTTTCATAGATTTCACCTTAATTTCTCAACCTTATCATATATCATGAACTAAAAAAAGTGACCTATAACAGCAGCTCATCCCTACCATACATTACATAACAAGTGGTCTCCCAGAACTCAGTTCTAAAATACTAATATGTAATGTACATTTACTCTTTGAATAAAAAATGCACTATTAAATCTGGTTTCATAACATTGAACCATAAAGAACATACTGACTACCCTCAATTACTATCTTTTGCAATGTGTTAAGAAGTAAGATCAAAATGTTTGAACAAATATTGTTACTTGTTTTTATATATTCATCAACAATTTAAAACAAAAGTACATAATAAATCTCAAATAAAAATAAATATTGTCTGTTGGTTCTCATTATATCATGTTCTTCTCTGGAGATTGTTTATGTGCTATATATAGAAATCCTATACTGGACAATGCACTGACCAGAAATATGACATCAAACCATCGGTGATAAAAATTGAACTGTAGATCTCCTAATACCTCTGTTATAATTGTTCTGTAATAAAATTTAAATAACAATTATTTTTTTATTTTCAATCTTTAAGGGTTAATTAAAAATTTTAAACATGTATAAACACTACATGGCCAGCCATTAATAAAATTATAAATACAATGATGCTTTACAGTGCTTTAAATGTTATAAAGTGGTGGAATTATGTTTTACAATAAGTAAAACAGCAAGTCTTAGTGTACTTTTGAATTGGCTAGTAAATTGGTAATAAAAAAGTACAGCCTCTTTATGTTCCAGTGGCTCTTTTCACAAAAAATCTTCAGAGTAAAAATACTTGTAAGTCATACACATTTCAGTATAACTTACGATCAATTTTAATCGTAAGTTTTTTTGTGAAAAGAGTCGCTGATCACTGCCGGATAAACTTGACAGGATAACTTGACAGGTAAAAGGCTGGAAAAGGTGATAAATCTGATGAATCCTCAAGTACAGTAGGAGGGACAAGGGTATTGCAGGATACTTTCAAAATATGGTTTTGGCAGTTACAAATTTCAGACTGAAAAGAGTTCAAAGCTAAGGTTAAATTTAAGAAAAAAAATATTTCTTCATACATTAATTATTATTGCTTATCATTTTAAGTTCCATTGAGAAATTTTGTAAATTCATTTTTAATAAGCAATTATTATTTCAAGTCAAAGTTAACAAATATCTAAATATATATACATTGCTATCATATAAATGTATTGTTCATTTTTTATTCTGAAGATCTATGATTTCCTCACATGATTTGTTGATGTGTAGTAAGAGTTTAATCTTATTTTTTGGAACAGTTTTTACCTTCAAGCCTTAAAACACAGAGATACAACATGTGACATATTACTCTTATTTTTGACAGCAAGATCATAGTTAATATTTATGTTTTTTTTAAATAAGAAAATCATAATCGTACCTGTACTCTATTGGCATATTCATTCTTATTAGCAAAACTGATGACACAAAATACATTCCCTGTAAATAAATGTATACTTTCACTTTTGTCATAAATTTCAAATTTTGAAGTTAATGATAATTACCTAAAACCTAATAATTATCAAAAACTAGATTATACTGATGAATGAAATTATTATAAGTTTTATCATTAGTGTTCACAAATTTTGTCACTTTACCTTTTTAGCTTAAATAAGCAAAAATGATCAGCAAGACAAGATCTACAATTAAGACAATGAAGAGGAATTTGTCCGCAGACTCCATATTGGAGTTATTGCCCTTTAATGACGATCTTTACCATTATTTTGCGTTTTGCCTTGTATAATAAAAATTATAATAGATAAATAGACACATTAAATCACAAAAATGATCGGGCAAGATCTACTAACAAGTCAAATTTTGCCAATATAGTTAGTAGACTGTCACTCCTTATAGGATTTATTTTGCCCTCTTTTGTGTTTTGAGCAAAAACTAAAGAAGATAGAGAGAAACTAAACAGCCTAAATGATCAGAATACAAGATCAACAAAACAGAGATTTTTGTCATGAATTCTATTCTCGTCTACAATGTTGGAGAGTGTCCTTTGTTGAATATGCATATAGACCAAGGTGAGCGACACATGCTCTTTAGAGCGTCTAGTTTTCTTGTTTTATTGCAAAAAACAAATACATAACTAAAGTTGTTTAATTTGTTCCTACACAGGCATGTGTACCTCTTATTTCATATTATTACTGCCTTTTCTTTTTACCTGGCAATGCTTCATGGGTCTGTTCTTGTTCTATATTTATCTGATTTATATTTTTCAAATATCAGTCCTTGGAAATTTGCATAAAATATTTGTGATCTTTTTTACAAATACACAATTATTTACCAAATATCAGCTCAGTAGCTTTAAAAATTGCTGACATCAGTAAAAATGTTGTCATTTTAACTCAAAGGGTTATCATTAGGTCAAAAGTACAGAGACAAAAGTGAAACCAACATGTTATTAGTAAATAAGTAAAACATATCTTCAAATTTTATTCAATTCGACGAAAGCTCTTTTAAGATTTTTCAGAAATTCGTAATTGAAATTATTGATGATTTCATCCTTAAGTTCTACTTTAAATAATAGTGGCCCACCATGGACTATCACCTAGGTCAATCAACAAATATTTTAGGTAGACCAACTTAGGATGATGCAGCTAAGTTTGGTCTGATTGGGCCAGTAGTCTCAGGAAAATTTGAGTGTATTCTATTGGAACTATAAGTAATAAAGGTTATTTTTACATAAGAGTAAACTCTGCCTTTCATTCTCAAACTTCAAAGTCCCAAAGTTTGTGGGTCATCCAAGTTTACACATCTTTGTAAACTCTTTCAAAATAACCTTAATTACATTCTTAACATAGCCTTCCCCCTGTACCATGAAAGTTAATTTGTTGAATCTAAATAATGAATATTATTAGATATATACTTTTTACTTACCATGATTTCAGCTATAGCAAGTACAATAATATTTGATGATTTGCTACTGGCTATGGCATAGAAAAACTGAATAATAATATATTTTTGAATTATATGGAAGCAAAAGAATGAGTTAAAAACCTGTGCAGTGTTAAAAAGAAGCAGACAAAGGTTAATGATGCCACAAGGTACAGAAAAATTTATTGAAACACAGTTAATAGTAAAGGAGGATAAGGAAACACAAAGTGCAGGTAGACAAACACAAGACATGAGAAGAATGGACATGGTTTGTTTTGACACAAACATGTAAAAAGATAGCAGGCTTATAATTTTGAATTCCAGACACATGTTTCATCTACAAAAGACTCATCAGTGATGATCAAATCAAAAAAGTTAAAAAGGCCAAATAAAGTACGAAGTTGAAGAGCATGGAGAACCTAAAATTCAGAAAGCTTTTACCAAATGTAACTATCCCCCTATGCTCCTGTCCAAGATAAAAACCACTACAAAAATCTTATAAATAAATATAAATTTCCCTCCATTCAAACCTATTCATTGCAATTTCCCAAGAAGTAAAAAAGCTAAATTTTTACATTGCAACAGAAATCCAAAAAAATAATCTCAACATGAAATAATTATTTAAAGTTATTACTGAAGAATGTACAACTCAATCTGATAATAAAATAAGATATATGTGCACAGATACAAATGAAACTGTTGTTTAACTGCATCTTAAGTTCTACTAAATGAATCTTTCAAATGACAATATAAACTTACCCTAGTTAGAGTCAGCAGTAATCCTCTGATAGATGTAATAATGATAATACCAATTAGAATGAAAGATATCTGTTGGGACCAAAATTTTATCTGAAAATAAATAAAAAAAATATTTGTCTTAGCAGTTGAATTGTTATAGTTCCAAGTTCAAACATCTAAAATAAACCTTATATGTGACTTGATGACTGCTACAAATTTCCATTTTGTGAAATGTGACCTAAACTTTGTATAATTAATTGAAAATTTCATTTCTATTTATTACTTACATCGAAATGAAATCCAAAATAATTGACGACTATGTCTATTCCTCTAGTAATAGGATCCACTTTTCCTACTCTGTCAAAAACAATGTTAACTGTTGACTGAAATGGAAATATATACAGAATAAATTTTTATAAATCTTGATCTTCATTTTCTATTGTGGTACAGCCACTGACAAAAGAGACAAGTGAGTATCAATAAGAATTATCCTAAGGTTACAAGGTCCATATATTTTGGTAAAACTTTACCTTCATTTCAAGCGCTGACAATATAGATGAGTAAGTATTAATGATTATTTTAAAGTTACAAAGTCCATTAAATTCCATTCCTTTTTGTCTCGCCTTGACAGAGTCAAAAAGCGAGACATAGGTATGCTGTTTCCGGCGTTGGCGACGACAACAGTGGCAGCGTCAGCAATGTATTAGTTTGTGATTAGATCTAGTTCATGGTGAACCACTAGTGGTAGGTCAATGATATCTGGTATGCAGTTGTATTAGCATTGGCACATCTCATTACCATGGACATTATTTGGCCCCGCCCCCTCAGTCAAGGTCTATTGACTTTGAAACTTTGCTAAGTTTACATGTATTATTTTGTGATTAGGTCAGTTTATGGGGAACCACTAGTGGTAGGTCAATGATATTTGGTATGCAGTTGTATAAGCATTGGCATATCTCATTTCCATGGAGATTATTTGGCCCCGCCCTCTCATACATGGTCTATTGACTCTGAAACTTTTGCTTAGTTTTCATGTATTAGTTTGTGATTAGGTCAGTTTAAGGGGAACCGTTAGTGGTAGGTCAGTGATAATTGGTATGCAGTTGTATAAGCATTAGCACATCTCATTTCCATGGAGAATATTTGGTCCCTACCCCCTCAGTCATGGTCTATTGACTTTGAAACTTTTGCTTAGTTTACATGTATTAGTTTGTGATAAGTTCAGTTCAAGATGAACCACTAATGTTAAGTCAAAGATATTCAGTATGCAAATGTATTGGCATTTGCAAGTTTCATTTCCATGGAGATTATACATGTATAACCCCACCCCCTAATTATGGTTCATTGACTTTGAAACTTTTACATAGTTTACAAGTTAATGTTTGTGTTTAGGTTTGTTTAAAGGGAACAACATATGAAAAGTCAATGGTATTTGGTTTGCAGTTGTATTAGCATTGGCACATCTCATTTCCATGGAGATTGTTTAGCCCTGTACCTTCAGTCATGGTTCATTGACTTTGAATATTTGCATAACTTACATGTTAAAGTATTGCTATTTTAATTTCAACATTTGCATTATCAAGATAACAAATAGGACATAGACATAGACATATCTCTGTGTTAATAGTTTTGTATGTCAAGTACTTGTACCTATTCCAGTATGTCGACATATTTATACAATGTATGATTTTACAGAATTTAAAAAAAAATCAATTGTATGATTAACTGTGTAACTTATATCTTTCAATGCCCCTAGATGAATTCCTACAATCATTTTAGTATTTTGGTGTAAAACCCAATCTAATCTACCATTTTCATTGTGTTGGTATAAAGCCATGACGAGATGTGATCATTCTATTGTTCTGTCATGAGATCTTTTATTTTACATGTTTTTGCCAGTGGAGTGGTACTTTCAAATTTTGAAATGTCCACTGAGTTTAGTGCAATTGTAATTTGCTACATTTGTAAATAAAGGTAATTGACCAATAAATGTACTCAATGCTACCATTGGCATTTGTGATATAATTTGATATGTATCTATATAATATGTCATTAAAACCTATAGCACATGGACCTGAGTTTGTATGTCAAGGTAGTATCTTTGGTTAGCTTGCTTGCTAGATGAACCATTAAATCATTATTGGCCAAGGTCCTACCTTCCTTTGGGTGGAGTCAACAGTTAAGCAGAGAACCAATCAAAAGTAGGGGTATTGTGAAACTATTTTTTTTCTAGTCAGTTTAGAAAATATGTTTTCAATGAATATCTAAAATCTAGTGTCAATTATAAGCTAATTTACAAGCAATTTGTAGGTGTGTTTGATTTGTCAATTTCATTTCAATTATTAAAGTAACATGCATTTTGATTACAAAAAACACATTCCCAGATTGTGCATTTTTTTCTTCACAGCTGAAGATAATAAAATGAAAATCTGAATTTTAATTGATTCTTTCCACTAAGATACACTTATTTTCATGCATTATCTATTGTCCTGCTATTGTTCATATCAATCAAAACAATATAATACTATTGATTCATGAGCACGGTGAACAGATCTCAAAGATTTTACCCAACTTAGTTTATTTCTTACTTCTTCTGTAGCACTCCCCCCCAAAATACAAATCAAAATCAAAGATATTGATATCCTTATTTACAATGTATATAAACCTGACAGTGATCAGTTTCACAAAATGTTGATCGTAAGTATACTTAATTGTTCATAACTTACAATCAACTTTAGTCATAAGATTTTATATGAAACTGATCACAGAGACATATGAAATAAGGATATGATTTTTTTTTAAATTGATTAAATCATTGTAAACTACTGCTTACAGTATAGAATTACACATGTTAGTAATCTAGTTATAAATGAACAGAGGTAGTTGATTGAAATGTAATTGAAAAATCAGACACACCTACAACATGCTTGTGAATTAGCTAATAATTGAAACTAGATTTTAAATTTAGATTAAAAACATATTTCTTTTAACTGACTTATAAAACTGGTTTCACTATGTTTATATACTGTCCCTACTTTTGATTGGTTCCCTGCTTAACTACTGACTCTACCCAAAGGAAGGTAGGACCTTGGCTAATAATGATTTCATGAATTAGCAAGCAAGCTAACCAAAGATATTACCATTAAATACACACTCAAGTCCATGCACCCTAATTCTCCAAATAACATAATGAAAGAATAATACTTACAATAAATATTTTCCAGACACAGTATCCAGAAAAGAAGTATCCCAAAAAGTTAAAATATTTTCCTTTAAATGTTGCTGCATAGGCTATTCTTTCCTGTAAACAGATAGTTCAAATAATTATGACGTCTTGTAAGGCTATCTTTTTATTTTTTTGCTGTGACACTTTCCTACGACTAGTAAACGGACAAACATTTAAATGGGACAGAAAAAGCTATCCTTAATCTATAACAGAAAAAGCTATCCTTAATCTAAAACAGAAAAATATCATTAATCTAAAACAGAAAAAGCTATCCTTAATCTAAAACAGAAAAAGCTATCCTTAATCTATAACAGAAAAAGCTATCATTAATCTAAAACAGAAAAAGCTATCCTTAATCTAAACCAGAAAAAGCTAGCCTTAATCTAAAACAGAAAAAGCTAGCCTTAATCTAAAACAGAAAAAGCTATCCTTAATCTAAAACAGAAAAAGCTATCCTTAATCTATAACAGAAAAAGCTATCCTTAATCTATAACAGAAAAACAAATCATAATACTGAAAATGTCAACAACAATTTTTATTTCAATTTAAAATTAACAGCATATCTTTTCAACTGTATCCAAATGATATATATACTACTATTACAGTCATTATGTACATTAAAACCAAGGATTGTAAATGACAACTGTTCTTCTTATTTCTCTCTCTTTGGCTTTTTTTTCTATGACTGAAAAATAATAATGCCTTCAAATTGGTCTAGGACCAGACATCTTCAGTTATCAGATACATGTTCTATCACTTGGCATTTTATGCAATAACAAATATTCTGCTAAATATGGCATACTGCTACTATCTTCAGACAAATATGTTTATTTTATTATCAAATTTTTTTTTTTTTTATCCCATTAAGACCAGGATATGCCAGGTTTCATGTTTTTTTACCAGTCTTGGGAAGATAAAATTGCATGGACATGATATCATCATTTTAAGACATCCTCTATTTTCGAAACCGCCTCGGTGGTCTCGTGGTAGTGTGTTCGCCTCAAGTGTTGGAGGTCGAAGGTTCGAACCTCAGCCGGGTCAAACTAAGACTTTAAAATTGGTATTTGCTGCTTCTCCGCCAAGCACGTGGCATTAAATAGTAAGAGCAAAGACTGGTTGGCCTGGAGTCAGAAAAATGTTTCTGGGTAAGGTGACATGTCTTCCTGCTGACTGTTACCTTGTGAGCTAGCACGTTAAATATCTGCCTTAGCGTGTCGGTCTAGTACAAAGCAGGGTAAATATCCCTTTTAGATTAACGTTCTCGTCCTGAATATGCATATCATTTTGCCACTGGACATTAAGCAGCCATCGATAATCATCATCAATTTTTGTAAAAACTTATGGTTTTCAGGTGAAGTAATGTTAAAGCTGGCTTTAGAACATTTATATATATATTTTCTTTAACAAGAATTCTTGTATTTGACTTCTTAGTAGTGAACATTTATAGAAATCAACATAAAAAATTCCAAGTAAACTGAACAACAAAAAATTACCTGCATATTATGTAAATCTACTGATTCCAGAAACAGTTGTCTACTTAACTCTTCATAGGCCTCTACCTCCTGTTTTAATTGACCAACATCTTGTCAACGATTAAGGAATTTATTTGTCAATCAGCAATGTTATTTTAAATGAATATTCATATTTCAATTGTAAGATGTTCAATTGTAGAAACAATCTACAGTATAAAAGAACACACTAGAAGAAAGTAAAATAAGTTTACTTAGGAAAGTCCTTAAATCAATATTCATAGTCCATGAAAATCTAATGTTTATAATGAAACTGCAATATATTTGTAATTTCATTAGTCTATTGAAAGACTGAAAATGAGCCTGAATGCACAATTTATAAATTGGTAGAAAAGGTCACTTAAATATTATAATGCTTGAAACAGTGTAAAGTTTAAGGAATAAAAACAACTTGCCTAATTTAGAAACAAAAATGTTAATTCAAGCAATATTGCCAAATTATACTTTTCTCAGACTGTCTTTTGTTTTCAACCAAAAAACGCTGTGACTATCAATTTAAATGACAGACATGGACACAATAAGAGATATTTAAACTTAAATGATTCAGTGACAAGACAAGATGTGGAACAGAAATAAAAACATTATTTAGAAGACCTACGTGAAGCTGCTGAATTCAGCTATAAAAATGTATAGAGTTTAAGGATACTTTCTGTTGATCCTGAACTTGATCCAACGTTTCTCAACATTCCCCAGAAGCCTCCTTGATTCTTGGTTAAACTGGCCTGTTTTAAACTTTCTCTCTTGGCTATGGCAATTCTATAAAATATAATTGCTTCTATGTAACAAAATACAAAATACTGTAAATTCAATTTTTTTTCATTTTTTGTTGTTTTTCCATAAACTGTGTCAACATGGTCAAGATTCTTATTCTATTTATCAGAATTTCGATTGAAATTGTGAGTTAATTATCTGCATGAAGCATTTCAGAACTTGTTCATTTGTGTAAATTTGTTACAATGAATGTCCATGTTTGAAGGAGTAAAATATTTTGTATTTATTTATTAACCACATCAGGGGCGGATCTAGCCATTTTTAAAAGGGGGTTCCCAACTCAGGATAAAGGGGGGTTCCAACTATATGTCCCCATTCAAATGCATTGATCGCAAAATAAAAGGGGGGTTCCAACCCCCGCCCCCTTTGTTGTCAGTTGTTTCTATGTAGTATTGTCCCTTTGCAATTTCTTCTTCTGACATTGTCTATTTAAAGCTAGGGTAATCTTAAGAATGTATTCTACAAATAACTATTAAAATGATCCAGTAGAAATCTTTTCTGTTTAGTAAACACAGTTGCTTGCATCTCTCTCATTTGGTCTCTGGTGGATAGTTGTCTCATTGGCAATCAATCCACATCTCCTTAGACTCTGGTGGATAGTTGTCTCGATGGCAATCAATCCACCTCATTTTATATTTTTATATATATTATGTTCTTTACAAATGTATACAAATTATGCGCACGTTAGTCTCATTCTAACTTTGTAAATTAATGAGACCAATAAGATTTTTCTTTAAACATACAACATATTACTAATTAAAACGGATACAATTATCTCTCGAGATTATATGACATCAGATATTTCCTACCTTTTCTTCTTCATCAGAATCATATCCATGGTCTGCATCAGTCTTTTCTCTATACTTTGTATATCACTGTCCTTAACATCCCTGACAATAGAAAAATATTGCAGCACTGTACTGTATGTATATATCAAACGAGATTCTAATAGCCAATTAACAAAGAATGTTTATTCTAATCAATGATAACAATTGTTTTTTTATACAGAATTTTTTTACTAAAGACTTTTGTCAAATTTTAGAAACAAATGAATAAGATCACAAGAAATATTTCAGAATAATGTTTTCCCAGCTTTAGTCATCAGAAAATCTTACAGTTTAGCTAAGTTGTAACTAGGGATAATGAATCTATCACTGAAGCTTTTTTGTCAAAGCAACTGATATTATTGGGTATGAAGTGAATTACCATGGGTATACAGGATTTTGCTGTTTAATATTTGGCCTTGGGGCAATGAAAAAATTGAATTGAACACTTCATTGAATTGGTTTTTATGCAAAACATAATAGCTGATATATTCAAATTTTTGTTGTTTAACATCAAAAACCTTTTACATGACGTTAAAATAACAAGACATTGTGAATTTATGACTTCACGGTATATGGCTCATATAATAATAGGTAGCATAATACAGCCTTAAAAGAGGGGCAAAAGATACCATAGGGACATTCAAACTCATAAATCGAAAATAAACTGACAACGCCATGGCTAAAGATGAACAGACAAACAATAGTACACAAAACACAACATAGAAAACTAAAGCCTAAGCAACATGAACCCCACCAAAAACTGGGAGTGATCTCAGGTGCTCAGGAAGGGTAAGCAAATCCTGCTCCACATGTGGCACCCGTCGTGTTGTTCATGTTAGTACAAACCCAGTAAATAGTCTAATTCGGTAGGTCACATTCGTGAAAAGGGAACAGGATTGTAGTTACGACATTAGGAACATATCTGCTGTCATCTGTGAAACGGATATTCCATAACTTAAATTTGATTACTTTAAGCCAATGAAATGGTGAGATTTTGATAACTTCTCTCTGTTATGTGTTAATACAGTGATACAAGTTTATACAAGAAACATGTCTGAACTGAAACTCTTGCATACATACAAAGAATATTCTTAGGCAATTTATGTAAACAAAACATTTGTCTAATTGATACAAAATCTTCAGTTCAGACAGGGTTCCAAAAATACAGGTTTTACTGTATTTATATTTTCACTATGTATTTTAACTTTTTTTTGAAACTAATCATTTCTAAGGGCCATATAGTTGACTATATAGATTGAATGCCTTTGGAGGTTGTGTGGCAACAATTAGTTCTTTATCTTTGGTTGGAATGTGTTGTTGGATTGTTGTCTCATTCATATTTACCTGTAATCTGTTATGTTTTACCTTATAAAGACAAACATAGATGTATATGGATAATTAACAGCACCAAAACCCGATAACAGAGCCATGATGGTCACACCAATCACACCTATTCTTCCTATACACTGCTCTATTGAAAATATTCCTGGAAATAAATTATATGTCATACTAAATTACTTATCCACTAAAACTATTACTTATAATTATTTTCACAAGTACTTTCATGTTTTTCAATCTTCTGGGAAGGAAAATATTTTTACATCGATAGTAACTAAGAAATGTTAGTTTGTCGTTATAAAAATATAAATAAGTATTTATACAAATCAATAACCAATTTTTCCTTCGAAAATCCGGTTAATAAGTAAGATCTGGTTTTGTTGGATATTCCTTTGACCATTATATATATGCTTATCGCCCCTGATTAATGGCGGTTGGTGGAAAAATTCACTGGTAAAATATTCTGAGAATCCTGGGTTTTTTAACAGTTTCCATCATTTAAAATACACCAAATATTTATATCAGAGAGGAAGAAACACTAAGATAACTTCCGATCGATCAATTATATTTACAAACATTTATTTACGCTGATTTACGTGTGTGCACATATAACTATATAAACACGTGTTGACTACAAGCCGGTCATCATGGTAGATTTAGTCAAATTGAAAATTGACCTATCGATGGACAAAACCATTAATGACTATCCTCTTTCATCTCTCCCATCAAAGCAAAACAAGAGGACTGGTAAAGCAAAATTAAGCCTTTTCGAGCAAATTGACCCAAACTTGTATGATGAACATGCTAAAATTATCACATTCTACACAAACCTTGACAGAATCCAACCATGGATAAAAACACTAGATATTTACTATTATGACAATCTTGGAAAGGAACCTGATTATGATATTGAATGGTATGACGAACCCAAAACATGGGAAAACCGAAACAACAGTGGAAATTCTGTGATGATTGAAGTATTAAAAAAGGGGGAACTTCAATTTAATATTACATTTTTTGTCACAACAGGAACAATAAGAGTACAAGGCAGTCATTATTATGAGTTTGTGGATATTCATTTTCCAATTCTGAAAGATATTCTTGATAAAGTTCTTACAAACATATCACAAACCAGTCCTACTAATACATGTATTTCACACGAATGTCATGATGACAATAACAATACACACATTAATGAATTATGCCCTGTTGACAAGGTCACTTGTGTATTACCTGACTCCCAGACTGGGTTAAAATCAGTACTAGTACAAGAAGATCTACCTCAAAAAGATGATTTTCAAAGGCTTGAATTAAATTTAGTTGACACGCTGGCTAAAATAGAACACAGTCACAATGAAAACTTCAGCAAAGTATTAACTGCTGTTAAACAATGCAATGATGATGTTCTAGTCTTGGGAAAAGGTAGAAAAGACGACAATGAGATATCAACATTACAATTAAAATATAAAACCGTACAAACAGAAAAACAGACTTTGGAAGTTAAATTAAAACACGAGCAAAGCAATATTATGTTAATTAAAGCTCAACATGAAGATCAAATGAAATGTCACAATCAAATACTGGAGGAGACTAGAGCAGAAATGAAAAAGGTATTAACTACTTCAAACTCTGAGATCGACTTTCTATCGGTAAGCCTACAAACCAAAAATGAAGAAATTGACAAACTAACTGATACTCTAAAACGACATACTCAACACTTGGAGAAATTACAAGAAGAAAATATCTCTCTCCGCTCCCAAATGATTTCTCGATTTGAAGATTTTCATCTTGTTAATGCAGACACGAAATATACTGACAAATCTAAACTTGACATTGATAACAAACCAACAATTATTTTAATTGGTACATCCAATACCAAACGTATCAATGCAGAGAAGCTATCGCCATCATTTACAACCAATAAGGTTACTGCTTTCAATTTAGAAGAAACTAAACAAGCTATTTTGGAGATATCGGATATAATTCCAAATCTAGTAGTGTTTCATTCCCTGACGAATGATTTGAAAATAAAATCACCACAGCAATGTATAGAAGAAATACAAGATATTGTCAAGCTTGCACTTCAAAAATGGCAAAATAGTGGTTGCATCATCTCTCTTACTACTCCTCGACTCGACAGTGTAATTTTCAACACAAATGGACAAATCATAAATGCCTTGTTGAAACAAATATATGATGACAATAAAGATGTTCTACTTGTTGATCATGGCAATATGTTGCGAAATGGAAACCCAATTGCAGAGCTACTAAGTGAAGATAAATTTCATCTCTCTGACTCTGGCGTGTCTCAGCTATCGGCAAACTTAAAGCGTGGAATACACACTGCCTTAAACATTCCCATGCCAAATTCAAGAGGTAGATCCAAATCGCGCAACACAAGAGGACGTGGACGTGGACGTGGCAGAGGTCATCATGAATAACTTGCTTTTTAATATTATACATATTACCATATCATTATGTTGACTTCCTTTAACATGTTTAAAGTCATTTACATATAATTTATATATACATGTACAACTTTATATATTTCTTCTTTTTTTTGGGCTGATAAATTCATATTCAAATTTGAATAGATTTTTCAAATGAAACAGCCATTATGTGAAGAAGTCACACTATTACATGGTCATATATATGTAACCTCTGCTAGGTATAAAAGTTCGCCTTTTTTATTTTATTTTATTCATTTTTATTTTTAGTTTTCACATTTGAATCATACTTTTGATCTTGAATTAACCCAGGATATCAGGTTATTCAACCCAAATCAGTTTAATAGTTATTCAGTTAAAAGAGGATACATAGAAAAGAAATTATCTGTCATTATATCATAGACTATTTGTATTTAGAAAACCATTGTAAAAACTATCCTCTAAATAAATCTACTTATTTCAAATATTTACATTTCTGAATATTTTCCTTGTTGTCTCTTCCTTTTATTTAGAGACAAATTTTTATTATTTTTTTTTTATAGATAGAAAATCTATTCTATTATTTATACCAGATTTAATTGTATCAACCAAAATGCCAAAATCAAACCAATCATCTGTAAAATTTGGTTATTGGAATATAGGTGGCTTATTTTCAAAGGGCATGAATAAAGCAGAGGATCCCCTTTTTCTGAAACATATAGAGAATTACGACATTGTTTTTTTAGTCGAAACTCATGTGGGATATAATTCCCAAATACACAATATTGGTAAATTTCATTATCATCCAATATATAGAAAATTATCAAATAATAACCGTCATTTTGGGGGTATAGCAATTCTACAGAAAAGTCACGTTAAACCTCATGTCAAAATATTGATTAACAGTAATCCAGATTATCAATGGATTAAATTAGAAAAATCCTTTTTTGGATTTAAAAGTGACCTATTTATTTGTGTACTGTACAACCCCCCTGTTACGTCTAAATATACCCAAGAACTCTCTTCTGATGTTTTTGAATGCATAGAAAAAGATATCTTTCAGTATAAAAAAATGGGTGAAATTTTGTTATGTGGAGATTTTAATGCCAGAATAGGCTCTGAAAATGACTTTATAGAAAACGATGATTCAAAATTTTTGATACATACCCTACTGACAAAAACATTATGACAAGAAAAAGTCGAGACCAAAAAATTGATCAAAGAGGCAAAGAAGTTTTGGATTTTTGCATTAGTAAACAAATAAGAATTTTAAATGGCAGAGTTCTTGGTGATACATTTGGTAATTTTACTTGCTATACCCCCAATGGTGCAAGTGTGGTTGATTATGTTGCTGTGTCGGAAGAAATTCTTGAAAATGTACTGTATTTTAAAGTATCCAGATTTATTCCCACATTATCTGATTGTCATTGTAAACTTGAGTGGGAATTATCTGCAAAATATTGTGTTCCTGGAGAAAATGATATTCCAATCCAGTTGAAAAATATGACACCTAATTATATCTGGACTGACTGTTCAGCAATAAAATTTCAAGAAACACTTTCTTCAGATACACTACAAAACTACATACTAGAATTCAACAACAGCACAATTCAATTTACTCAGACATCAGTAGATGAAGCATCATCAAAACTTTCAAACATCTTTTTATCAGCAGCAAATCTATCACTTAAACGACCTTTAAAAAAACACACAAACAAACAAAAAAACAAAAAGTGGTTTGACGCAAGTTTACAACAAGCTCGAACTAACTTGCTTAATTATGGAAAAATTTATTCAAGATTTCCATATGATCCAATTATCAAAAATCACTTTTATAAACTGAATCGTGAATACTCCAAACTAAGGAAATATAAATACAAACAATACAAACAATCATTGATTAGTCAGCTGGACTCCTTGCACGAAGAGAATCCAAAACTGTATTGGAACTTAATTAATGAACTACAGGAAAAAAATGAAACTAAAAAAAAATGTGGAGTACAACCATCAACTTTGATATCACATTTCCAAAAGTTGTCACAACTGAAAGGTGAATTTCAAAGTAGATATACAGAGCTATGTGAAAAACTGAAACAGTTAGAAAACTCAAAATGTTTCAACGAGTTGGACTCCGTTATCACTGAGTCTGAAATATCCAAAGCCATTTCACACTTAAAATGCAATAAATCATCAGGCTTGGATAACATTAGTAATAATATGATAAAGAATGGACAGACTTTCCTTTTAAAAAGTTTTCAACAGATGTTTAATACTTGTCTGTCTTCAGGTATATACCCAACATCTTGGGCTGAAGGTTATATTACACCAATTTTTAAAAGCAACGATACAAGTGACCCTAACAATTATAGAGGAATAACAATAACAAGTGCAATTGGAAAGCTTTTTAATAGAATATTAAGTCTAAGACTGGACAAATTTCTTCAGGAACATAATATTATACATGATAGTCAAATTGGATTCACAAGGAAAGCCAGAACTGCAGATCATATGTTTATTTTAAACTGTCTTATTAACAAATACTGTAATTCAAAAGAAGGTAGACTGTTTGCCTGTTTTGTTGATTTTCAGAAGGCTTTTGATACTGTTATACATACAGGGATCAAGATTAAACTACTAGATATTGGGGCTGGGTCTTATTTTTATAACATTATTAAAAGTATGTATGAAATTAGCAAATCATGTGTCAAAATTCAAAATCAAGTAAGTGATTTTTTCCCATTAGATATTGGAGTCAAACAAGGTGACAACCTCAGTCCGAATTTATTCAAGATATTCATAAATGATTTGCCCAGATATTTGTCAGATACTAGAGACCCAGTTAATGTCAATGACAAAGATCTACATTGTTTAATGTATGCTGATGATATTGTTTTATTATCTACATCAGCTGAAGGACTACGAGAAAAGCTGGGAATGCTTGATAAATTTTGCAAAGATTGGTGTCTCAATGTGAATACTAATAAGACAAAGGTGCTGATTTTCAACAAGGCAGGCAGACATGTAAAACAGATATTCACATTTCAGAATATAAATCTGGAATGTGTTTCAAAATACAAATACCTAGATTTATATTTAAGCTCATCTGGTTCATTCAGTTATGCTCAAAATGAACTATACAAAAAATCCCTGAAAGCTCATTTCAAATTAAGGAAAGATCTTTTATCACTTAATCCTGATGTAAAAACAAGTATTCATGTTTTTGACCACACTGTAAAACCTATTTTATTATATGGTAGCGAAATATGGGGGATGTTTAATTCTCTTTCCTCTAAATGTAAGAAGGAAGATATATCTTTTGAAAAATTATATTCAGGTTTACCCTGTGAGAAACTTCATATAAAATTTTGTAAATTTATACTTGGGGTACACAAGAAAACAACAAATGCTGCAGTGTTATCTGAACTTGGAAGATTTCCAATATATTTTAATATTATAAAAGGAATGTTATTGTACTGGTATAGATTAGAGAATTTAGGTAATAATTTTCCTCTATTAAAAGAGGCATATACACAATCAAAGACACTACATCACATGAATATAACATCATGGTATGGTTCAATAAATGTTGTTTTTAAAATACTTGGTATTGACTATACAAATGCCATAAATGCTCCATTTTGTGAATCCTTATACAAATTTAAGAAATATATACAAACCAAGCTATCAATATTGTTTATTAGCTGTTGGAAAAAACAAATAGATAAATTTTCAGACAGTAAACTGAAAACCTACCTTTTATATAAAACAAATTTTGGTTTTGAAAAATATCTAACATTGATCAAGAATTTTGAACTTAGAAGAAGTTTTACTAAATTACGTGTATCTTCTCATAGATTACAAATAGAATTAGGTAGATATCAGGGTATTCCCCGAATTAACAGAATATGTAATAAATGTTCTTCCAATACTGTCGAAGATGAGGCTCATTTTCTATTTGATTGTAACAAATTTGAGGATGATAGAAATTGTATGTTAGCTAGTATTGCACAATATAATTCTTATTTTAATCATATGAACAGTCAAAGCAAAATTATCTGGTTATTTAGTGTAGAAAATGTTGAGTTACTTAAAATAATATGTAATTTTATATACAAACATCTTCCTTAGTGAAGATTAGTTAAAGGAAATCTATGTGTGTATATACATTTGATTGGACATAGAAAATTATATTCATCTGAATATCACAAACATACTAGCCGATTAAAAAAAAAAAATAATTGTTAAGATATATTATTTATTCAAATGTTCTCTTATATCCTTGAGGCATCGTCCCCTGGTATCAACTGCATTCAAGTTACCTATGATGCTTCCTTGTTTGCTTTTGATACAGGTAGGAAAGAGACATTTACACACATTTTACATGCCTATGGCCCATAAGGTATCGCCCCCTGGTGTCATCTGCCTTTAGGAAACCATAATGCTTTCCTATTTGCTGCTGACACAGGATGAGTCATGGACATGTTTAATTTCTACTTTCTTTTTGGCTAATTATTATATATTTAATTGATCCAACTTTTTGTGTACTATACATATGTGGATATCTATTTTTCTTTTTTTCTTTTTGGGCTGCTTGTTTGTTATCTATATCAACCACACTTGCAATAAAATGCATTAGTATTAAAAAAAACAACATACTATAGATTCTTTATCTACGTATTCTTTAAGAACTTAAATAGTTCTCGTTTAACTTTTTTTTTTTTTTATCTCATTGTTTGTATTGTATTATGAAAAAATTATTGATGTTGTAATGTTTATGCCCTTTGGGGCCCATAATTGGAAATAAAATATCTTATCTTATCTTATAATGCAGAAGTACTTATAATACATCTGTTCATTTGATAATAAGATTTCATACATCATTCTTCTGTCTAAGCAGACTTACCATGTTTAGGACTGAGAATAGGAAATGGATCCCCAATCTTCCAAAAGGAATAAGTCGATATACACCAAACAGCAAATGTCAATAATACTCTCACATGTTGTTTCTGAGGTACTGAAAAAAGGTATAATAATGGGGTAATGGTTGAAATAAATTTGTATACAGCATGGTATACTGTTACATGCTATACGTGTTTAACAGAAAGTTACAACTCATAACTGACAAGCTGCTCACTAAATATGAAGTCTTTCTGGTCATTCTGGATTCATTTATTTTTTGTTGATACCAATTTCCTTGGATTGAGGAAAACTTATATTTTGGTGGATATTTGATTTAGTGGTTATGCAAAAGTCTGCATAAAAACATATAAGAAATTTGTAATTTGTTGAACATTTCAATTCATTGTTTACCGGTACACAAGAAATTCTCGAAAATTGGTATCACACAAATCTCAATGAATCCACATTATTGAACCATTGAAGGTTTCTAATAGATCTAAAAATTTCACTCATCAGTGTCAACCTTCTGACCAAATTTGAAAAGTGTGATGGAATTATTTCTTGGACCAATGGACAAAAGGATGAACTAAAGGACAAGGTGAATGCAATATACATGTTCATGTATCCCCCACTTCTAGATAGGGTAAAAAAAGTATGTCAAAATCTAAATGTAGTAAACATGGGTGTAATAAAAAAGAAGAAAACTATCATTACATGTGTAATACATGTGCATCTTCTGAGGAATGAACCTATATGTAGATCAACCCAAAACAGATGGACACTACTTATATCCATTTCAGTATTACTAAATACATTTTACAAGTAGATTTTTTAAAGAGCACATGTTATCAGTTTCAAAATAATTATCTAAAAGACACCCATGCTTTTTTCAACCATTCCATCAATCAAATGTATAAGCACTTTTACTTACCTAATCGCAAATTACAAATGATGAAATAAGCAATATAGAACGGTAGCACTACAATCAACACTGATAATATGGCATACAGTCCTAGTTTCCAATGGAAATATCTGGAGCTGAAATAAAAAAACAATCAATTCTGAATTTTTCTATTAAAACAGGAAATATATTGATATAAATTTTAATGCAAAATAGTAGCAATTTGCCATTCATAGCAGTTTCTGAGCACGCCTTCATATAACAAGGAAAAGAACTTAATCTTTGACAAAATAGAAAATTGAAATTTATGAGACAAAAAATTATGATGCAAAGACGGAGCTTCTGTCGCCACTCAACTTACTTCTCAAAATGATGACTCCTAAAATTTCTAAGATTGAAGAAATCTGATATTTGCAGCATTATTGCAAAGTGTTTCAAAAATATTTCTTTTTAAACCTATTTGATGGGTAATTCTGAACCAAGATTCTTTATTGTGATGTTATGATAAACTCTCAAGAGCCTGTAACGCTCACCTGATACACTTTGGTTTTGGAAATCATGTAAAATAGATTAAAATCATAACAGATACCCTAATAATGAGTGAGGCCAAATTTGGTTTAATATTGGTCCTGTAATTTAATAAAAAATCCTTGTGGCCATCTTGAACAGTAAATTGGCAACAAAGTAGCAACACTTCATCAGCACCTCATAAGAAACATTTATGCCATGTTTTGGTTTCATTCCATTCAGTGCACCTCTAGAAGAAGCATTTGTATGTATTTTCCATAGGGTCTTATGTTAAAGGAAGTCCCCCAATTGGCGGCCATCATGGATGAAGGATCAGCTTCAAAGTAACAAAACTTAGTCAGCACCTCATAAGGAACATTCATGCCATGTTTGGTTTCATTCGATTCAATGGTTCTCTAAAAGAAAACATTTGTATGTATTGTCCATAGGGTCCTATGTAAAACTAAGTCCTCCGCTAGCGGCCATCTTAGATTATGGATCAGCTTCATAGTAACAACACTTGGTCAGCACCTCATAAGGAACATTCATGCCATGTTTGTTTCATTGCATTCAGTGGTTCTCTAAAAGAAGACATTTGTATGTATTTCCCATAGGCTCCTATGTTAAACTAAGTCCCCCGCTGGCGGCCATCTTTGATGATGGATCAGCTTCAAAGTAACAACACTTGGTCAGCACCTCATAAGGAACATTCATGCCATGTTTGGTTTCATTCCATTCAGTGGTTCTCTAAAAGAAGACATTTGTATGTATTTCTCATCATGGTCCCATGTTAAACTAAGTCCCCTGCTGGCGGCCATCTTGGATTATGGATCGGCTTCAAAGTAACAACACTCGGTCAGCACCTCATAAGAAACATTCATGCCATGTTTGGTTTCATTCTATTCAGTGGTTCTCTAAAAGAAGACATTTGTATGTATTTCCCATAGGGTCCAATGTTAAACTAAGTCCCCTGCTGGTGGCCATCTTGGATTATGGATCGGCTTCATAGTAACAACACTTGGTCAGCACCTCATAAGGAACATTCATGCCATGTTTGGTTTCATTCCATTCAGTGGTTCTCTAAAAGAAGACATTTGTATGTATTTCCCATAGGGTCCCATGTTAAACTAAGTCCCCTGCTGGCGGCCATCTTGGATTATGGATCGGCTTCAAAGTAACAACACTCGGTCAGCACCTCATAAGGAACATTCATACTATGTTTGGTTTCATTCTATTCAGTGGTTCTCTAAAAGAAGACATTTGTATGTATTTCCCATAGGGTCCTATGTTAAACTAAGTCCCCCCGCTGGCGACCATCTTGGATAATGGATCAGCTTCAAAGTAGCAACACTTGGTCAGCACCTCATAAGGAACATTCATGCCATGTTTGGTTTCATTCCATTCAGTGGTTCTCTAAAAGAAGACATTTGTATGTATTTCCCATAGGGTCCTATGTTAAACTAAGTCCCCCGCTGGCGGCCATCTTGGATGATGGATCCGCTACAAAGTAACAACACTTGGTCAGCACCTCATAAGGAACATTCATGCCATGTCTGGTTTCATTCCATTCAGTGGTTCTCTAAAAGAAGTTCAAAATGTAAAAAGTTAACGACAACGATGGAAAACAAGTGATGAGAAAAGCTCACTTGGCCCTTCCGGCCAGGTGAGCTAATAAAAGCAGTAAATTGTGATAATGGAAAATCAAATGATTACCAATGCGCACATAGTTATCTCCCCTGAATCTGTATCAACCCCCTCATTATCAATTACTACTGATAATTCAAAGTTTAAAAATCAAGATTTTATTAGGTAAAGTTTGAAAATTAGCTGTACAAATGGTTATATATGTACACAACACATTTCTTGGATTTATTTTTCACAAATCTGACCTTACATTAAGTCTGATTATATTATAAACTTTCCATGGCACATATTATTTACAACATTTTTACAAACAGAAAAAAACCCACCAAAAAACGATAGATTGCATTTTTTTTTAAAACTTACTTTGCATCAAGTACTCCAAGGATTTCAAATATGATCAGTTCAAACATGGTGCAGGATAACGAAAATGTCACTGAAAATACTAACAGTACAACGGAGTGGTGGACCTGAAACAGACAATAACAGTACAACAGACTGGTGGACCTGAAACAGACAATAACAGTACAACGGAGTGGTGGACCTGAAACAGACACTAACAGTACAACGGAGTGGTGGACCTGAAACAGACAATAACAGTACAACGGAGTGGTGGACCTGAAACAGACACTAACAGTACAACGGAGTGGTGGACCTGAAACAGACACTAACAGTACAACGGAGTGGTGGACCTGAAACAGACACTAACAGTACAACGGAGTGGTGGACCTGAAACAGACACTAACAGTACAACGGAGTGGTGGACCTGAAACAGACACTAACAGTACAACGGAGTGGTGGACCTGAAACAGACACTAACAGTACAACAGAGTGGTGGACCTGAAACAGACACTAACAGTACAACAGAGTGGTGGACCTGAAACAAACAATAATAGGATCACATTTAGTACTTCCTGTTTCGTGGATAATTGTCTCATATCTACAGTATCACTGTCAGTATAAAATGCCTGTCAACACTTAGGTTGTCAGTTTGCGTGCTGAAAGTGGTGTTAAACACAAACAATCTATCAATCTATCATCTACTTATTTCTGATAATAACAACCCAACTGATGGATAGATCCTATGCCATATTGTCAGAAAGATTTTTAATGAAAGATAAATATGTAGTGTATAGAAATATTTGGGTAATTCAAATAGTGCATAAACCAAAATGAAGCAACTTATGTCAATGTGTATGGAGACATCTGCACTTATGTAAATGTTTGTGGTGACATCTGCACTTATGTAAATGTTTGTGGTGACATCTGCACTTATGTCAATGTTTGTGGTGACATCTGCAATTATGTCATTGTTTGTCGTGAGAAACCTGTACTTATGTAAATGTTTGAAGTGACAACACCTGTACTTATGTCAATGTTTGTGGTGACAACATCAGCACTTATGTCAATGTGTATGGTGATAACACCTGTACTTATGTCAATGTTTATGGTGATTACACCTGCACTTATGTTAATGTTTGTGGTAACATTTGCACTTCCATTTTTGGTGACAACGTCAGTACTTATGTCAATGTTTGTGGTGACATCTGCTCTTATGTCAATGTTTATGCTGAAAACACCTGCACTTATGTAAATGTTTGAAGTGACAACACCTGTACTTTTGTCAATGTTTGTGGTGACAACATCTGTACTTATGTCAATGCTTATGTTTCTGTTGTTCCGTTGTTTTCCTCTTATAGTTGGTGTGTTTCCCTTGGTTTAAGTTGGTAGCCTGGATTTGTTTTCACTTAATCGATTTATGACTATTGAACAGTGGTATACTACTGTTGCCTTTATTTATGGTGACAACACCTGTACTTAAGTCAATGTTTGTGCTAACAACACCTGCACTTATGTCAATATTTGTGGTGACAACGTCAGTTCTTATGTCAATGTTTGTGGTATTATTTGCACTTATGTCAATATTTGTGGTGACAACGTCAGTACTTATGTCAATGTTTGTGGTGACAACATCTGCACTTATGTCAATGTTTATGGTGATAACACTTGTACTTATGTCAATGTATGTAGTGACAACACCTGTACTTATGTCAATGTTTGTGGTGACAACATTTGCACTCATATCAATGTTTGTGGTGACGGTGTCAGTACTTATGTCAATGTTTGTGGTGACATCTTTACTTATGTCAATGTAAATGGTGAGAACACCTGTACATATGTCAATGTTTTGGGTGACAACACCTGTACTTAGGTTAATGTTTGTGGTGACAATATCAGCACTTATATCAATGTTTGTATTTTCAACATCTGCAGTTGTTTTGCAGTTATCTGTTTTCACATATATAACAAAAATACCCATGTTGAGAATGAAATTTCGTGCTTTAAAATGATTGGTGATATATTTATGCAATCAAAAAGGTTCAACACCTCTGACATGACAAAAATGGGGGGAATAAAAAATAATCCTATATCCATTGTTTCAGGAATTAGGTTGCATTCAATCATGTATTATTCTTACCTCATAATCCTTGAACAATTGCTTCAGGAAGAAAACCCATCCTCCACCAAAAAATAAAACCTAAAGAAAAAACACATTATAATCAAAATTTTAGCTTAATACATATAACCGTATATTCTTCATTTAATTTTCTTGATTTAGTAACCTTTATTGTGCTGTGGACATAATATTACCGCCCCTACCCAAAATACTGTTTTTGGCTCCACTGGCTCTCCATACTTATAAAGGTGAACTGTATGATATGTATTTTGAAATTGATGCATGTTCCCTCAACCTAAGACTATTTATTGTCATGTTTCTCAGGTGGAGTTTGAGTCCAAATACAAACTTTGAAAATTAGAATCTGATAAAAGAGTTATTCTGGAGGGGTGGGCTTCCCTTTTGTGTCTGGTATACACAGAACAGAGGCCTAAAACTTCAAAAAATAGTGTAAACCCATGGGCATATAACTACTGATCATGCTAATTATTGAAATACGCTAAGGGAACAACTATTTCCAGTTGCAGGTCCAGTTGAAGCCAAAAATCAGGAAAAAATTTTAAACTCAGGATTTTTCGTTGAAATGACCTTCTATAGACTGATCAGTACCTAGATCAGTTTCACTCTGACCTAAGGGCTTTTTGAGGTAATGTGTTCAATGGGATCCACTCTTCATGCAGAATACAATTTGATACATCTATAAGCATTCTTCATTGTTCTTTGGTCTTCCTGGTCAAGATAATGATATAGGAGGGAAAATCATCAAAATTGATGCTTCTTGCACCAGATGCGCAACTTTGGGAGAGCTTTTACTGCCTCATTGACAAAAAAACCCTAGTCACATCTTCTTTTACACATAAACATGATAAATGCAGGAATTATGTATGACAATAAAAAAATAACCATAAGTTTTAACAAAAAATTTACTTGAAAGACTATTTTTTGGACAACAAACTAAAGTTCTTTCAATGCTAGAAAGTGCATTTTGTAATAGAATATATTCTCTTATGGTTCCTATAATAGATATATACTTTATCTGGCCTCCTTAACTATTTTGATTCAAGGGCCACTGATTAGAGTTATGAAGAAGAATATCTGTCTGGTGTAAAAAAATTTAAGCGTGGTATCTACATGCATGACATGTATGATGAGTTTATTGGTCAACTCCATTGGTCTATTCAATTATGTATTCATTTGTAATAATACATGTGATGTACAAATGTTATCACAATGACATATATGATGTAAAAATGTTACTGTAATTTAACATATGATGTTTAAATGTTACTATAATTTAACATATGATGTTTAAATGTTATCATAATGACATATGATGTAAAAATGTTACTGTAATTTAACATATGATGTTTAAATGTTACTATAATGACATATGATGTATAAATGTTACTATAATGACATATGGTATTCTGTTCAAGGTGGTTGAGGGGCTGGTTCCTGCTATAGAACCAGACGAATATTTAAAAAAAGCACGTCCAAAAAGAAAAATTACTGCCAAGAAATTTGACAATTACCAGACAATAAATATTGTGGAAAAAACAAGTCAAGAACAACACAAAGTGTTTTGAGATTCGAACGAGCAAAACATCACAAGATTCTAACTCATTTTTCATAAAACATTGATCGAGTGGAACCACTTTGAAGACACTGTAGTGCGCCCAAGGAGAGTTGAGAGCTTCATAACTGCTCTCGCGCATGTCAATAAATGAGGGTCGTAATGGGGGTACCTTCATGACGAATAACGGTAAAAAATCTTGCCAAATGACGTTAACGGTAATTTTTGGTGCATGACGATAAAATGTACATTTCCTTTATGACGATAAAATAATCGACTGATTTTGACGAATCATGTTAATTTTTTCTCAAAAATAACGGTAACGGATAATTTATTGAGACCTCTGACGAATCACGATAAGGATATTCTGACGAATCACGATAAAATTTTAACCAATTTGACGCTAACGGTAGCCGAACATGTCCGTTTGACGCCTGACGGTAAAGGGCATTCGGAAGCAAGTTAACTCGTACCATTGTAAACTCGTACCACGTAAACTCGTACCAAAAAAGTTAACTCGTACCAAAGTAAACTCGTACCACTGGGAAGTCGTACCAATCAGAACTCGTACCATAATAAAAAAAAGTTGAATTACTTGAATTTTATACTAGATTTTAATGAAAACTTAGACAAAAATACGAATGTTTTATGATTTTTTTTTTGTAAACTTAATAAAAAAAAGTTGAATTACTTGAATTTTTTGAAAAACACTTGGCTGTCATCAACCGTTTGGCTTGTACCATCCTGGAGCATCTTCATGAGACCAGTCAGGACAAACAACGACGTTGAGGGCTGGCACAGACGCATCAACGACAAGGCAGTAGAGTCCAATAAACCCTTCTATGAACTTCTTGAGTTGCTTCACACAGAAGCTGATTGGTGAGGGCAAGCTAAAAAGGTGTCAAGGTAAGAAGGTCAGAGCTGTTCAGGGACAGATATTCTCCTTGTGGGAAAAGTACACCACCCAGACCATAACCACAGCAGAACTACTTAAACAGACCATGCGTTTGAAAGGCCCTGTACCATCAACAGAAGACACCAACCAGTGAATAGAGAAATGAACATAGACAGTGCTCAAACAATGATTATTAGTGCTTCATATATGTTTATATTTTATGTAACAATAGTGCCAATTCTTATGTAACAATAGTGCCAGTTATCTGTTGGAAAACATATAATTTATTTTAATGCCATGTGAAAGACATGTTTATATCTATGTAATACTTTGTGTATGATATATATGTGAATAAAACATAAGGTGTATTTATTGAGAGAAAAAAATAGTAATATTTGATGTTTTGTTAATTTTTTATACATGAATGTTCTTGAATTGTGGTAAATAAAGCATCAAAATGAAACATATTCTTTGTTATTCTGCCAACACTACCATTACGCCTACTGGTCATTCACAATACCATTAGACACATCATTAAAAAAGAGGGGCAAAAGATACCAGAGGGACAGTCAAACTCATAAAAAAGACAAACCGACATATAATAGTACACAAGACACAACAAAGAAAACGAAGGACTAAGCAACACGAATCCCACTTAAAACCGAGGGTGATCTCAGGTGCCATTTCATCTTTCAGCTACTTTTCTAGAAAGAGCGATGCATATCTTCCACTATAGGTGATATATATAAATGATAAGAATGATAATGACCTATCAATTATATGAATTAAAAACATGGTCATAATCTACAACAAAGTGCTGAACATTGTATAAAAATAAATTTCATACTTCTAACTGTTGGTCATAAACAATTTTAAACCTTTAAAACACAATAAATAAATTCTTTCATTAAATAAAATTCCTTTTAGAAACAATAGAAAAATACCCAAATCTATTCCATGTTACTGATTTGGAATGATTAAAAATTTAATCAAATAGTTGTCAGTAAAAAGAGTCTATTCAAGGGAGACAACAAAGCCAATCTGCCACGGTTTTCTCTATCCAATTAGACAAGGAAAATTAGCTACAAATTGGTCATTGTAATTTCAAATTATATACATTTTACAGATTTAAGAGGTATTGAGTGAAATTAAAGTATATATTCATCATTAAACACCATTTGAATGCATTTAAATAAGTTGGTACGAGTTTACAATGGTATGAATTTACCGTGGTACGAGTTAGCAGTGGTACGAGTTTGCATTGGTACGAGTTTTTTTTTAGTGGTACGAGTTGACATTGGTACGAGTTTACAATGGTACGAGATAACTATAATTCAGGGCATTCCTACCCTCATAAATCGACAGCGCTCTTGTAACAGTGGTTTGATTCCATCAGTGTACTTTATCCGGAGGAAGAAAATCCCCAGTGATTTTTATTCACCAACAAAAAATCACTAGGGTTTTCTATCCGGGTCCAGTGTAAAACATCCACCAGTCATTTCAAGGTTCTAAAAAGGTTTTTTTGAAGGGGAAATATATATAAAATGTGGCTTAATAGTTTTTAGTGTATTTGAAAATTGCATAGTTGATTTATGTAAAAAGTGGAGAGTTTTCATCCAAGGAATGTTCACACTAGTGTTTTTGAACCAGGAATGATTACACTAGTGATTTTGTACCGGAATGATTGCACTAGTTATTTTATACCCAGCAGGATTAATTACACTAGTGCTTTAGATCCATTCACTGATGAAGTGATTAGTACTCATTTTGAACACACAATAACACAATAATGCTTATTAACGAATGAGATTTAAATAATTTTTCTATGCAAATCTATAAAATCATATGCTTTTAAATTGTCACTAATTGTAATATTTATTTTTATTGGATTGCCGAAGTTTTTCTATGTATTTGCTTTTCGGTCGACTTGGATTTTAAATCATATCTTCTATGTCAATATCAAAGGATGCTTCTGTAATTGAAACTAAGTTCAATGTCCTGATCATTGATAAAGTATTTTGAGTTATAAAAATATCCTCCACATCATCATCATCAATATTATTTACTAGATTGATTCAGATTAATTAAACTGGTTCCTTGAAAATCATTTTAATTTGAACCCATTTATTTATGTAAACAATAAACCGGTCTAATATAAACAAAACAACGATATCAAGATCGACGCTTTCACACTATTTACATCCAATATTCTCTAGTGAAAAACACTGTTACCCGGAATAAATTTATACACGGTCGAATGAAAGTACGCTTACACTCTCTCTACCATTGTATTAAAGCCAGTATTGGTATCCACAACGTATTCATACAGATACAGATATGACTCTTTCTAAATTCTTGTACATGTACAACCAGAAGTACATAATTTATAAGTATTATGGACTCCTAGTCCAATATTGACATGATTGAGATAATCAATAAATCTATATTCAATCAACAAGTGTGTAAAACGTTGTCATAAATATACTTGAAACCTGTGAAAAGAACATCAAACAAGAATCAACTAAAAATGACATGATACTGTTGCTGTAGACTTGGGATCTCCCCTCTGTTTCAACGTCAACATAAACACGTGTCTGGCAATGGTGACACGAGAAAGTTTCCGAACGGCACAATCATCCCAAAGGGAAGGGAATAACGCACATTATGATTGGATAATGAGCGACCGTCTTATCATCATCCTTTTCGTGTTGTACTGAAATTAAAATCGTCGTCTAAGGAAGAATTTGTGATCGTTTACAATTAAATTATTTTTGTTTCAGATAAAGATTAAAATATTAATAATTAGGCTCTTAAAACTTAATAAAATCCAGAACTTTCTTTGTTTCGCCTTAAGTATATTGTCCAATGAAAATATCTCTTGCAAAAGAATATAAGCATCAATTTGGGGAAGCCCCTACAGCAGCCATGATAATCACGATGGGAAACTTGCGACTGTCAACATTGGACATTATTTAACGCATACATGTTTTATGAGCCAAAACTAAATATTTCATTTGAAAGAGATTTATTCACTACTGTTGTCTTATTGTATAAGAGATATTTCCGTAACATTCATGGGGAATTAACTGCATGTTTTGCTGTGGCTGAAAACTATAGAGACAAATTCTTGTCCATCAGAGGCAAACTTGAGACGCACGCACGTGTGAACTATGACAGTGAAACAACCACCATTGCCTCAGCCATGTCATTCACAGGTCATAATTTTATCAGGAAATTTTGCCTTTTGATTGAATTGTAACAGTAGAGCATGATTCTCACTATCACATTGTCACCTGGTCTCTGCAGGAAATCAACCTGAACCTTTGTATTTATAGTCGAATCTGGGTCCATTCGCCCAAAATCATGTTCTCTCCCATTCACGTTCTCTCCAATTCACGTTCGCCCCCTTTCACGTTTGCAGAATCCGGGTCCGTTCGCGCCCAATCACGTTCGCCCCCATTCACGTTCGCCCCCTTTCACTTTCGCACCCTACACGTTCGCACCCAAAGTCTGATCGCACCCTACACGTTCGCGCCCAATTTTTATTGGTTTTGTGTTTAATAATTTGTAAGCGAGTTTTGGTAAGTGTATTGCTATAAATATATTTTTTTCATTGTTTCTAAATAAAGTGAGATTCTGACAAGGGTTTTTTTTGTGTCATGGTAAATGTATTGCTATAAACATTTTTTTTTTCATTGTTTTTAGATAAAGTGAGATTCTGACAACCAGTATTTTATTTTTGTGTTGAATAATTTTTAATCATGTTTTGGTTAGTGTATTGCTATAAATATTTCTTTTTTATTGTTTCAAAAGGAATTGGGATTCTGACAACGTTTTTTTTTATGTGTTGAATAATTCGTAATCATGTTTTGGATAGTGTATTGCTATAAATATTTTTTTTTCATTGTTTATGAATAAAGTGAGATTCTGACAACTTTTTTTTTTTGTGTGTGTGTTGAATACATCTTATAGCAGTTTCGATCCAGGGCATTTATTTCCATATTAAAAGAAGTTTGGAGCAAGGATCCGGAAATTTTCCCAAGTCATTTCGGTCATTTTTTTTTTGTGATGTAATAATATCGTGATGCACAATAATGCATTTTTCTGAGGGTGACAAGTCTTGCACATGGACAAGTAAAGTCCTTTTTTGTGAAGTATTGGGTCAAACAAGTGTAACTGTACCCTGATCTAACAGTAACAGTGTCTCTGAGTTAGAAACTACACGGAGGAGACGTTTTGTTGTTGTGTATTGCATCACTGAGGTCGTATGCATAACCCTTTAAATTTGCATAAATTAAAAGAGGAATAATTACGGCATGTTTCATCATTTTGAAAAAAAGTTATGTAAACCAATTAATAAACTGTGTTGAGTTTCTTATTGCATGTACAAGATATCGTTTGTATTGTTCAAATTGCTGCTGTTTGGATGAGTGTAAGTGATTACCTAATACACAACAAGATAATGTGTATTCACCTGGTTTACGATAAGAGGATCAAAAAGGGGAAACTATGATTCAACTTTTCTTTGAATAAATAACTCAAGTCTGGTATAGTGATAACAATTGAATTTTAATAATAAAATTCATGATTTTAAATAAATAAATAATTTATCTGAACAGAAGTTTGTACACAATTACAACAGTTCAATGAAAAACAATTGCATTGTAATACAGTCCAGAGAGAATGTATGGCTTCACTTGGGTAAAAATCGGAAGTTTAGCCAGGAAAACAAAAGAAAGGATAACGCCCATTACATTCTGTGAGTAAGATGGTTTCAAAAAATCGGAAGTGCAAAAAAAAAAACAAAAAGAAATCGAGATTGTTCATTCGCTGAGTATATTTCTTAAATAGGCTGTATGGCTTCAAATATAAATTACGTTATTTAGTTTTAAATCCTTTTTTAAACATTTTTTTTTCAATTCTGCATTCCTATAAATTATACGCTTTACCACTTTTGTAAATCTATTAAGATCTTTATCTGCCATTTCCTACCGAAAAGTTAACAGTAAAATCGATCTTTCAAATAAGATCATCAATTAACCCATGTTGATCCCCATTTTCCATGCGCAAACTCAGTAAACATAAATCTATTTTTAACAAACGGTGACCAAATCAGCTGATCGATTATAAATGGATTATATGTTTTATTTGGATAAAAATGGACAGATTCTCGAGTCAACAGTGTTATTTGACTTCTTTAATGAATAAAATAATATCTTTTTGGGAAAATCTAGGTCAGAATGGTTAAAACGTTAAATTTGATGCACAGCAAATCGCCATATTGTTTTTATTGCTTAACAGGTGTTTACAGGTGAGATTTGTGTACATGGCCTTTATGGCTTTAATCAAGACAATAACGACACCCAAGCCGAATTCAAACTTCCTGGACATTGATTTTGTCTCAAACAAATCTATTTTTCTTGATGACCTGAAAACAAAAATAAATTCAAAATGGCGACCGATAAAACCCTGATCTCAATGAAATGACCGAAATTATTTCTGTAAAAAAAAAAAAAAAGACCTAAATCCCAATAAATCATTTCGGTCTTTTCAGTTTCCAAATCGGTCATGTCTGGCATATATGACCGTTTCCGGACCCTTGGTTTGGAGGTACACTATCTATGAGGTTAAAAAAAACATAAGTTTATATATATTTCATTTATTTTTATTCATCCTTATATCGTATGTGTATAAATACCAATTAGCAGTACTTAAACATACATAATTAACATTTAATAATTAATAATCAAATCAATTAAAACAATATTTCATTTAAAAATTCCCGAATTTTTATTTGTGAAAATAAAAATATTTTGATATAAACATCCTAAAAACATCCTAAAAAAAAAAGGGTGCGAACGTGTAGGGTGCGAACGGACCTAGGGGGCGAACGTGTGGGGTGCAAACATGTAGGGTGCGAACGTGTATTGGGCGCAAACGGACCCGATACCACGTTTGCACCCCACACGTTCGCACCCTTTTTATTGGTTTTGTGTTGAATATTTGTTTAATCATGTTTTAGTTAGTGTATTGCTATAAATAAGCATTTTTATTGTTTCAAAAATAAAGTGACATTCTAAAAACGTAAACAGGTTTCCTACTTCATACACTTTAACCGTACACAATCATTAAAATCATGAAATATTTCATTGAAAAAACAGCCCTAAAATGTTTAGAGTAACTACTTTATAAAATTTAAAAGAGCACTAAAATACATGTATAAAAAAAAAACCTGAAACATCACATCACATTTTACACCATTCACACACCAATACTTTCTAATATGCACTAATGTAAATAGTTTAAGAATTAATGTATTAAATTCAAATAACAGTCACAATTGTAATCAATTTAGTTCAAAGTCTACTGTGGCAGAAAAACATTATTGGTTTGTCTGATGGTCCATACAGTCTATCAAATCCCCCTAAAAAATATTTCATTTTGAAATTCCCAAATTTTATTAATAAGAATATACACATATTTTGATTTATACATCTAAAAACATCTAATAATTCAATCGGTATTTGAATAAAAATAGGGAGCGAACGGAGCCAGGTGGTTAATGTGTGGGTTTGCGAACGAGCATTTGGATCGAACGGATCCAATACATTTATAGTCCACCCTCTAACTCTTCAGTAGCTGAACTGATTACGGCTGGCTAAGTATCTGTATCACGAGGGGAGAAATCTGGTAACATTTCCCCACTTCAAGAGTCCTCATTCATTATCATGTACCATTATGACTCTTCACAACACAAACACTGGATAGATATCATCTATCATCTCTAATCAAAAGGTTTTTTTTTATTTGGGTACTAAATATAAAGTAGAGCATGATTCTCACTAGAAAATCACATTGTCACCTCTTGGAATCAAACCCAACATGCCCAGGACCTCTGTTTTCAAAGTCTTACTTCTTACTGACATCACTAGAAAATCACATTGTCCCCTCTGGGAATCAAACCCAACATGCCCAGGACCTCTGTTTTCAAAGTCTTACTTCTTACTGACATCACTAGAAAATCACATTGTCCCCTCTGGGAATCAAACCCAACATGCCTAGGACTGTTGGTTCTTACTGACATCGCTAAAAAAAGTATCTCCCTACCTCAACTGATTAGGCTCGCTAAGTATCTACTACTAAGGGGAAGCAATTCTTACTGAATAAGTAGTACAAATGTACCATGATGGTGTTCTTACCAAAAATTTAAGAATAATTTTCCCCATCTAAATCTACTTGGATGAGTACATCTACTTGTTATTTTGTAAAAGGTTGTTGCCCAATGGTCCAAGTACAAAATGTATGTATACATGTATAAACAGTACATTTGTCGTGGCATCATTAAGTGGTGCACTTTAAAAGCATATTTATAGGTGCAGGTTAAAACAGGCCTGTATTTTCATGGTAGATGTCAGATGTGCTAGGAGCCTGTTTGTTTTGATTATAACCATGAGTCAACATTGTTTGTACAAAACTTTGAAAAAAACTCTTTTTCAATTATCAGTTTGCAAGTTAAGGAATGGCTGTGATAATAATTGCTGAATTGATTTACAGTATATCTCAATTTTTATTAAGATTTCCACTTTTGTTTTATTGACAAATAGGAAGTCAAAGTCAGTTTTTCAATCAGAAATACAGGCTAATGGATAAGTGTTAAATGAATGTTAAAAAAAAGGAATTTGAAACAACATTTGCACTGTACATTAATACCAGAAACACTGTCAAATGAACCAGTTGTAAGAATGTAAAAAATGAGATATGAAACAGCATTTGTCCTGTATCATGTGCATATAAAAAATTAGAAACATTGGTTAATGGATCAAAGTTAAATGAACGTTCATCAGGGAATGTTTTTTTTCTATTTTGACCATCATGTTTATTAAAAGCTACTATACCATGTACACAGTGATTGTATATTAGAAAAGATCATCTGGTTTAGTGATTTTCACAATAACAGCCATATAAATGTACTGTATGTACATGTATCATGGGAAATACCAATTTTTGTAAATGCATTTCAGGGAAGAAAGCAGGATGAACTTTTGACAGTTTGTAACCAGATAAAGGAAATTACAGGAATACATGATGAAAAAGTGATAAAGAGAGCCATTGATGCTTGTCAAGATGAAAATGGACAATTTAATGTAGAAAATGTGGTGGCAATGTTGGTGGCTGAAGACAGCCAAGTAACTAACAGTCCTCCAAAAAAGGTAAATATTTGAAAAAAAAATTACATGTTTTTCATATGTCATGTATGTTCATGCAAACTTTTTACAACAGAACTGAACTTGTTTAGAATTTATTCTTGACCATAAAAATTTGTGAAATACAATTGCTGCTTAAACTGCACAAAATGATTTTGTAGCACATGATTACTATCATTAAATTTTAACCATTATAACCAGTTACATACATTCTATTTACTTTAATTGCAGTCAGCTGTGAATCCATTACCTCCAAGGACAACAGCTGGAGATACATTAGATGCTAAAGGGAAACCAGGCACTGATTCCACAGCTACCCAATCGACAGAAACCCAGTCAACCAGTACAAATAAAAGTCAAGGTAAAATTAGCCGTATTAGTTGTTTATATTCCAATTTTATTTATTTTAATCAGAACCAAAAAGGAAGATATGTAAGATACACATCTAATTATAATTCTAGTCTGTGTAACTGAAGACAAACTAAGGAATAAACACCATGCAATAAAATGGTAAAGGGAATGATATTTTAAAAAGTCCTTCGACCAGTACAGCCATCACTTATGGCTAAACATGTCTTAGCCATTTCTGTCACTGTGGTAATCTCAGAGCGAATATTTTTGTCTGCAGAACTGTTAGTTACAAAGATACAAAACTGACTGTCCCCTAGAATATTTGACAAGATAACATTTCTTAAAAAATTATAAAACTATCAAAACTTTGGAAGTTTCCAGAATTGGGGATGTTAACTTGGCTATGTGATCTTACTAGCTAAGGTTTTGTTATTTTTAAAGATTTTTGGTAGGTTGTATATCTAGGAAAAATATTAAACTTATAAAACAAAGTAGCCATAAAAATGCTAAATATAAATGGATACATGCTTTGTATTCAAAACTCTTTTTATATAAACAGCAGGTGTCATAGACTTGACAACAGAAACAAATGAAAGTGACGAACTACAGAAAGCAATTGCTGCCAGTCTTCAAGATACACAGGGAATTCTGGGAGGTCAGGTGTCAAAGGAAGAACAGGATATTAGCAGGTTATTTATGAACAACAGAAATCTATAAGTTGAATTGTTTGTTGGTTTTCTGTCTCATTGAAATAAAACTCAAATCTCTATTTATTCATAATTGATGAACTACAGAAGTCTATATGATTCAAAACACTTTATTCCAATCGTTATCTATCCATCAAAGTGTTTGGTATAGGTGACTTTGTTTGATTTGTGCGTTTGTTGGGCATAAAATCTATGTCAGTACCTTGAGCATAGGGATCAATATTCTAATGGGGATAATTTCCTAATGACTGCTTAGATAAATGTTTAATGATTTAATTGAAATATTTCTTTAGGCAGGAATGAATTATGTACATGATGTACATAAGAATAAAGACAGGGGTTTGAAAAATGTCAAGTAGGCTTAATGACTTTGTCTGTTCAAAGATGCAGGGATCCAATTTGCTCATAAAACATTTAAATGATGTTAGAAATCAGTGTATAATAAAAGAGTTTTCTGGTGATGGAAATGATATGAATCAGATGTATTTTGTTGCTTGTAATTTAATGTTGTTTTGTTCTCAATAAAAAAAATCTCAATTTCAATGATTATAAAATGTTCTCATTTAATGATGTATTTACATGTTGTGTATTTGATTGAAGAAACCAGTGTATTTTAATATTTTACCTTTAATATGAATATTTTTACTTTTCAGAGTGTTAGAACAAAGTTTGATAGAAAGTAAAGCTGGGACTAAACGGAAGAGAGGTGATATATGGTTTGTAGATCCACTTAATCCACATGAAAGGAAGAGACAAGAAGAGTGCCCTGTTGGTTTAAAGAATGTTGGAAATACGTGTTGGTTTAGTGCTGTAATACAGGTAATCAGAGTATACAGGTTAAAAATTTAAAGAATGTTGGAAATGCTTGTTGGTTTAGTGCTGTAATACAGGTAATCAACGCACAGGTTGAAAAATGCTTGTTCAATGTGAAAACTTTATAGTCTTTTTTACCTCGATCAAAATGACCTAATATTGTTTTTTACTGTTTTGTAAAGATCTTCAGATCTTGTTTACTTAAAATTTCTCTGACTTTCCAGGCTTTCAGCTCTGACCACTATGATGAACATTTATCCAAGAAAGCACTTGAAAAGTAAAGAAAACATTTCAGACATTATTTTGAAAAGATAGATTGATACCTACACAGGGATGATTCTACTATATAATTAAGGGCCGCTGAGCAAACATAAATTCCCAGTTCAGAAAAAAAAAATAAAAATTGATATTTTTGTAAAATGTTTCCATCGCTGATGTGGGCAACTATAATTTTTCATAGTTTTGTTGTCAAAGCGTTTTAAAATCTGGATAAGAATGCTGTCAACGATCATATTTTATTTTAACATCGATTTTAGCAACGGAATCAAACCCTTCATATATAATTGCCAAAAATACTATGGGAGTATTTGATGTCGTAAAAGTAATCCAAATAATTATGATGTCTTAAAGGCTAATTTTAATTTTTTGCTGTGACGCCTTCCTACGACAGCAAAAAAAAATAAAAAGCCTTTCAAGACGTCATAATTATTTGGACTATGGTAAAAGCAGTTCACCCAGCAGGTCAATAAAAAAAGATGCCTTTTGTCAAAATGGGTCTCGTAAAACAAGACCTAGGGAGAGAAAAAAATTCAAATTTTGATATAACATTGATGCATTTAATGGAGTGCCGATCTCGTAAAAGTAGATGGCCCAGCAGAGCCGGTTATATAATATGAGCAGGAAACTTGTTTTATAAAAAAAAAATATTTTATATTTTGTCTCGCTCTATTTCCTCAAGACAAAAGTCTGACTGTCGGAGCATTTTTTAAAATACATATTTATAGATCATTCATGAAATAGGATGTTGAAACATTATGGGACTGTTTCAAAAGTTGTGAAGATGATCCAAATAATAACATAATACAATGGTTCAATGCTTATATTTCCTGTTTCTTCGAGTTACACCTAAAGTAAAACTGGACATTAGTATAATAAACCCAGAGTAAAACTATGGCAACCTTCTACATATTAAACAGCAAGCAAAAATCACAAAAAATATCTTATCAATTAAGTACTCAAACTTTTGTAATTGCTTTTCTGAATTCAACAGTTGGCCATTTCAATTTGAAATCCATTTTAAATACATCAAGCTAAAATGCAAGCCTACGAAAGATAGTGCATCATGTGCAATGATTTTCATGTAACAACTTTCCCTGGTCTCAATCCACTAAATGTCAAGCGATCTGGTAATCATATATATATCATAATCAATAGCCCGTCCAGGATTATTCCAAATGTTACAACTTTGTACAGCAGTGTACAGGTAAAACTTAATACATTTTCCGTTTTTACAGGAAAATAATGTCATTTCATCTAATATTTTATGCATACAAAAATTCCCAATTGGGATGAAAATTCCCAATTTGATGGTCAAGGGACCCATTTGAAAACACTTGGAATCATCCCTGCTACAACCTTTCACTTAAATTGCCAAAATTTTGAATTTTTAAAATCTGAGTTTAGATAAGTATATATATATACATTAATGTGTTGATTTTGAGTAAACTTAAACCAGAAGAAATAAATGTGTCACTTTTACAACTTGTATAAGTGAAGGTTAAAATCTGGTAACATCAACAAGGTGGTATTCAACATCCACATTAGGCAGATCCAACTGTGGAAGCAAAATCCACCGTACAGAAACGGTTTGTACGCTCAAAAGCTACCCGATTTAATTTCATATTTGATTTGGGTTGGAATAAAGCAATGGAAATATATTATTATATCATTTCAGTCTTTATTTAACCTAAGAAGATTTAGACATTTGGTGCTTAACTTCAAACTACCTAAAGATCCAGCACAGGTGAGACAATTGATTATGTCATGTATAAGATGTGTTAATGTGAATCAGTCCTATCAAAATGGTGGGTTAAAATAATTACACCCTTGCGCTGGGCAAGGGTGGCATTTAGTTTTACCCTTGCCCGTCTGAACGTTGGTATGTATGTCCCGAAATTGGTTTTTGTTCTCTAACTTTATTTTGCCTCAACCAAATCTTTTAAAACTTATACAAAAAGCTTTATACCTCCAAACACGGATCAAGATCTAATTTGGATGATGTCACTTTCACAGTTGTTGAGTTATGTCCCTTTTTAATTGGAAAAATTGCTGAAAAATGCTGTTTATTTACAAGCAGGGTCATCTGTGTCCCATGGACACATTCTTCTTTTATCATAAATTTATTTTACAACTGATACAGAAAGAATGTAGAAGGTTTTGGATAAGGATAGTCATATGTCCCCTTTTTATAGGCATTTATTGGCATATCGTGCATACCATTTTGTTGACCAACCTGAAATAAAGTGCACATGTTATTCATTCTTTAGTTGTTTCAAGATAAATGATAGAATGTTTTTGTCCTTGTACAGAACATAGAATCTTTAGTTACTATGAATAATTTTTTCTCCATTTAACAGCAGGAGACAAGAAATGTGAGATTTATGTGTGAACTTCGACATTTGTTTGCATTAATGGTTGGTTCCAAGAGAAAATATGTAGATCCTTCTAAAGCTGTAGATATTCTTAAAGAAGCCTTTGCTGCTACAGCAGCTACTGGTGTAGGAGACAGTCAACAGGTAACAGTCAATTATTATGAATGAAAGGAGATGTTAGGTATATGTTACTTAGACAGCAAGCCAAAAACATCTGATAACCCCAATTGACATATACTGTGTGGCTCAAATACCAACAAAAAAAGGTTTTTCTGTCTGAACAGTATAAATAAGATATGCTGGATTTCAGATTAAATTGTATCTATGACTCAATAAAAGAAGCACAAACCACCAGAATTATAAAACAACAGCACAGACTTTTACAGTGATGTCATCAAGTTTGTGCTGAAGTCATTTGTTTCTACAAAACCAACAAATTAACAACCTTATACGACAAGGTTTTTTTTTTACGACCTTGACTTCCCATGAGGGTCTTGCACGGTCGGTCATACATGTAATACTTTTAGACAGTTTTATACTGATAAAGTAGACCAATGTTTTCAACTTGTGGAATGTAATAATAGTTTAGTTCTAATTGGTTCTCCTGTTTGTATAGACGTTTTGATGAAAAATTATTTTTCATGCATTTATGTACACACAGAAGAATTGAAATTTTCTCAAAGAAGGTGTTGTATAATTTGTTTTTTTTGCTTTATATTGTTATCGTTCCTCATGTTATATAGGATGTCAGTGAATTCCAACACAAGTTATTAGAGTGGTTAGAAGATGCATTTAAAACAACATTTAGACCTCCATCCCCAGAAACAGGGTAAGTCTGACAATTGATCATATGTAATATCCGTAAAATCTGACTATGGGAAGTATTAATATGCGGAACCATTATATGAGGATAATTATTATATCATAAAAAAAGAAAAAAGAGAAATTGATACAGTTTTATTCATTTTATCCTTTTTATGAAATACTTTTGCAAGATCAAGAATATTTACTGGTCCATGGTATATGCAAAGTTTCCCTCTAAAAGGTAAATCCTTATATCTTATTGTAGTTATTTGCATCTCTGAAAAAAATGAAATTCATTTCCAAGAACTAACATTTAGACATAGAATATCAATATTTTGTTGAATGGTCCTTATGAATAAAATGATGTTACTCATTTACATAAAATGTATTATCTTTTCATTTATTGCTTTTAATCATCCATCATTTTTTATTGTAAAGGGCTGGAGAATCTGACGAAACAAAAAATCCAATGGTAGAGTTATTTTATGGTCAATATAGAGCTGAAGGTGTCAATGAAGGTATGTATAACGTTCCAATTTTAACTACAGTTATCTTCCAAAATAAAAATAAGGTTTGTGGTATGATTACCAAAGAGACAATTAATTATCCACCAGAGTCCATATGAAGTGGATGTAAGAAGCTATAGATCACCATGTAGCGTTAAACAAAGAGAAAAACCCATACCATATAGTCAGCTTTAAAAGGCTGACATGACAAAGGGGAAACAATTCAAATGAGAAAACAGTCTGATTTATGACAAAAAAAGTAAATGTAAAAAAAATATTTCACACAGCAAACAACGACAACCACTAAATTACCCTGACTTTGGACAGGCACATAAAGAATGTTGTGGGGGTTAAACATATTTGTGAGGGCTCAATCTTCCCCTAACCTGTGACTGTTGTAACATCGTAACTTAAGAATAAACTGTAACAATCAGTAGGAAATGGCTTGACTTATCAGATTGGTACTAAGCACATAAACAACTAATATGAAGACAAAACAGACATATTACCAATTTAAGAGTACCCATAGTAACAATTACAAGTCAATTACAACTAATAAATAAAGTATGTTCTACCCCCAGCTATGGGTAAATAGCGCCACTGCCTTGTGTGTGACCCTGGAAAGTCAACCCAGAAAGAAATCCGGACAGATGCAATCCTTTAGCATGATAATGCAATCATCTTCGGGAAGGACTGCCCAGAGAGAAAACCTGGCCCACCAGAGTGGAGGTGGTTTGAAGTTGGGCTAACAACCTAACGCAGTAAAAAAGATCTTGTTACAGACACCAGAAATGCTGTGTGGAGGCCTTGTGCGACTTCTGGCGCGGAGAGAATTAAGGTTTAGGTTCAGGTAAGGTTCTACCAGACTTGCCAGGTTGGTTTTGCAAGCATAATTCTGAGGAATAGTTTATTCTATAGAAAATTTTTCTCAGTATATCATATTTTTGGAAAATCCATTATAAATATGCATACATTGGAAGGAGATGATGGATAAACAGTGATGAGATAGAAATCCAATGACACAAAAACCCATCATTGTAAGACATATGCAATTTTGTATCTTTTTTCATTGGTGATTTGTTTCTTATCCTAGGTAAAGGTTTTAGCAATGATGAAAATTTTGGTCAGTTTCCATTACAAGTAAATGGTTTTCGAGACATCCATGAGAGTTTGGAAGCTGCTACAGCACATGGAGCTATAGAAACAGTCAGTAGGGATACTACACAGCAATCAGGTCAAGAGGTTAGTGTTCTGTCATTCAAGCATTTGTACCTCATTTCACCTGCCGCCCTATATTACCAATAAGAGAGTTCTGGGACTAGTTGTTGAAACATCAATGTAGAGGTCTAAAAAGTGTGTGGCATTTTTCTATGCATCCGCCTAGTTTTTCACACAGGAGAATTAAGCAATTGGAATTATTTAGAAAGATTTCCACTTTTTGAACTTCTCAACCTAATAAAATATACTATAAGGTGGCATCACACATAAGTTGACGCTTAAATGTAGACAACATTGTATTGGTTTCAACACTGCATAAATTTCTGAAGTTTTCACATGACTCTTGTGTGTAAAATGAAATTGGCAACAGAAAAACAGACTATCTGAGAACTAAACTATGTGACATGTTGCTTTGACGTCTGTGATCATCCTTTATTTCACATTTAATTTGTAAACTAATGGAACATTTTGAACTAAATTTGGCAGGAATAATGTTTATATGGAAGATCCCTTAAAAGGGTGTAATACATGAGCCAAATACTGTGAAAGTACTTTTATTCATCCGGTACCAATTTTCATGGTTTTCATGGATGGCTTTATCCAGGAATTTAAGTATCCAATGAAATATAACAACTGTTGTCCAAATCAAGACATAGAAAGATACCCATGTAGGTTTGACTCCATGGATACATCCATATAATCTAGAGAATACATCGAATATTAGCAAAGGAAAATGAACACCTTATTTTGTAATGTCTCACAGATCATTATAAAACAATATATGACTATTTTTATGAATTTTTGTTTCTGAATGCTTTAAATTCTTCACTCGATTTTTTTTCTCTCAGAAAACTAAAATCCACAAATTTAAGAACCCACAAACATGTAACTTTTGCTCAAACGAAAAAAATTGATACTCATAAATTAAAGTACTTTCACAGTCAGCTATGTATGCTCCTTGAAGCCTTTAGTTTGAGTTTTGATGTGCTAATGGTTATTTTATGCCCCATGGCAAATATGATGCCACATGCATATCCAGATCAAGTTAAAAAGTAAATCAATCTTATACAAGAGAAGAATTTGATTTTCAATTCAACTTGATTGGTTGATTGTTGGTGTTTAACGCCACTTTCAGCACTATTGGCTATTTCATGGCGGCCAGTTTTTATTGGTAGAGGAAGCCTGAGTGCATCATGTACTGTGTTACATCTAGATAAAGCCTAAGAGGAAAGGCATTACTTGAATAATGAAGCTATTTTTATAGCCTAGTTGGTTGAGTGGTCTAGTGCACTGGACACAGTCCAGGCTGCATTGCCACAATGTCACAGAAGCAGGGGTTTGAATCCCACTGAGGGAAGAACAAAAATTTGCTAACACAAATTTGCAGATTTAACTTTGTTGGGATAAATTTGAGACAAAGTATATATTAATTATGGTGTTAGTCTGTTGTAAAGTTGTCTCATATAGACGTATATGTATATATTTTATTACAAAGCATTATTAGATTGAATTTATTTCTGTATTTCAGTTGTGGTTTACTAAACTTCCACCAGTGTTGACCTATGAACTTTCCAGGTTTCAGTTTAACCAACAACTTGGACGTCCTGAAAAAATTCACAACAAAATAGAATTTCCTCAAGTTATATATATGGATAGGTAAGCCAAGAAAATTTGATTTAGATGTCGTAATAACGTGAATTAATTTTTTCACATGATGATCATTTCCAATATGCTAGCAATACAAGGTTGTAAATACATTTGTCTTTCAAGGCCAAAATAGTCAGTGACTACATGTAAATTTAATTTCAGGAAATATTCTTGTTTACATTAGAAATCAGTCTTTTTTTTACACTTGCACAGAAGTAACTTTCATCCATTGGGACAAATGTTTTCAAAGTTAAGAAGATTGATATTGAATAATAAAATGATGTTTCAGTGGAAGTAGATTCTGTTGTAAAATGATTAAGGAAAATTTATAATTTTACATATTCTCATTACAGGTATATGATTGGTAATAAAATAGAAACCAGGCAAAGAAGAGAACAAGTGAAAAAATTAAGAGAAGAATTATCTGTGTTGTATTCCAAATTAGATAAGTAAGTTTTTGTGTCACTTGAATAGTAGAGTCAATGCATAGAGATTAGTATCAAACACAATCATTAATTTCCTATATGTTGACATCACACTTTACTTGTATCTTTATTACTTGTTTGAAACTACTGAGCAGGAACTAGACTTGAGAATAATCTTCAAATGCATTTAAACACTCATTTTACAGACCACACAAAACTATAGATGTAAGCTTTGAAATAAAATGCTTATAAAAAGTTTGGTAATTTTGGACTGAATATCAATGTTACAAGAATTTATATACTGTTCAATACAGTACAGGCTATTATTTTGAATTAAAAAAATATGTAACTAAACATTTAATCAGTCAAACTGTCGAGATGACCTCTGAAGACTATCAATGGTCATATAACCCGATACAAACATGAATATAAAAATAAATAGATATCGACCACATGCAATTAGATTTTTCTTGGTCTGTTTGATTTCATATTGTATGTTAAATGGTATGTTAATAGCTGAGTACATGCGTAACCCATCTCCAGCTTAGGGGTTAAATTGAAGGTCACATGAATTAGGATTCAGTGAGGTCCATCAGCGATGTTTCTTAGCTTATTTTGATAAAATTGAACCAAACTGGCTGCTAATAAAATTATTATTTCACTTTCATTAATGATTGAACAGAAAAAAAATCATATTTTAATTTTTTTTTATATCTTGTAGCTAATGCTCCTTTAAGAAACTTGATTTGATTATTTCAGATTTAACCATTATGGTAGTGGTAGTAAGAAAGTTCCTCTACAAGATGTGTTATCGTATGCTTTAGAGTTTGCCGAAAGTAAACCAGAAACCCAGTGTCTTTCATTAGATGTAGAAATGGAATCTCCTAAACCTCATTCTAGGTAATATTAAGTTTAATGTTTAGAAATGGAATCTCCTCAACCTCATTCTAGGTATTATAAACTTAACTCTACTCTGTAGAAAAGGAATCTCCTAAACCTCATTCTAGGTAATATTAAGTTTACTCTACTGTTTAGAAATGGAATCTCCTAAACCTCATTCTAGGTAATATTAAGTTTACTCTACTGTTTAGAAATGGAATCTCCCAAACCTCATTCTAAGCAATATTAAGTTTACTCTACTGTTTAGAAATGGAATCTCCCAAACCTCATTCTAAGCAATATTAAGTTTACTCTACTGCTTAGAAATGGAATTTCCTCAACCTCATACTGGGTATTATAAACTTTACTGTTTAGAAATGGAATCTCCTAAACCTCATTCCAGGTTATATAAACTTTACTCTACTCTGTAGAAATGGAATCTTCTACACCTCATACTAGGTAATATAAACTTTACTCTACTCTGTAGAAATGGAATCTCCTAAAGCTCGTTCTAGGTAATATAAACTTTACTCTACTCTGTAGAAATGGAATCTCCTAAACCTCATTCTAGGTAATATAAACTTTACTGTACTCTGTAGAAATGGAATCTCCTAAACCTCATTCCAGGTTATATAAACTTTACTCTACTCTGTAGAAATAGAATCTCCTAAACCTCATTCTAGGTAATATAAACTTTACTCTACTCTGTAGAAATTGAATCTCCTCAACCTCATACTAGGTAATATAAACTTTAGTCTACTCTGTAGAAATGGAATATCCTAAACCTCATTCTTGGTTATATAAACTTTACTCTGCGCTGTAGAAATGGAATCATCTAAACCTCATTCTAGGTAATATACTTTCTACTCTGTAGAAATGGAATCTAAACCTCATACTAGGTAATATAAACTTTCAACTCTGTAGAAATGGAATCTCCTACACCTCATTCTAGGTAATATAAACTTTACTCTACTCTAGAAATGGAATCTCCTAAACCTCTTTCTTGGTATTATTAACTTTACTCTTCTTTATTTGAAATTGAAAAAGCCGACACAGAGTAAATATAAAATTAAAGACAAAAACACAAAAATATATATGATATTAGACTGTATTTAAGAAATCATCTACTTTAAATCATGATTGAGAATGAAGAAATTTATCTCTTATTTATGTTTATGTTTAATTATGAAATATTCCTCAAGAATGGGTCATCTCAGTGCAAATTTTTATTTCTGTACTTTCGTGATAATAATTTTATTTAAAAATAATTCTTCAAAACCAACATGAATGATTTTGATTTTAAGATATTTGTTGAATGATAAATTATGGAAAAGAACCTTTATTAGACCTCTTAAATGTCTTTTTTTGTTGGTAAACATCACAAAGAAAGTCCAATAGATATTGTTTTGACTACAATTCTTTGTTTATTTCCAGTATGGTAACGGAAACATCAGCAGATGTTCCAATGACATCAACATCACCACCTTCATCATCACCCGCCAAAAAAATAGCTACGCCCATCAAACCTCATCGGACAAATGTCTTAATTAGTAACCCTTCACCTAAACATGTAGAAGATTCAGAATTAAAAGTTTTACAAGAATGTTTGCGGAGATGGCGAACTGAAGTAGAACAGGATGTTAGAGGTATGCCTTTTAACTGTATTGCAAAGAGACTATTACATGAAAAACAAAAAAATGTAGTCAATAAATATGGATAAAATTTGAAATAATTATTTTATTTGAGTAACAGTTTCGTGGATTGAAAAAAATTGTCTTTTCATTGATAATTGATTTCTTTGTTCACCTGTGCCCATGAAATTCAAGAAAACTAGTATCCACTAATAATAATGTAGCCAATGAAATTCATGTAAATCAGTATCCCTTCCATACAAATGTAGAAAATGAAATTTACAAAAATTAGTAAACAACCAATAACAATGTAGTTGCATAAGAAACTTGTAATGTTTGAAAATATGTACATTCATTGTAGATGCAGGTACTTCCACAGTCAATCAGAAATTGTTCTGGAGTGCTTTGCTATGAAGTTGATAATATAATTAGAACAAAATTTGATGAAAAGACACATTGATAAAGATTTATTTTGGCATAATAAAATAAATTCCTACTCACCAAAACTGTAAATGTTGTGTATATTTTTCCTTAAATCTTACCCTCTCTATCTCTGTAAAATATTCGTTTAATGGTATAAATTTCGTATGATTCATTTATTTTGTATATTTGTAGGATTACAAGAAAACATAAATTCCTTGGAAAAAGCTATAAATATAATGTATGGTGATGAGGCCATGAGAAAGGTAAAAATACACAAAGAATTCTAATATTAAGTCAGATAACAGTGCTCAAGCTAGAAATTGAAAGGAGAAGGTCACCAATGGAGAGTAGGGCACCAATGGAGAATAGGACATGTCAACTTTAGGGTCTTGTTTATATTTTATTCTGTCCACATTTTTGTGTGCATCCTATTTGGGATTAATACATCTATCTATTAGTACTAGATCATATTGATATAAAAATATTTGGAATGAAATTTTTATAAAAACTAAAATAAGAAAAAACTGAAACCAACTGTGATTGTAGTTAATTTTAAAGTCAAGTTTACTATATCCTTTTTTAAAGACAAAATCTTATATTGTAATAATTATAAAAAAATGGAGATGTGGTATGATTTATCAACCAGAGTCCAAATAACATGGATGTAAGCAACTAAGGTCACTTTAGGACATTCTACAATATGCAAAACTCATACTGTATAGTCGACTATAAAAGTACCTTACAAATTTTGAATCAATTTAAACAAGAAAAATCACTGGTTTGTTTTCAAAATAGATCTAAGTCTTGACCAATGAAAAAATTGTTATAGAAATTGACTTTCCAAGGTCAATCAATCATTCAGTGTTATCAATTTTGATCTGTTCATCTGCAGAACACGTGCTATTTAATATAACAAAAAAATTCATCCTCTGAATCCCTATTTGGGCTAAAGGCACTGCAGACCCCTAGCTTCATATCATGGTAGAATACTGATTGGTCAGCTTTGAGTCCTTGTTGTGAGATCAAACTCATAGCCTCAAGCTGGACACGTGGTACTGACTGATCAATTTTTACACGCCTGTTTACGGGACGTATTATGGTATACCGTTGTCCGTCCGTCGTCAACATGTCGGACAATAACTCAAAAATGCTTTAACCAATTTGCATAAAACTTTGGTGAATTGTTTATATCTATTGACATGAGCTACCTTTCCTTTTTTATAAAATTTCGATTTTACGTTTCCGAGTTATGGGGTTTTATACATTTAAAAATGGGGGATTTTAGAGTTTTTGGACAATAACTCAAAAATGCTTTCTCCAATTTGCAAGAAATTTTTGGTGAATTGTTTATATCTATAGACATGAGCTCCCTTTCAATTTTTATAAATTTTCGATTTTACGTTTCCGAGTTATGGGGTTTTATTCATTAAAAAAAGGGGGATTTTCAATATTTTGGACAATAACTCAAAAATGCTTTCTCCAATTTGCAAGAAATTTTGGTGAATTGTTTATATCTATAGACATGAGCTCCCTTTTGATTTTTATAAATTTTAGATTTTACGTTTCTGAGTTGCTGGGTTTTATTCATTAAAAAAAGGGGGATTTTCCATTTTTTTGGACAATAACTCAAAAATGCTTTCAGCAGGTCTCATGAATCTTTGGTGAATAGTTAATATCTATTGACGTAAGCTCCCTTTTGATTTTTATATGTTTTAGATGTTACATTTCCGAGTTATGGGGTTTCATTCATTAAAAAAGGGGAGATTTTCCAGTTTTCAGACAATAACACAAAAATGCTTTCAGCAGTTCTCATGAAACTTTGGTCAATTGTTAATATCTATTGATGTAAGCTCCCTTTAGATTTTTATTTGTTTATAGTCTGACAATAGATTTACTAAGTATTGCGCAACAGCACAGTGTATTGCACAACAGAAAGAAATCTTTAATTGAATATAAATTCAATTCATATAACCAATTTCATGTTCTTTGACTACTTTTATTCAGAAACCTATAATATGTCAAATATTTAATTACAATCAAAATCCAGACCTGTATCAAGCTTGCATATTGTGTCCATTTTTGCCCCAACTGTTAAGGGTTGGACCTTTGCGGGCGTATCCAGCTGCGCTCAGCGAAGCAGTCTATTAATCCAGTTGTGATGTTTAATATGGATAATAATCCTGGTAGATTGTAATGTTATTACCCAGTAATTAAAACCTTGCAGTAATTTATTATAATAACATGATTAAATCTTTGGACACACAAAAGATGTCAAAACTGCATGTATCAACTTTATACAGATATGATATTGATCATAACAAAGGTCACTTTACTGTAAAACCCATGCAAGGGCATTCTAGAATTAAGGTTTTAATGCATCAAGGGTGCAGCACCCTTCCAAATTGGGCATACAAGACCACTGAAATGATATCAAGCTTTAATCATTGTCACTTAGTTTTTTAGTTTGGATTATTGATAAACATTTAAGTACCAGTCCATTTAAAAATTATGCAAAATCCAATGCATTGGTTATAAGCCTACAAATGAGTTTTTTTATATCTTGTTTAGACATAAAGAAATGTTGAAATTCATATATAGTTTCTCATATGGACTCTAACCAGGTGAGACAAAAATTCTATAGAATGCACTATAAAACTCATGCTGACGGAGATAACTCCCATAATATTCCATGCAGTCTATTGTAAAATGCATGCCTAATATCTGTTATATGGTAAGTATGGAAAATATTACTTAATCCTTTCATGTACATCAAAATTGCAGGGCTTTGACAAAAATTATTATTTATAGTCTTTTGTGAGGTGTATCAGAAAATTTTGATTATGCATGATTCTCATATGGACTTCTACTTAATTCTTAGTTTCTATCGAAGTATAGTCTAAACAGAAGAATTTAAAGATGGTGTGGTATACTGCAATGACTTTAAACATAGGCAGTGTTCCCGCCTGCCTCAAATAGAAGGGCGGGCTGCCCTTGGTGCCCTTACCCCCGCCCTTCTGCCGTTTCAACAATAAACGTAATCAAATTACATGTCTATCAGCATTTTCAGTAAAATTATTACCTGCTTGTTTAAACAACAAATTAATTGACAATGACATATATTCAGATACAATAAACCTTTGGCAGATTTATCACCTCTGTTGATGATTGGCTTCTGCTAATTAGGTGATTGAAGATAATTGAACAAATACTAGATATTTTTAATGCAAAATGAAATGACATGTGCTCCATTTTATAAATTTGTTTATGTACAGCATATACACTTGAAAAAAGTTTATATAAGTTTGTTTAGGGCTATTCCATCAAAATGTAGTACAATATTTGCATTTATTATACTTCACGTTAAAATGCCATATTTTGATTGGCTAATACGAGAGTGTTAATTTACTCTATGACATGGCTGAGCGGGTGACAATTTTTTTGAATGTCACCCTCTAGTCCAGACCAATCAAAAATCGATAATTTAAAGGACAATGAATTGAATTCACATCAAGTAATTAAATACAATGCTTAAGTTCTACGTTTTGGCTCAGATTTTATTATATGACTGTCAAAATAAAAAAATAAAACATCTTGCCTCTGTTTTGTTGTTTTTTCTAATACCTGTAACGTTGTTATGTACGTGACGTCATAGAAAATACTTTTAAAATAAAATTAATCTGTAAAAGACAATCATGATAGGACTTTCAGTATAATAAATTAAATAACACATAGCTGAGAGGGTGATAGAGCAGATTGGTACCCCTCGAAAAAGCATTGTCAACCTTGGCTTCGCCGCGGTTGACAATGTTTTCTCGGGGTAACAATCTGCTCTATCACCCTCTCAGCTATGTGTTATTTATATAGTATTCACAAACAATTTAACTGTAAATAATATTATTTGTTAAGCATTTGAAGTTGTCTGTTCATTTATATAGACTGGTATATTAGTACCAAAACATTGAAAATTCTGATGTGTTTTTTTGGTTTTTTTTCACCATCATTATTATGATTGATTGATTGTTGGTTGCTTATTATTATGTGTCTTGCTTCATTTTATAAAATAATTATGATAAAACATGGAAATAACATCAAGAAATATGCTAAAAATATGGCCTCAAGTTTATCTTAGAAATATTGAAATTTGTTTTCAGAGGATGTGCTAACAGCTCACTAATGTTAAATTTGTTAAAATACTTTATACTGCCTAATTATATAGGTACATTTCCATAGGAAGGGATTTATAAGAATTGGTATTTTTGGCATTTATTTTATTTGATACACAAGTGCCCTAAAAATCTGAATGATAGCGCTAAAGTGCCCTTTGGGTCAACTAGCACCCTTCTGCCCTGAGATTCAAGCTGGAACACTGATGGGTTCATCTGTCCATTTATCCCTCCATGAATTTTTTTATATCTTATTTAGGATATAAAAGTCAGTTAAAATTCATACATTATTTCTCATATGGACTCATACCAGGTATCAATTTGACTGTACATAATTTCCATTTCTATATATATATCTCAGCTTCTTTATTAAAGAATTTGAATGATTTGACTTTTGATCATGAACTTGTTGAGTTGTACAGTGTTAGCCATTTTTAGATCTACTAGCTGGGCAGTCATTTCCTGTTTGATGAGACTGAATTTTTATAGTACTAGCTGGTATTTTTTGTGAATGTCCAATACCAGTGGGGGTTTACTTTGCACATTCGCTTATGCAATTCCTCGTTTACATTATCCATAGCTACAGACGTTTTGCACAACCCCATGTACAACTTCTTCTTTATATTACATTATTTCTGTATCAATTTTTGATCTGCCAATTTAGATAGTTTTTATACACCCGTCAAAATTTTGACGGGACATATTATTGTCACAGTGAACCGGACATACACCAAATTATCGTGATGGCTAATATCAGACAGTGACTTTGATACCACGTTTATTAACTGCAAATACATATTTATTTCAACATATACAAATCTTTCAACAAATTCGGAAAACAATTACATTCATTCATAACCTAAATATAAAACCACAAACTAAATAGAGACAAGAACTGACGGACAAATGAATTCAACAAAACACTTCAAAATTACGCCATGAATTAATACTGCAAATAAGACAATTTATAGCTGCAATTCAGTAATTTTGAACTTACTATAAAACTATGTAAAAAGTACGGAAAAGCCGTATAGTATCTTATTGTAGATTTTTATGATAAAACTATCATAATATTTCCATATAACTTTTAATGAATGAAATTCTATCGAGAAACTGTAAATAAAACTTTTCAAATAACAAAATTAACTAACCTGCAAATATTGCTTTAGCATTTAAGCATCCACACAGAAAGGCAGTTATTCAGTTAATGAAATACTAAATATCTATATATATAAGGCGTACATTTATTTTCCCGTGTGCGTGCAACTATATTTTATTCTATTTAAATCGTTCAGGTGTGTAGTGACGTGTATATGAAATTGTGCAGTGACGTGTATTAGAAATGTCGTCAGTCTCAGTCAAACATCATAATGAGTATGATGAAACAGAAAATGGAATGAATGAAATAAATGAACTGATGAATGACAAATCAACATTTAATTATACACATAAATACGACGGTGACATATTCCCCCACCAAAAAAAAAAAAATTCATCCCTGAATTATCGCAGAATGTATATCGGCAAATACCCTATACAAAATATTTATAAATTCCGCTCATTTTTATCCATCGTGGCTTCCATATGACGTGCCCATGAGGATCTCAATGCCTGAGTAGGATGTACTCCATCAACTAACATTGAATAGATATAACGAATTTTACTTTTACACCTCTTATGAACAAAAGCGTGTAAGAAAGGGGTTACAACACCATTTTCTAAGTTCTTCTGTACAATATATGTATTCACTGAGTGTAAAATTATATTTAATTGTTCCTGCATTCTCTCGTAATCAGACTCATATTTCAGGCGGACAGTTTTACCAATGAATTTCCTGTGAGTGTTCCATTTCTGGAAACTCATTGTTGTTATAGTTGCGAAAACAACTTTACATCCTATATTTTTCATACGTTTCTCAACATCTGACATAGCTTCTTGTATAAGTGCAACATGATCCTTCTCTAAATAAAGATATGATTCTTCATATTTTTCGTTCTTGATACGCACCAAAGAACATATATCTGGAATCCCGGCAACAAAATATACTATCTTAGGATGAACGATATTATGAAGTCGCTTTTCAGCCAGACTACACAACCTATCATAAGTACCACCAGGAATAATGTTAACCTGCTTACAATCTACCTGACTCATGCTACTACCACGACTTGACGCAAAAATGTAAGAACTACTATACATACCTGGAATGTAAAACAATACTATGTACTAACACTGTTAAAATATCAAACTTTCCGATCGACCTCTCAATATGCTCAGGTGGCCACCGCCTCTCTGTGCAAACCAAGATTATCGAGCAAAAAATTTCAAAGAAAACAGCAATATACAAGGAAATGTAAAAACAAAAATAAACAAAAATAAGTACTTTGAATTTCCCTAAAAATACAAATAATCACCATAGCGATCTGGCTTCCTAGACTGTCTAGATGTGCGACGTAAAACCGGTTCATTGAACTGTTCCACAGGTACATGTGTACTTTCTGGAACGCTACTTACCTCGTTGGAAATATCTGAATTCGGAGTAATAAATGAGGATTGCTCATGCGTTAATCTACTACTAGTATTAAGTGTCTCATCAATATGTCGACTCGAGAGACCCGTATGTGTTCCATATGTAGAACTTGCATTACCTGTTCCATTACTCAAATTTTGAATATCTGAGTCATGAGTTTGATTCCTTTGGGATCCCGAAGCTATTGGACTCAATGGACTAAACTCTTCAGCCGAGGGATTTAGAGAATTACTTTGTATGGCCTTGTACTGACCTGGTTGTACAAAAGGCATTAAAGCATAATCAGAATCGGACTCATCTGAATACTCATGAATACTTCCTGTACATTCCGTATCTTTTACAGAATCTACAATCTGTGACTCATCGTCGACTCTATTGGATTCACTTGTGCACTTACTATTTCTTTCTTTCTTACTATGATGTACCAACTCTTCGGTTGGCAAAGAATAAATGGGTAACAGTAGATTCCTATGCACTGTCTTAGTCTTCGACTTACTTTTTCCATACTCAGGTTTTATCACATAAACGGGGATATTTGTATCAGGTTGAGATACTACAATGAAAGGCTCTCTATTCCAACGGTTTGCTAGCTTTTGTCTACCTTTTATATGTATGTTCTTGAGAAGAACTCTATCTCCCTTCTTCAAAACTGAATTTCTCACCTTTAAATCATACCTGGTTTTATGTCTCCTGCTAGCTTTCTCTGCAACTTTTGCCGCTGTCTTGTAAGCATACTGCAATCTCTTTTCTAACTGACTAGCATACGATTCATGACTCTTACCTTGAGATACGTCTCTATCAACGCCTAGGAAAGCGTCGATCGGGAGACGAGGATGCCACCCAAACATTAAAAAATGAGGGCTGTATCCCGTACTCTCGTGCTTTGTAGCATTATAGGCATGTACTAAAGGCGGGACGTAACTCTTCCAATCTGACTTTTGTTCGTCGTTCAAGGTTCCAAGCATGCTTAAAAGTGTGGAGTTAAACCTTTCGCACTGACCGTTTCCACTTGGGTGAGCTGGGGTTGTCCTTGATTTCTTTATACCGGCAATTTTACATAGCTCACTAATGACTCTGGACTCAAAGTTTCTGCCTTGGTCGCTATGTATACGTGCGGGAAAGGAATAATGTTGAATGAAGAACTCCCAAAGGCATCTAGCCGTAGTCTGGGCTGTCTGATTCCGTGTAGGAATTGCCTGGGCATACCTTGTAAAATGATCAGTTATCACGAGTATATTTTCATAACCTCCCTTTGATTGTTCTAAACAGAGAAAATCTATACAAATCATCTCCAATGGTTGACTTGTCTCTATACTTACTAGTTCAGCAAATCTACTACTCTTTGTTTTCCTTAGTATGCAGTTGGGACAAGTCGCCACCTTACCTTCTACGTCCTTATTCATTCCAGGCCAATAAAATCTGGAATTGACAAGATATAGAGTACGATCTCTGCCTTGGTGACCAGCATCGTCATGTAAACCTCTCAAAGCAATATCCCTGTAAGCAGCTGGTAAAATAAGCTGATATATAGTCTCATTGTTAAGTTTACTTACCCTATAGAGGACTTCTTTTTTAATTACTAATTTATCCCAGTCGTAAAGTAACTTGCGTGTACCTAAAGGTTGCTTACCAATTTCTCTCTTCGTAGGTTTATGTCCTGCTCTTTTTAATTCAAGTGCCCTCGCTATATCTTCGTCTTTCTTCTGCTCTACAATCCAAGAAATGTCTGAAAAGGTATCTAGCTTGGGGTCATCCTTATCGACTATACCTTCTAGAGTTTGAGACATACAAATGCTCTCAGCGGGTGGACAGCTGGACGAAACTAAAATAGCCTCGCATATAGCTTTAACAGCATCGCTAAATAATTCCTGATGGTCATAATCAATCCTTGACAAACTGTCGGCGTCAACGTTCGACTTACCACTCCTATATACCAAACTAAAATCATAATCTGCTAACTCTGCTATCCATCTCTGTGATGTAGCGTCTAATTTGGCTTTACCCAAGACATAAGTAAGCGGATTATTATCCGTGCGGACTTCAAACTTATTTCCATAAAGATAGTCTCGAAATTTATCAGTAACCGCCCATTTCAAAGTGAGAAACTCTCGTTTATGGGCCGGATACAACTTCTCCGCAGCACGTAGCGCTCTACTAGCATATGCTATTACCCTTTCGATACCATTCTGGCATTGATAAAGTATGGCGCCTAATCCATCACCACTGGCGTCTATATTCAAAATGAATGGTAGACTATAATCGGCAAAAGCCAGAATAGGTGGACTAGTCAATACCTCTATCAGCTTTTCTCTGGCAGCTTGCTGTTCATCGCCCCATTTCCACTTCGTTGGCTTGGGTTTATTCTTCTTCTTAGATTTCTGTTTCTTGTTTGTTTGGTGTCCTACCAGAAGATCATTTAGTGGTCTTACTATTTTAGCATAATCTAGTACGAACTTCCTGTAATAGGATGTGAATCCTAAAAATCGTCTGAGACCTCTGACATTCTTTATTTCTGGCCAGTTTCGTACCGCTTTTACCTTTTCTTGGTCTGTTTTAATTCCCTTTTCAGAGACAATAAATCCTAGGTATTTAATTTCTCTCCTAAAGAACTCGCACTTACTTCCTTTTAGTTTTAGGCCATGCTTCTTTAATCTACTGAATACAGACTCTAGTCTTTTCATATGCTCTTCAGCTGTCTTAGAAAAAATCATTATATCATCCAGATATATTAGGCATTCTCTCAGGTGTAACTCACCCATGCATCTCTCCATGAGACGCTGAAATGTTGCACAAGCATTGGTTAACCCAAAAGCTAGCCTGTTACACTCATAAAAACCTAGAGGACCGAGACTAAATGCAGTCTTATAACGATCAGACTCTTTAAGGTTACACTGCCAATAGGCCGACCTAAGGTCAATTTTACTAAAATACTTACTTCCGGTCAGACAATCTAGTGTCTCATCTATGCGTGGAAGACTTTGGGCATCACGAATAGTCTTTTTGTTCAATTTCCTAAAATCAAGACAGAATCGAAGACTTCCATCTGGTTTCCTCACAAGTACAACATTGGAAGAGTAGGGACTAGAAGATTCTCTTATGGCCCCTGCTTCCAACATTTCCTTCAAATGTTCACGGACCTCTTCGTACAATGACAGTGGTATGCGTCGATATGGTTCCTTAAAAGGAATGTTGTCTGTTAATTTAATCTCATGTTCCACTAATGTAGTGAACCCTAGATCCGTTGGTCCTGTAGAAAAGATCGACTTCCACTTAGTTAACAAACCTTTTAATTGTACTTTTGTACTGTCAGGCAAGTCCTCGCTGACGTTAATACCAAGTTCTTCAAGACTCTCCTTACCTCCATTCATTGTCTCACTATCTGACAATGTATGTTCATCAAAACCATCACGTACAACAGTAACTCCACTTAACTCACAAAGGACTGTTTTAGGTTTGATAACAACAGGCTTTGCTGTTATATTACAAATCCTAACAGGTACCCTCTGTTTACCGCTACCTTTGACTGATACTACTCTGGGACAGACAACCACCTGATCTGACAACTCACTCAAAAAAGAGCGGTTCTCGGTTACTAAAGTTTCAGTATTTGCGTCACTTTTTAGCTTCACTATTCCAGATATGGTCATTACTGATGAAGGAAACAGTTTAAACGGGCGTTTATTGGAAGAACGCACCACTCCTGAACTGTTATCCTGTATAGACGAAAAGGCAACATCCCACTGTTTTGGTATCGAAATATCATCATCAAGACAGTGTACTAACTCCATACCTAACCGTAAAATGTTTGTACCAACTATAACCGGAACTTTATCTGTATAATCAGACCTAGGTACAACCAACATAGGAACATAGAAAGACTCGCCTTGAAGAAAAGGTATCTGGACCTCGACCTCAACATAACCAATATACGGCAGTTTCGAACCACCAGCAACACTGACTGATAACTCAAATTCATCCAAATCTTTAACTACGGGGACAGGTTTCATCAACTTCAAAACATGATCAGAAACTGTTGAAATCATCGAACCACTATCTATCAAAGCTTTACATTTCATCGAATTAACCTGTATAATTGAATGATTCTCAATACCTACCATTCTATCCAACAAAGATTTAGTCTTACTTAAGTCTGATTTAAAAATAGGGCTATACTTACTTTCTAGTCTGCCCTGCGACAGAGACTAGCCGAAGTTTAAATTCTGATTTTGATTCTGAAATTTGTTATCTGTTCCTGACTGTCCTCTGTTACCTCCTCTATAATTATTACGGCCCCTTCCATTACCTCTATAATTATTATTATATCTACCTCTCTGTGTACCTCTATTATTCCAATAATTACCTGAACCTTGTGGTTTATTGTTTTGTCTATTCTGTTGATCATCACCTTGAGAATCTTTAACTTTCTTCAACTCACCTTCGAAATTATCTAGCCTTTTATTAAATGCATCTAATTTCTGTATAAGTACATTCATATCTGATGCAGCAGTAACTGGTTGATGTGTGACAGTAGCTGTAGGCTTAGAAGCAACCGAAATTTGAAGCTCTAGTTCAATTGCTCTTACCTCTTTTCTTAATTCATCAAAGTTCTTGATAGTGTCATATTTGTATCTAGTAGCATTTTTCAATGCAGAATCCCTGATACCTGACCAAAACTTTGTTCTCAACATATCATCTCTAACTTCTGAAGTTAATTTACCTTTGTCATATGCTTTCTGTAATATACCCTCTAATTTCATACCGTAATCGGCCACTGATTGACCCTCTTCCTGCTTCTCAGTATAAAATGACTGTAAAAGTGTCTCATTTGAATAGACATTTCCGTAAATACCTTCTAATTTTTCTAGAATATTATGTGGAGTAGCAGACTCGGGAAGAGTAAGCAGGGTATTACGGGCTTGATTTTTCAAAGAATTTCTCATACACTGTACTATGATTAACTCAGGGTACAAGTTTTCTCGGAGCAAACATTTAACTTCAAATTTCCACACGTCAAATGAAGCTTCACTCTTTGCATCCCCAGAGAAAATCGGTAACCGTGGTCTTTGGTACGTTGGTGTATTACCAGTAACGTCATGGGTGTGATTTCCCAAATTAAAACTAACTTTCGGTTTCACCTGATCATTTAGACCTGAAAAATCGTGATAGTATTTTCTGAAAGGGGGAGGGGGTGGTGGTCTAGACAGAAGCTTATCAGTAGGTGGCTTCGGAGTACTAGTAGTATACCCTGTCGGTATGCTTCCTTCTTTCTTAATCAACGGTTTACCATAAGATATTAAGTCATACTCCTCATTAGTAAGCACTTTATATTTACCATGTTTAGACAAAAACGCTATCATTTTTGCAATATCAGTCTCTGTCATATTAGGTTCATGACCTTTAATGTTACCCTCGGCTTCGGTAACAGATGTGTTTCCATCAGCCATAATCAAAGCAGAATACTCAATGTATAAAACGGAACACAATACAAAACGTAAACAGACACATATGATAGACAAGACAAATAATGAAAATGATGATGATGAAAATGTCAACTTACCGTCAAATGATCTAACGTGCATGTGAAATCTGATAGTGCAAGGACCAGGTGTTCATGCAACAATGCACACAAAAATGCAAACTGAAAAATATAAGTAATAAGATAAACTATGACATCTTAAAAATATATATATGTAATACTCAACAAGATAAAGAATATATAATACTTGTAATCAAATATTTCTAGTAATTAATGTTAACTATTATGATTGTTATTTTTAAACTAAACTATCTAAATATCAATTCCAATTTCATAAAATACACTATTGTTTACTTCGTTGATATCAAAACCAGTCGAATCCACCGCGGAATGTGTAATGAAATTGACATCTGTGATGATTATAAACACACAACGAAAATATGTACTATGTAGCTACTCAACTGGAACGTTATCGACACAACACAATAAATAAATGAATGAATCTATTTCCTTTTGTTATCGGTGTAAAATTAAACATTCACCAAATTAATACACTTCGTTGGTTTGCGCAAAATATGAATATTTTCTAAACATTCATTACCAATATGCCTTTACATGTTTTCAATCCAACTCCGGGAATTGTTTACAACTTTTTCACTATATACCTCAACAGCGCTGTATACTTTTGGATTATCGTGCCGCCGAGTAGATATCTAGATGAACTGTTATCCAAATAAATTCAAGTACGGACAGATTCTCCGACAACTCTAAACTAATAAAAACCGTGGCACCAAAACTAGGTCATCTCTCTCTCTGAAGGCTCCATTTGTCACAGTCAACCGGACATACACCAAATTATCGTGATGGCTAATATCAGACAGTGACTTTGATACCACGTTTATTAACTGCAAATACATATTTATTTCAACATATACAAATCTTTCAACAAATTCGGAAAACAATTACATTCATTCATAACCTAAATATAAAACCACAAACTAAATAGAGACAAGAACTGACGGACAAATGAATTCAACAAAACACTTCAAAATTACGCCATGAATTAATACTGCAAATAAGACAATTTATAGCTGCAATTCAGTAATTTTGAACTTACTATAAAACTATGTAAAAAGTACGGAAAAGCCGTATAGTATCTTATTGTAGATTTTTATGATAAAACTATCATAATATTTCCATATAACTTTTAATGAATGAAATTCTATCGAGAAACTGTAAATAAAACTTTTCAAATAACAAAATTAACTAACCTGCAAATATTGCTTTAGCATTTAAGCATCCACACAGAAAGGCAGTTATTCAGTTAATGAAATACTAAATATCTATATATATAAGGCGTACATTTATTTTCCCGCGTGCGTGCAACTATATTTTATTCTATTTAAATCGTTCAGGTGTGTAGTGACGTGTATATGAAATTGTGCAGTGACGTGTATTAGAAATGTCGTCAGTCTCAGTCAAACGTCATAATGAGTATGATGAAACAGAAAATGGAATGAATGAAATAAATGAACTGATGAATGACAAATCAACATTTAATTATACACATAAATACGACGGTGACATAATAGTATACAAATGTCGTCTGTCCGTCCGGCGTAAACATGTCACACCGTAACTTGAGAATGACTTATCCAAATTTCATGAAACTTAACATAGTTGTTTCTTATGATGGTCAAACTATCTGTATACTTTTTTGGTGAAAATAAGATTAAAACTTTTTGAGTTACAGGACCAAGTAACTAAAACAGGTGTGTGTTTTTTTTCACATGTCGCGCCGTATCTCAAAAACAATTTATGATTATTGCTTAAAACTTTACACACTTCTTAGTTATATTAATCTTAAGATCTGTATACTTTTTGGTGATGATTCAAAATTTTATTTTTGAGTTATTGAGTATTTTGTAAAATAAGGGGGAGGGGTTTTTCACATGTCGCGCCGTATCTCAAAATCGATTTATGATTATTGCTTAAAATTTTACATACTTCTTAGTTATACTAATCTAAAGATCTGTATGCTTTTTGGTTTTGATTCAAAATTTTATTTTAGAGATATTGATTTTTTTTTTTTTTAAAAGGGGGGTTTTCACATGTCGAGACGTATCTCAAAAACGATTTATGATTATTACTTAAAATTTTACACACTTTTTAGTTATATTAATCTAAAGATCTGCATACTTTTTGGTTTTGATTCAAAATTTTATTCTAGAGATATTGAGTTTTTTGTAAAAAAGGGGGGGGGGTTTGCATGTCGCGCCGTAGGTCAGAAACTATTTATGATTATTGCATAAAAATTCACACACAAGACGACGGGCATATCATGCGCTCATGGCGCAGCTGTTTATTTTTTTTTTCATCGTCATGATCATTACATGCTGTACTTGTCCATGAATTACATCAGCAATTTTAGCTCTACTTTATTAGACTGTACATTTTATTTTTCAGTGTCCTTATCATCTACACGCTGTACTTGTGCATGAAGGACAGGCTGCTTCGGGACATTATTGGGCATATATTTGGTCATTAACTAAATGGTTAAAATTTAATGACATATCAGTGACTGATGCATCATGGGAAGATTTAGTAAAAGAAAGTGTGGGTGGATTTCATAATGCTAGTGCTTATTGTTTAATGTATGTGGATAAATCAAAATTAGAGGCAGAAGGTAGGATACTTATATGTAGTAAATTTATATATAATTAGTAAGACATTATATGTTACCTGTTGACAGGTTATAAACATGGCAAATTCTTACAGAGAGCATATATAAAATGATAATAAAGCTTTAAAATGAAATAAGGATAAAAAAAATAAAAATTGATGTGTTTTAAGAACCAATGTAAAAATAAAGAGATGTGGTATGATTGTCAATGAGACGACTATCCACCAAATTTCAATTGGTGTAGATATAAGCAATTATCAGTGACCCGTACAACACATTAATTTAAGAATGCCCATAATGCATGAGGTAATTATCATTTTTGTTTGGTCACAAATTGAATATTTTTCCATATTTAAATTCTTTGATTTATGATTCTTTTTATTACATTGAACATGTACTTTTTAATGGAAATGAAGAAAAAAATGTGAGGGAACTAAATCTTTATCTACACATTCTCAATTCATTTTGACAATATCATGACAACTCCCAATGTGGTACGACGTCAGAGGAGTAAAATTATTGATTTTAATATTACTGGGAAATCAGGATATTTCATTGAAACTAATGTTTTAAAAGTATTTTATTAATGCTGTTATATAGTTTAAAAAAGAATCATCATGTCTTAAAAAAACTTATACCTGAATATCAAAACTACAAAAGTTTAAATGAGGATGACCATAAAAAGCTGTTATACAACTTATTTTGTACCTGAAAGTTATAAGACTATACAACACAGACCTAACCAAACGGTTAATGCTCATATTGTTAATATTTGTACAGAAGAAAGCTGTGATAATGATGTTCTACCTGATGACTTAAAGGAACAGGTATTAGAGGACAATAATAAGTTTGACCAGGAAATAGACGACTGGGACAAAGAACAGGCCAGAAAAGCTCTAGGTGCTGGTGATGGTGATTGTACTATAACTGGAGAAACTAAACCTGGTAGGTATCAGGGACAGCCTAGAAAAGCCCTACGGACTGGTGATGGTCATTGTACTATACCTGTTGAAACAAAACCTGGTAGGTATCAGGGACAGGCTAGATAAGCTCTGGGCCCTGGTGATGGGGATACTATAACTGGGGAAACAAAACCTGGTAGGTATCAGGGACAGGCTAGATAAGCTCTGGGCGCTGGTGATGGTGATGGGGATACTATAACTGGGGAAACAAAACCTGGTTGGTATCAGGGACAGGCTAGATAAGCCCTACGGACTGGTGATGGTCATTGTACTATACCTGTTGAAACAAAACCTGGTAGGTATCAGGGACAGGCTAGATAAGCTCTGGGCCCTGGTGATGGGGATACTATAACTGGGGAAACAAAACCTGGTAGGTATCAGGGACAGGCTAGATAAGCTCTGGGCGCTGGTGATGGTGATGGGGATACTATAACTGGGGAAACAAAACCTGGTTGGTATCAGGGACAGGCTAGATAAGCTCTGGGCCCTGGTGATAGTGATTTTACTAGAACTGGGGAAACAAAAACCTGGTAGGTATCGGGGACCTCTTGATGTGGTGGGTGCTGGATGTACTTCAACTAGGGAAACAATCTGGTAGATATCTGGGGCCTGTCAGATCAGTTTTGGTTGTGGTAGGTGCTAATTGTTCTTTAACCAGAGAAACAAAACCTGGTAAGTATAGGGGCCAGGCTAGAAAAGCTGTGGATGTTTGGGATGCTTATTACACTATAACTAGTTAAGGGAGCAGACAGAGATGCTGTTGGAACAATGAACACAGTTTATGATAACATATGGGGAACATTGATTGTCAGGAACAAACTAGGTATAGCTCTTCAAGCTGGAGATGCTAATGGAACAAAAGCAGGAGAAACAAAATCTGATTAGAATCCAGAACAGTTAATGGGAACAAAAAAGAAAAGCTCTGGAATTGTTTTGTAATCAGGTAAACAAAGTAGGTAAGTGTCTTCAGAAAATAAAACCACAGTTGTACAAAAACAGGTTAAGAAGTCCCTAAACAGGGGATTCTAATTGTAATAGAATATATAGATGTCGGGGAAGACCAGAAAATTATGTCAAAGAAAAGATAAGTATATTGTTTAAATAAGATTTTGTTGGTTGAATTGGCCAAATATCTTTTGAAACAAACATTTTGTGCATTTTGTTAACATTTAAGAATGAAAATGATTTTTTTTTTATTCCTTTCAGGTCCCAGTACAAGTTCAGTGGCCACACAGACACAGGTTCCTAGCAATAAAAATTTTAACCAGGAAGTGACGTTAGCTGTTACTCATGCTTTTTTATCAGCCGCAGAAACATACCAGGCTGCAAACACAGCCTTAGGTCAAGAACCGATTCAGTTTGATGGTCCAGCTATTCTTACAATTGTAAGTTTGATATAACCTATTCCTAGTATGTTATGAATCTTATTAATTTACTCTTTTTGTGTCAGAAGAAGAAATAGTCTGTTCAAGGCCTTCAATGACCAAGGGAGAAATTCTGATTGTCTCCCTTTAAATATCCAGTAATGGTTGGTTTATTTTTAGTGTTGTTATTTTTGTTATTCCAAATCCTAAACTTTTATGCAAGGGTTAAATTCTCACATCAGCAATAACTTCCCACTCAATATCAATATAATTGCATTTTACCATCCATTCCCACAGGGCCAAAATTAAAATTAAGTTTGTTTCCCCTTACCCGACCGACCCTCTAAAAATCCGCCGACTGAAATAATTTTTTTCAAAAATCACGTTGTTGTTTTTTTTTTTGCGTTTTGCTCAAAAGTTCGTTTTTTTAATTTCGTTTCCTTGAATGGTCCGTATTTTCAACATTCCGCAAAATCATTGTCGCCCGTGTGTTTGCAGCAAAGGGTAAACAACGTATGCAAGGATACTGAAATTGGAATGGAATAATGTTTTAAATAAATGCATCCGAGCAATCTTAACTACTCTTCCATTCTAGCTACGCCTCCAATAACAAAATGCGTAGCGAGAATGGCCGAGTAGTTACGATTGCGCATCCGAGCTCACCCTTGAGCTTAAATGTTAGGCCTGGTGTTTCTGCCGTGTTTGTGGTAAATCCCTGAGTTCGCCTTTATCAGTGGTTGACTCAATAAGTTGTATATTGGCGTGCTATTTTGTTTCATTTCGTATGTGATATTGGACCATACACTAGTTGTCTTTGGATAAAATAGTAGTTGATTTTTTTCGAGCTCAGTATCATATTGTGTTGTGAAAAGTCGAGATGACTATACCAGCTAATGCTTTGATAAAAGTTCTTGTAAGTTCTTATGTCTTTTATAAGCTATAATGGGCTCGGCTGATGATTAAATATGGTCACACATTCAGGGTTTTGTGAAATAAGATGCCAGTGTTTATTATATTTTTAGTTTCTGTATAGATGGGTTGAATTTTGTTAACATTACTAGTGGTTGCTCCCATTTCGCTGGGCGATGTGTTAGCAAGTTTTCCCTTTCTGTAATTTGTGTTTGATAAAAAAAATCGTTGATTTCAGATATTTGATATCCTCGTTTGAGCTTCTTACTGTTTTTTAAGATCAGTTTTGCTGCTTGTGTTTCTGAGATACCTCAATACTTCACCCTTGATAAATCCTTTCAATGAAAACACTTTTCGGGTGTGAGCAGTGTCTGTGCTGTTATTGATATGTTTCAGTTGGTTTGATATTGGTTTTAATGTCTTGTATCATACTATGCCTTCGTTAAAGAATCTTTCTCCTTTGTATAATTATGACAGTGTCCAAGAATATTGTTTCATTACAGGAAAATTCGTAGGTGAACTTCAACTATCATTATCATTTTGTTTCTCTGTGTTGAAAGCGTTGTAAAATGTTCAAGAATTAACAAACATTGTAAGGTCTGCTAACTCAGCGAATACTGATCTGCACATAGACACGCCCAAGGTTTCATGGTAAAGTTTATTGTTAAAAATAAATTCATAGTTTTCTAGAATAAGCCTTAATAGGCGTAGTCATACTCGCTTGGATCACGGTTTGTGGCTTCTAGTATTTCCTTAAATGAAAAACAAGTGTACATATTTTTTGCATGGAATGTTACTAGGTAGCAGTCTCGTTGGGGTTTTATATTTTCAATTGAATTAATAAAACTATAAGAAAAATATAGAACCGTGTCTCAATTTATATGTGGTCTACTCTAAGTCACAAAGACATTGATATTTACAAACATTTTCTAGTCTGAAATTGTAAGGTCTTCTAGTCATGCATATTACGTTAAACAGGATGTTGTTTTAGTATCAATAAAGTTCAATTTGTTGTTTTTCTGTGTTTTCCTGTGTGTTAGATATATTTCAGGGATTTTCTCTAAAAAAAAAAAAAAAAAACCCTACCTACCTACCCACTTCCAAAATGGTGGGTAGGGTAAGGGGAAACAAAGATATTTTTAATTGCGGCCCAGGGGGGTATTTTCATGAATTTTACATATCCCTGTGTGAAATAGAATAGAATCAGTCTGATATTGTGTGCTTACCACAGCACTACCAAAAAAAATCATGGGGATAACACTGATCTGTTTTATCTTTGAGTATATCAAGAAAATTCTGGTAGTGAAGGAATAAGCTATTGTTTTCAGTAGTAAATCATATTGAGGTTACAAGCATTTCTTTTCAATTGATCTAATTTAGTTGCACCATATTTTTCATTTATTTTTCCACCAAATGGTGAATTAATAAAACACAATTAAAAATGTAAGCTTATGTTGACAATCCTGTTCCAAGCAGAGATGCAAAAAATTGCATATCAAGAATTTGTTAAGCTATATTTATAGGTGGTGAAAGATTTACTGTAGATGTGACCACATGCATACACATAACTGTATTTGAATTATGGCAAATACCTGCAGTAATGTTGCTTCCAAATAAAAGTCTGTATTCATTTATGGCTTGAAAATTTCCACTATCAAGAATGGGTGTATAGCATAATGAATGGGGTAAAGTGGTAGTATCTGTTTCTCTAATGATTTAATGAAAAACTCACTAGTATCAATATTCAGAATATACAGAGTAGATTTGGCTTAAAATATATGGCGCAATTCAATGAACATGTGATTTATAAAATTTGTACAACTAGTTAGAATTGGTTTAAGTGCATGAGCATTTAGAGAAACATTATACCATACCACACATATTTATTTTTTATTGAAAACTTCTGTTAATTTTACAGGTGATAGAAAGTGAATTGCAAAGACTAGATCAAATAGTAAAACAGTTACATAAATTGTTACCAAAAGATGATCAACGATTATTGCATCCTGTGATATATCTTAAAGCATGCCATGCCCCGAGGGACGTGATACACAAATTTATGCTGGAACAGTTTTCCCTTTGTACACTTTTAACACAAAATGATAAGTAAGTTTGAGAAAATGGCATTTTTATTTTCCCCATATCTTATCTTATAAATTAATTTGATGCTACTGGTCAAGGACCAGTTACTGTCAGTACCAGTTATTGTCACCTGCCATTTTTGTCTCGCCTGCAACGAAAGACATAGTATGTGAGACATAGGGATTACTATCAGGCAGAAGTAGTGTAAAATATTTGTATAAAGCTTTATATTTCAGAAGGTAGAAGACCTGGATGTTTCATGCCCCATATGCAGATACCTTTTGTTACAAAATTTCCGTCTGTCATATGTCCATTGTCATTGAACTCATTTTCAAGGTTCAGTGACTGCTTGAAAAAAAAGTTCACCTATTGATTTTGGAAAATTTTCTGATTTCAGACAAAGCAATATCTAAGCTTGATTCAGAATACACAGTTCTTTCAAAAGAATTTAAGGTTTATAAATTTTAAATTAAGCTCTATGCACCTCTTCAATACAGTGTAACTTATTGATTTCTAGCAACACACATTTGTTATAAGTTCAGATTTAGAAAAGAAAGAAGATATTTCAAATTAATAGCTGTTTTGTTAGTTTAACAGATAATCTTCTCTTCTTGCTACAAATAGCAATATATGACATTAATGGCTATATTCATAAGTGACGGTAACTGGTCTTTGTATCAAAAAATATCATACAAAAATTGCTACACTAGTAACCTGATTTTTGTTGCTTATAAGAAGCATTTAAGTCAAATCTATTGTGCTGAACCAGACTTCAGTAACGCTTAATATGATACCATATTCAATATTTCCTGTTACTGCTAGACAATGTTTTAAGAAAATCTCTGAATTTCTAATGGTAATTGGTACTAATCTATAGTATAGTATTTTAGAATTGTGTATTCCACAAGACTATAGGGGACTTCTGTGCATAAGTGTAAGATAAGTAAGTTTGATTTAACATGAAGAACAATTTCAGCTGTTCTTTTAATGAAACTGCAATAAACAATATTTTTAAAGAATAAGTTTTTTGTGTATTTTGTTTCACATAGAATTTCATCATAATATTTTGTTACCTTTTACGAAGGATTGATAGCTGGTGATGTGACATAGTTATTACAGAGCAGCAGTAACATTGTCTTTATTGTAAATTTAAATTTTATTATGGTGTTAAAATATTTTCAACAGTTACTTTCCCTTTTCAGATGTAAAAGATTATTACTTTCAGCTACTGCAGAACTTAAACAAAGACAGAAAGGTTTAGAAAAAGATGATCTTATGATTATGGTTAGTATTTGGAAAGTCACGAAAAAAATCACTTGTGAAAATAAGTTGGTTTACAATATCCTAAACTAGCAGTGAACTGCAGGTACAAAGTAAATGCTTTTTTTCCCTCTTTTATCAAAATAATGCATTGTATGGAAAATCATCCCTTTGAAAAGATTGTGCAATTAATTATAGTTTGAAAGTAAGAATGGACAACAAGATATAATATGCAATGGATATTGTAAAGCAAAAACAACAATACTTTTGTTGTTATTGTTCATTCCTATTGAGCACAATAAACATTCCAAAGACTGGGTTAAAGACGTCTCTGAGTGTCACAATGTATCTGATATTGTAATTGGCAACCATTTCATTGGCATATATCAATTGTTTACATTGGCATATATCAATTATTTACATTGGCATATATCAATTATTATTGATAAGTAGGAATATTTATGGTATTCTTACTAATTCCCAGACTATAAAAACACATACAGCTAAACAATTTAATTGAAAGTATTGTTTGCATGCTGTGGCATTGACATATTCCCAACATATCTTATTCATTCATTAGCTATAAATACAGCTATAAACTTCAGAACTTATACAAATCTCGAAGAACAGAAAATGGATTTAAAAGAGTGCAATAACAATTCTTCTAGCCAGGTATGTTTAGTGTTCATGAAGAAAGATCTTAGAATTTGTTTTACATGATTTTTGATGGTTGATTTTATTGTATTATTTCAGTGGCATGACAGATTTCACCAGTTTAGAAAAATAGTTTATTTCTTTGTTAAAGGATTATTATTATATAACGATGAAAAGTGAGTATTAATGTCTGCTATTTATCTATTTCTAACTGTTTTTCAAGTGATCTTAAGTTGACCTATGGTGTAATACTGTAAAAATTTCTTCATATATTTACAAGCTATTATAATATATGATCACCTTTTTACCTTGTTGTCAAAATCACAAATCAGATACTGTAAATTCAGAAATTATTGCAAGGTTTTTATTTTTGCGAGTAATGCAATTGTGTGAATATTGCAATGATAAGAAATCACAATAATTTATCTCGCATTTTTTGTCCGTTCTTCAAAAATTACAATAATAAATGCAAGCAAAAATTACACATTGTCATTTCCTTTCAACGTATGAAGAGATGGGATTAAGGGAAACACATATTTTAATACCTTTATATATTTGTACCCATGTACAACATTTTAACCTCCTGAAATCCAGCAGTTGTTTTATCTTTTCACTTGATGTAAATTGTGTTAAATGGTAATTTATAGAATGTAATTACAATTTGTTCCAGCTGATATATTTTTTAAGTGGTAATGACCCTTAAAACTTGCTTTTGCATTTGTTTCGTCTGAACTCATCTAGTTTAAACAAATCTTATGGTTGCAGAAATTTAGAAATTATTATTATTATTACTTCTAAATTTGACTTGATCAGTTGTTTACATAACTATGTAACTGGTGAGGGAGTTGAATACCAAGTTCTCAGGGAGTTAATGCTATCCAGTGTTCAGTTACTGTTTGTAATATATTTGTATTGGAAATTAAATAGATTATTATAAATCAGTTTGAATTTGACTGTTTCTTACAAGGAACATCTCTCGGATAAGTATTATTTTATGCCATGCACAACCAAGTCAAGTTAAGGATGTTCGCTACTCTTGTTTTTGACTTTTTGTCAGATATTCGGAATCCTGTAGTTTTATCCATGTTAGTTCCAATAAAAAATTTTCCCGCTAACACCTATTTTTCTTTTCATAATTTTATTACATATAGTTTAAATAGCCATATTTGAAAATGCTATAAAATCCTTGTTATTTTTTCATAATTTTTTTAAAGAAAAAGGGTGCCAATGTTAAATGTATGAAAAGTCTAGAGAGAGTTATTTCCCGCCAAATTTTCAATGGCTAATATCTCGAAAACAAGCACACGGACCCTTCATTTTTTTCTGCTTTTTTAGTTCCTTTATTTATATACTATCAATTTTTAACATTCTTTTAAAAAGCTTGTTATTTTGAAACAGAGTAGCGAACATCCTTAATATATTATGAGATAATGAAAAGGAATCAGTATAAAAGATTGCCATGTGTTTAAAAATTATAATGTCAGATTTACTATTAATGTTCATTTTTATACGACCGCCAAAAAATTTTTGTGGTCGTATATTGGTATGACGTCGTCGGCGTCGTCCGAAGACACATTGGTTTTCGCACTCTAACTTTAGTTTAAGTGAATGGATCTCTATGAAATTTTACCACAAGGTTCAATACCACAAAAGGAAGGTTGGGATTGATTTTGGGGGTTATGGTACCAACAGTAAAGGAATTAGGGGCCAAAAAGGGGCCAAAAATAAGCATTTTTGTAACTTCCAGATATAACTTGTGTGTTAGTGTATGGATCTCTCTGACATTGTACCACAAGGTTCCATATTACAAAAGGAATGCTGGGATTGATTTTGGGGGTAATTGCCTCAAAATTTTAGGAATTAGGGGCAAAAAAAGGGGCAAAAAACAAGCATTTTTCTAGTTTCATGACAATAACTTGTGTGTAAGTGTATGGATCTTTCTGAAATTGTACTACAAGGTTCCATATCACAAAGGGAAAGCTGGAATTGAGTTTGGGGGTAATTGCCGAAACGTTAAGGAATTGGGGGCCAAAAAGGGGCCAAAAATAAGCATTTTTCTAGTTTCCAGACAATGAAAAGGACAAGTGTATGGATCTCTCTGAAATTGTACTGCAAGGTACCATACCACAAAGGGAAGGCTGGGATTGAGTTTGGGGGTGATGAATCATAAGGGGGTTCAAAAAATTGGGGGGGGGGGGATTTTTTTTTTTTCCTTTTTTTTCTTTTTTTCCTTTTTTTTTCTTTTAAAATTTTCCATTTTAAGTTGGTTATTTCTGATTTATATTTAAAAGCAAATAATAATGATATGGTAGGAGATACACACCAAACAGGAAGTGTAAATTATTATATAATAAGTATTGTGCAATAGCAAGAAATTTTCAATTGCACAGTATTGCACAACAACAAGAAATCTTCAATTGCACAGTATTGCACAATAGCAAGAAATCTTCAATTGCACAGTATTGCGCAATAGCAAGAAATATCCAATAGCACAATATTGCGCAATAGCAAGAAATTGTCAATTGTACAGTATTGCGCAATAGCAAGAAATATTTAATTGCACAGTATTGTGCAAAAGAAGATACTTCGTATAAATTGCTTATTTCTTGACCAATTTCAATGGGGTTTTATTCTTGAATTCTTGGGGTTCTTTAATATGCTGAATCTAACCGTGTATTTAGTTTTTGGATTTTGGGCCCCGTTTTTAAATTGGTCCACATTGAGGTCGAAAGGGTCCAAAATTAAACTCTGTTTGATTTCATCAAAAATTGAATTATTGGGGTTCTTTGATATGCCGAATCTAACCGTGTATTTAGATTCTTAATTTTTGGTTCCATTTTCAAATTGGTCTACATTAAGGTCCAAAGGGTCCAAAATTAAACTTAGTTTGATTTTAACAAAAATTGAATTCTTAGGGTTCTTTGATATGCTGAATCTAAACATGTATTTAGATTTTTGATTATGGGCCCAGTTTTCAAGTTGGTCCAAATCGGGGTCCAAAATTAAACTTTGTTTGATTTCAACAAAAATTGAATATATGGGGTTCTTTGATATGCTGAATCTAACCATGTATTTAGATTTTTGATTTTTGGGCCCCGTTATCAACTTTGTCCACATTGAGGTCAAAAGGGTCCAAAATTAAACTTTGTTTGATTTCATCAAAAATTGAATTCTTGGGGTTCTTTGATATGCTGAATCTAACCATGTATTTAGATTTTGGATATTGGACCATAATAGGTGAATGTCCAATTTAAAATTTTTAAGTTCTTAGACCACATTCATTCTGTGTTAGAAACCTATGCTGTGTCAAATATTTAATCACAATCCAAATGCAAAGCTGTATCAAGCTTGAATGTTGTGTCCATACTTGCCCCAACTGTTCAGGGTTCGACCTCTGCGGTCGTATCAAGCTGCGCCCTGCGGAGCATTTTATTGTATTTCATTTGTTGTTTAATTAATATTGCTCTCTTATTTCACATCGCTTGTTGTTTTTTTAGTCCTCTACCAGCAAAGCTGAAGAAGATTTTAGGTTTGCATTTGTCCGTCTGTCTGTCTGGTAAATAAGTTTTCCGCCCTTTTTTTCTTCATCCTTGAAGATATTGATTTGATATATGGTATATAGTTTTATCATGACAAGTTACAGATCAAGTTTGAATTTTGTTCTAGTCTGATGATTTGTGCTGAGTTATTGCCCTTGAACTTAGAAAATTCACGCAAGTAATCAGTTTTCAAATTTTTTTCGTCATGCTTGAAGATATTGATTTGATATTTGGTATATAGTTTAACCATTATAAGTTACAGATCAAATTCGAATTTTGTTCGGATCAGATGTCTTTTTTTTTGCAGAGTTATGGTCCTTATCCCTGGAAAATTCACTCAAATAGACAGTTTTCCGCACTTTTTTTGTAATGCTTAAAGACATTTATTTGCCTTTTAGTATATATGGTTTAACCATGACAATGTACAGATCAAATTTGAATTTTTTAGGTCGGATGATTTTTTGCAAAGATATGGTCCTCAGACTCTCAGAATGCTTTTTTTTTTTATTAAATGTGTGACTGTTTTTCAGATATGATAAAGCTCTTCCTTATTTGGTTCATACATATACTCTTAATACAGCACTTAAAAATCAAGTCACAGTAGATGCTGGATGTTTATCTGTTAGTTTATTAGGATTTTATAGAAGACAGTGTTTATTGGTAAGTTTAACATATATTATGTGCTTTTTTTTAAACAGCCAGTTAACATTTCTTTGTAAAAGATGCTTTTAGCATTAGGTGAATGAAAAGAATATACACAAAACAACATTAAAAATATTATATAAAACACAAAAATTGTTTGCAGTATTTTTTAATATTTGTAAGAAGTGACAATTCCAAGGTGTGTTACTGTAAATGGGATATTCTCTTTTATTCTAGTTGTTATATTTATGTTGTAATAAAGAAAACCCTAGGCATTTACACTATTTGGTTGATTTGAAGAATGCCTTGCTCTCTGCACATTGTAGATTTTTTCAAACAAAATCCTTATTATGTTGGTGCTACAAAAAGCTGAAGTTTCCTACCCTCTCTAAATCTATTTATTGCAGTGTCAGCTGTTTCTTATTTGTGTCCCATCCCAACTGTTCAATGACAAGTTATATATGTTGTGGATTCATTGGGCTACCAATTTTCATGAATTGAGGAAAATTTGTAAAAAACATTTGTGGATATTCGATTTCATGGTTTTGTCAAAGTCCGCATACAAGCCTATAAAAAGTTTATACTTCATTCAACATTTAAATTCATGGTCCACGTATATCCTTGAAATCCGTGAAAATTGATATCCCACGAATATAAATGAATCCACAGTATTTTTAAATTTGTTCTCCATGAATATTAATAGACTTTTATTTTCTACTAAACCTAAGCAGTAAAAAAATCAGTCATTGTATGCACTCCAATATTCATCTTTATTTGTGATGTTACTTTTCTCAATGAACGTTGACTTAAAGAAATATTTAAAAACATAACTAACTCTAGTAGTGTTAACGAAATTTTCAGTGTTTTAATTCTTAATATTTTTTTCTTCCATTTAAATTTTGATGAAGCAGAAAGTTTTATTTTGACCCTTCTAACTCTTTCATTTTAGTTTATAGAATATACTTCAAAGCTTTGTGGCCACCCCGTTGGTCTTGTGGTAGTGTGTTCGCCTCAAGTGCAAGAGGTTGTGGGTTTGAACCACAGCCAGGTCAAACCAGAGACTTTAAAATTGGTATTTGCTGCTTCTCTGCTAAGCACGCAGCATTAAGGAGTAAGAGCAAAGAATGGTCTGCTCTGAGTCAGAATAATGTGTCTGGGTAAGGTGACATGTCTTCCTGCGGACTGTTACCTTGTGAACTAGCACGATAAAAATCAAACTCAGCAAGTCAGTCAAGTACAAGGCAGGGTTAATATTCATATTACATTAACATGTCCTCGTCCAGTATGTGCATATAAATTTTCCGCTGGACGTTAAGCAACCATCCATCATCATCATCATCAAAGCTTTGTGATCATTTTCATGAAATTTGGCAGTCCTGATGTTCTTTACAAAAAATGTTGTTATTAGTTGTTTTGCATTGAGCAGGAAAAAAATTACATCACTGAAAAGCAGGGAGAATGTTATTGATTTAAAAGCAAATTGAATGGAATGTGAAAGGATGAAGGGGTTTTACATTAATGGAATATAATTTACCCTATGAAAATACTAGTGGTCATTGTCAGTTTTATGGAGCAAAGATATGTTTTAGTTGGCATCAGTCATAATATGCTATTGTTAGGTGGATTATATAACTTTGATAAATCTGCAAGTAAAATTACAGTAGCACTTTTACACAAAATATCTGACCAGTAAGATAGAATTATACTGAATTTTTTTTGACTTAAAAGATTTGTTTTGTCATTGTAAGATTTCTGTGTAAAAACATCTTCAGATCTTTCCAACAATTTTCCATTAAATATTGGACTATAATATATTTTTTATATGAAATGATTCAAAAGCAAATATAAGTCCATTTTCTTTTAATTTCTCTGTTGTATTTTGGCAGCATATGAATGACATGCTTACCCATCAGTTTGAGAGTCTTGAAGACATCACTGAGACGATGGGGATTATGAATAACTACATTGTACCATGCCTGCCATGTTTACTCCAGTCTGGCTACACTGATGACCAAAGTGCTGCCGAGGAAATCAGAGAAAAATGGTGCTCATTTCTTGGACAAGAAATTGGTGGTACGTGTCCTTTGAAAGGTCAGAATATTTCACTAAATTGTTTTTAGAACTTAAAGACATATCTGATATAAAGTGCTTTTCTTTTTAAAACTCTAATATATAAAAATGATGTTTGTTTCTTTATTTTTTCTGTTCTCTCACTCAATATCAGTAACTCCTCCTTAAACAGCTAATTCATTTAAATGAAAATGCACAATACCTATAGCACTGTGCATATTTTTAATATTTTTATAGAAATTCTTTATGGGGTTTCCCATAGCAAGTCTTAGTCTTTGCCATATATTTACTCAATGAGGGACAGGATGAATCTATAAGCTTTGTCCAGTTTTTCTGAATTGGAATTCTAAGAGCAAAAAGTAAATAGTTTTAGAACGTATAAAAAGTTAGATTTAATGTAGTGACTTTTAAGAAGAAAAGAGTTGTGAATTTTAAGAAGTCAACCGTTATAATGTAATGTCAGTTCTGAATTAGCTCATTCATATGATGTTCAATTGTATTTATTTATAAAGTAAAAGTAAATTAAGTCTATTTCATATTGAAATATTTTGTAATTTCAGACAAGAAAGTTGAAATGTTACAAGACTTATTATCAAAGTTATTTGAACCACCAGGTGATACTAACGTTACTAGAATTCCAGCTGTAATGCATTCGGAACTAAAAACATTATATAGAGAATTCCAGAGATTAATGGACATAGCTGATGAGTCAGGTTACTTAGAAAAAGCCTTACAGAGTAAATGACGATATAGCATCATGTCTCATATCCTACTACATTAAGATACCATGTTGCCATCCTTTCTGTTGTGTCATCTAAAATAGTTTAGATCCACAAACAGGAAACCAGTACAAAGAATAAATATCAATAACGAGAATTAAATTTCATATTTGACAGTGAGATAATATAAATACATTTTGATATGTTTCATTTTAAACTACAAGCATTCAAAATAAAACCTTAATGTTGAATCTTAAAAAAGATATTCATGACTTTTAATTTGTACTAAATTTCATCAAAATAACAGGCAAAGTAAATATATCTAAAGAATGCAAAAAATGCAATATATTGGTAAGCAAAAATGATTGTTGATGAAAACCAACCCATGTTGGGCATATTCAGGTAAAGTTCAAAGGTTGTACTCGTAATCTACTGTAAAGTAGATTAAGCTGATATGGAACAAAGTTACTCATGCACGAATTTTATAATTTATTCATATATCATAAGAGCTTTTATTTAAGACCATAATTTTACATATAGAAATATAGAAATTGATACTTTTTTTTAATAAATCCAAGGACTATTTTAGTTTAAAAAACAAAATTTATAAAGCAGCTTTTATTTATATCACTTTGCAGTAATTTCATAAATTTTTTAACCTTAGTCTGAGTACTCAGGATCAGCTTAGTCTCGTATCTTTGATGTATATATAATATTAATAGATTAAAAGTTAAATCAATTATCCAATGTAATAGTTTACTGCTTTTTATACGACCGCAAAAAAATTTTTGTGGTCGTATATTGGTATGACGTTGGCGTCGTTGTCGTTGTCGTCGTCGTCGTCGTCCGAAGACACATTAGTTTTCGCACTCTAACTTTAGTTAAAGTGAATGGATCTTAATGAAATTTTACCATAAGGTTCAATACCACAAAAGGAAGGTGGGGATTGATTTTGGGGGTTATGGTACCAACAGTTAAGGAATTAGGGGCCAAAAATAAGCATTTTTGTAACTTCCAGACATAACTTGTGTGTAAGTGTATGGATCTCTCTGACATTGTACCACAAGGTTCCATATCACAAAGGGAATGCTGGGATTGATTTTGGGGGTAATTGCCTCCAAATTTTAGGAATTAGGGGCCAAAAAGGGACAAAAAACAAGCATTTTTCTAGTTTCATGACAATAACTTGTGTGTAAGTCTATGGATCTCTCTGAAATTGTATCACAAGGTTTCATATCACAAAGGGAATGCTGGGATTGATTTTGGGGGTAATTGCCTCAAGATTTTAGGAATTAGGGGCCAAAAGGGGCAAGAAACGAGCATTTTTCTAGTTTCATGACAATAACTTGTGTGTAAGTGTATGGATCTTTATGAAATTGTACTACAAGGTTCCATATCACACAGGGAAAGCTGGAATTGAGTTTGGGGGTAATTGCCCAAAAAGTTTAGGAGTTAGGGGCCAAAAAGGGGCCAAAAATAAGCATTTTTCTAGTTTCCAGACAATAACTTGTGTTCAAGTGTATGGATCTCTCTGAAATTGTACTGCAAGGTACCATACCACAAAGGGAAGGCTGGGATTGATTTTGGGGGTAATTCCCTCAAAATTTTAGTAATAAGGGGCCATAAAAGGGAAAAAAAAAAAGCATTTTTCTAGTTTCAGGACAATAACTTGTGTGTAAGTGTATGGATCTTTATGAAATTGTACTGCAAGGTTCCATATCACAAAGGGAAAGCTGGGTTTGAGTTTGGGGGTAATTGCCCTAAACGTTTAGGAATTTAGGGCCAAAAAGGGGCCAAAAGTTTGGGGGTGATGAATCATAAGGGGGTTCAAAAAATTTGGGGGGGGGGGGGGGGGGGGGATTTTTTTTCCCTTTTTTTTCTTTAAAATTTACCATTTTAAATTGGTTATTTCTGATTTATATATAAAAGCAAATAATAATGATATGGTTTGAATAGGTAAATTAAATTTTTTTAAGTTCTTAGACCACTTTCATTCTGTGTCAGAAACCTATGCGGTGTCAAATATTTAATTACAATCCAAATTCAGTGCTGTATCAAGCTTGAATGTTGTGTCCATACTTGCCCCAACTGTTCAGCGTTCGACCTCTGCGGTCGTATCAAGCTGCGCCCCAGCGGAGCATTTTATTTTTGTTGCCGCTGAACGTTAAGCAACCAACAATCAATTATATTCATTTGAGGAACTAAAAGGTAACAACCACTTTAGTTTTAAAAATTATTCAACTAAGAATATATTATATGATTGTTACAAAAACAAGAGGGTTTCAGTTAGATGTACCTGTTAAAATACATATATGATGAATTCTTTGAAAACATCACATGGGCAGTTAAAAGAAAATTTTCAAACTTATGACTCTATTCAACCCCATTTAAATTACTTCTTAAGCTACTTTAACATTTTTTGCTATATAAACAGATAAAAAAAAACACTCTTCAATCAATAAAAATTATTTTAATTGACATAATTCTCCAGTCATTTCTCATTTAGAAGTATTTTTATAAAAAATCAAGTCTGTTTGGTGTCAATTTCTTCATTAAAGGACTTCCATATTCTTAAGATGCAGAGAGTTCATTATATATAGATATTGTATTGACACTTGAAATAGAGCAAAAATGTGGATTTTTTGAAAACTCAATACCTCTGGTCTTACTACTCTAAATGGATATTGGTGCATTGTTTATGAATTCCAAATGTACCTATTATGTGTGTAATAAATGGCTTTTAATTAGATTTCTGACAAGTTTTTATTGTTCATGTGGTCTGTCTGGGTTCGGTAATGGATAAGTATTTTTCATATATATTGTCCCCACTAAATGCAGGCAGTAAATATTTGATGTTCAAGCCCTAATTGAAATTTTAGGATTAATGTTGCTTAAAATTTTCTACAGGCAATAATGTTTTTCTTTTTCCCTTGATTATCTCTATATTATAATAAGTTATCAATATTTGTTTCTGATAGGCACTGATTAAAGTCTTGTTAGGGTTGCATTTCTGATAAATTTTGTTCTTACTCTGCTCTGATACTACTCTGACCTAATACTACTATACTACTCTGCCTTTATACCACTCTGACCTTATACTGTAATGTAATCAACTTACTTGATTTTGAAGTTTGCTGAATAGAACATATTAAAGGTCACTTAAATTGTATTTCTTACAATTTCTGTATTGCTCATCTTGAATTGTTATAAATGCAAATAAAACCATTGTATTTTCTTTCTCATCAGATTATGAAATTCACATTTATAATGCATAGACAGAATTGCTTGCATGATTTTACATGATTTTTTATTTCAGTTTCAATGCATAACCCTTCAGATGGAAGGATTTTAGTAATTTATTTTTAAGAAGTACAATGTTAGCTTTCCATAGTGTGTAAATAGCTTGTAATATATGTAATATATAATGTATATACTGTAAAATAAATATTGAATTGTTATGGTGGTTTGCAAAAAAAGATTTTTGCAACTGCTTTTTTTTTTGAAAGGAAAAGAAATAAATGAATTGAGACACACATTTATTGGTTGTTATTTTTTTGCTTACCTACAACAAGTCACAGAATACGAGCTATAGATATTTTAGTATGACAGGAACAATTGCATGATGTTATTGATAGTAAGCTTAATGTGTAGGATATAGTAATATACATATCTTATGGTCTAAAGGCTCCATCTTGCATATTTCATGTCCCTGACCTTATTTTCCTAACCATCTGAATTATTAATTTGAATGTTTAGTTTTTGATTGTTAGGCCAAATTTCAAAGTACTATGAACAATCTATCAACTTAATATTCTTTAAAGAATTACTGAGGATGAACATGTCATTTGACAGGGAGTGCTGACCTTTATCTCGTTTTAATGTCAAGTGATCAACATTTAGCTTTCATATTTTGGTAATTTTCTAGGCTAGTAAATAAAAGAAGTCAATTGTATATAAAAATTAGGAGATGAGGTATGATTGCCAATGAGACAACTATCCACCAGAGTTCAAATGATGTGGATGTAATCAATTATAGGCAACCGTATGTCCTTCAACAATGAGAAAAACCCATACCATATAGTCTGCTATAAAAGGCCCCCACATAAAAAAACATGAATCAATTCAATTGAGAAAACTAACGGCCAAAATTATAACATAACAATTTACGAAAAACAAATATAACCGACATGAACCAACGAAAACTACTGAACTACAGGCTTCTGACTTTGGGACAGGCACATAAAGAATATGTTTGGTTTCAAGGATCACTACTTAAAGATATACATATAAAAAAAAGGAGATGTGGTATGATTGCCAATGAGACAACTACCCACCAAAGTTCAAATGAAGTGGATGTAAGCAATCATAGGCAACCTTTGATATAGGTCATCTGACATTGACCTCATTTTCAGGGTTCAATGATTAATGTTCAAATTTTTATGCTGAGGTTTATTACTATTCAGAATCAGTGATTACTAATTGGTTGATGGAATAACAATTTGTAAATCTCCACCCTGCTGGGGACACCCAACCTTGACCTCTTTGCCTTGGACATTGATCACTGTTTAGTACTTTTGAAACATGTAGTAAGACCTTTATCTCAAAGAATATAAGATTATCAAGATATTGTACAGTTAAATCATTTAGCAAGTGAGACATTTGATGTTGAATTCATTGTTTATAGTAGCTTAATTTATTTTCATACAGGATAATTTGTCTTGTCTATTTGTTCTCTCTTTCATTACATTATTCAAGAATGAGAGGCCATGTAAAATTTTTGCAAACATATTCACAATTTTGAGATACCAAGGATCAGTATTTTTATCCCAGTTTCTAAATCAATGTCCATAGTAGTAGCAACAAACCTTGATGTATAAATAATAGACCTTTGTCTGCCATCTTAAGTGCATGTGTCTGGTCGTCGTGCAAATAATTCTGGTACCAAATAAATCTATCCTTAAAAATGTAATGGTCTTGTATATTTCACTCGGCTTACCTTAGCCAACATGACTTGCTGTTTAAAATCCCTCTGTCGTGTGAGCTTTTACAAAAGGATCTTTATAATACCACCTGGCATATTTCGTCCAAGAATACACATTGACATCACAATTAGCTCAATTAAAGTAAAAACAAAACAAAACATAACATTATTGGGATCACAATATTACAATCTAGGAAAAGATCATGGGATTGCGGTTACGATAATATGAACATACATATGGTTATCTGACATTTATTACATAACGGTCAACCAACTCATCCTGGCGTCCGTAAAATTTTTCTGGTTTTTTCTTCCGTTTTTTTTTTTTAATTAAACTCTTTATTTTGCGAAAATATGCTATCTTATTAGTTTCCACCAGTAATTGTTTTAACAGATCTTATAGATTTTAGAGTGTGTTTTCAATGATTAGTGCTCCAAGTAACATTCCTTTCTCAATAATAACATCAATCCAAATCGTTCAAGATTGCCGATAGTTTCCTGTAACCATTCCAGCGAAGCTATTGAAGCAAGGATTCCAATGTGGTAAAGTAGAAATCATCATTTCGAACGCTTTACGGACGCAATCATAATTTGGTTGATCGTATTGGAATATCTGCCTCACAGATGACCATGAATATGTTTCAATTACCGTAGCCACAATCCCGTCTTCTTTCCCCGATTGTAACATCCGCGAATGAGACATCATAGAATTCGTACTTGTCCTAAACAATACGAAGGATACCACAAAGTCATGTGTATCAGGATCTGTCTACCATTCCGGAGCACCTGAGATGTCTCCTAAATTTTGACACGGTTCGTGTTGCTCAGTGTTTAGTTTTATTGTAGTGTTTTGTAGATTGTCCAAGTGTTCAAATGTTCACAGTGGTCGAACTGGTGTTTCTGGTCGTACCGAACTCTGATAGCAATGCACTGTTTCTACTACTCATGCATCCGAAGAGTATGGGGAAGGGTATTATTTCTTCTTCTTTGCTAGTCTTTTAAAACTTTTTTATTCATTGTTCTGTACAAATGTTATGGTCATCTATAATTGTCCGCAAGATATATGCATCAGCTTAATTGAAGTAATAGCCA